ATGGCCGTGACGGCGTTAACGATATTTATGTTATATAGCACGTGCAATAGGAGTGACTCACACAAGCCAGGTGCGCCGGCCGTGTCGTTCCACTCGTAAACAACAGCTGCAACAGAAGTGACTCATAAGCCAGCTGCGCCGGCTAGTATAAAAAGGCGGAACGTGCCTTGAAATGAACATTCGTTGGACTGCGCTTGCCCGGTGCACTTACTACATCCTTGTTACGTTGTGTGATTCAGTGACTGTTGTACGTACTGGTTAAAGTTGGACAAGTGTTAAAGTGAATTGTTAAGATAACATATTGTTGATTAAATCAGGAATCAAAAAGTGACATCGTTTTACTTGGTGTTCAACAAGATAATGTCTACCCTCAAGCTTACATACTTAATAAATAAAAATGTTTTACGTTTCTACCCAATTTTTAACAACATCCATTATATTTAAATAATCCTCGAGAAAAGCATTAAAAACTCCAAGCAAAACTCGTCATGTTTTTAAAGTAAAAAATAATACAATAATAATAAATCATCATCACAAAATCAAATCAACTTAATAATAATCAAACTAAAATTACTTATAGGAATGCAGTAACTGTAAATCAGATTTATAATCCACAGGCGACGATTCCACGAAAAAGCTCTGAATGACCAGGTTCAAGCAACCAGAGGAAAAAATAATTCTCCTACCAGGCCGAAAGTTCGTGGAGTACCGAGCCGAGGTCCAGGGGCGAAGCCCTGGCCGGGGGTAGGTGGGGCGGAGCCCCCAAGTTTTCATAAAAAAAACAATTTAACTGTTTTTTTATTTTTAAATAAACTACTACTAATTGAATAAGAACTGTCTGATGAACTCATCTTTGTTTAATACTTCACTATTAAATCTTATTGCCTTTTGTTTATTTCACTTTTACACTAAACACAATATTGCAAATTACCCGAGCACAACAATGGCGGAGAATTTTAGGTGCGTGAGAGCAAACGTAGACACTAACGCGCATGCGCACTTGTACCCAGGGAGGAAAAGTTACACTTTCTTCCCTGTACAGCGGGAGAAAAACCGAACTTTCGGCGTAGGTAGGAGAAAAAAATAATTTTACTGAGGTGTCAGCATGGTGTAGCTCACTGACATCATAATTCTTATTTTATTTTTAATACATCCCTACAACATCCTTGGGCCTGCGGTATGCTCCCAACATCTGCAGACAATCAAGTCCTACACACCCCGCTCGCCCCATAGGCGCGAACACCACGTATTGGCTTGGTTCCGGCGGTCACGGCTTGGTCCCCTGCCCGAAAAAAAGGCCCTTGTGAATTTAGTGGATTACGAAATTTTAGCAGTGCAGTGCTTTTGGTATAGCTGTTGTCCATGAACGACGATGGCTATTTTTTATAGTCCATAGTGAATGTGTAAATGCTTTAAGTTGTCATAAACGTAAATGCTCTAAATTATACATATTATAATTTTGGGATAGAGAGATAGCTCGTAGTTCGAGGGTCTTATCAGCGCCACGGGTACGGTCAAGCGAACTAAAGGGCTCCACCGGGAAGGAGCTTAGGAGTAGATACAATAATTTGTAGGAATATCGAATCACGCTCCACTTCGATAAAGCGGCACGACACGAGAACCCTCTCATCGTGGCCGCCGGTAACTACATTCCCGATCCTGCGGACAGAATGGAAAGCAGTCGACGTCACCCCAAGCACGTCATTTCGGATCCTCCCGATCCACTAACGGTGCTTTTAGGTACCTCAAGCACCGGTCATCCTTCTCGTCGAACCCGTCGCTTGCGACTAAAGGCTCGACGAGTAAATTAACCCTCAGACACAGCCCACTGAGTTTCTTGCCGGATCTTCTCAGTGGGTCGCGTTTCCGATCCGGTGGTAGATTCTGCGAAGCACGACTCTTGCTAGGGTTCGTATTAGCAACGTCTTCAAGTTTGAGCCCCGTGAGCTCAACTACTAGTTAAGGTTACGCTGAAATAGCCAGCTATAAATAGTAGCCGCCTTGGAACAGTAGTACTCAGGGTTGATAGATTGACAAATAAACGATATAACAAATAGAAATTAAGCCAGCTAAAATGCTTGTTACTCTGCTGCCAACAAAAATTGGTATTAAAATTTGTCATCCTATTACCTTTATTTATTTATTTATTCAAGGTGGTTATATTTGGAACCAATTTTATCTAACGACGAAGGAGAGCTGGGCACGAAATTTAAAAAAGTCGATCAGAATTTTCGACATGTGACCCGCATCATAGAATCGGACCCGAGAATATCCGCTATCTTACAATCTACGAGGCTACAGCCCATGCTCGATTCAATATCAGAACAATTGTTGGCTTGTCAGTCAGCTTTGAATCAATATATTGACGTAAGTAAATTAAAGTATTTTTTTTTTATTGCTTGGATGGGTGGACGAGCTCACAGCCCACCCGGTGTTAAGTGGTTACTGGAGCCCATAGACATCTATAACGTAAATGCGACATCCACCTTGAGATGTAAGGTCTAAGGTCTCAAGTATAGGTACAACGGCTGCCCCACCCTTCAAACCGAAACGTATTACTGCTGCACGGTAGAAATGGGCAAGGTGGTGGTACCCACCCGCGCGGACTCACAAGAGGTCCTACCACCAGTAAAATATATATGTATAAATCAAATGGAAATCTATGTATATAAAAATGAATTGCTGTTCGTTAGTCTCGCTAAAACTCGAGAACGGCTCGACCGATTTCGCTAATTTTGGTCTTGAATTATTTGTGGAAGTCCAGAGAAGGTTTAAAAGGTAAATAAATATGAAAATGCTCGGAATTAAATAAAAATAACAATTTTGTTTTTCCTTTGATGTGTCCCCCGTTGGACGGATTCCTTTTGTTTTAAGTTTATTTTATACAAAAGTTTAGGTATTTTATTCATCGATTGAGGTATTACGATGTCTGCCGGGTCAGCTAGTTTATTTATAATAATTATCACTGTTTGTAGTGCGTTTGACGGTAGTGTGCCTGATAAACAATTTTTTTATTGCCTTTTTAGGTAGATGAGTATACGGCCCACCTGATGGTAAGCGGTTACCGTCGCTCATGGACGTTAGCAATGCCAGGGGCACAGCCAAGTCGCTGCCTACCATATCAATAACTATATTATTCTAGTTACTTCTTTTTATTAGTGAACATTGACTGCATATTTTGCAATGGATAACAATGGTGCCACACGGACCTGGTGGTATAGTTTGTCCTTTTAAAGTGAATGATGACAGGCTCGAGACAGGTTACATATCATAATGTTTCAGATTTTTTGCAAGTTTTAAATATTCAAAATATGTTTATGAGTGCCCAAAGATATCTATTAAGTTACTATGGCACATAGTATTTGTGCAACGCTTTCTCTTAAGCGCTTTCCAGTTTAAGCTTATAAAACGAAAATAAATATGAATTGCCTATATATTTTGGTTCTTTCTTTTAGTTATATGTATCACGTACGTTTAATACATCTCTCTTTTGCAGGAGAAACGCTCTATATTTCCAAGATTTTACTTTCTAAGTGACGATGATTTATTGGAGCTACTGGGACAGGCTCGAGCTGGCTCCGAGGGGCGCGAAGTGGTCATGCAGTCTCATCTCAAGAAGCTATTTCCGGGGATAACGGGAGTTCGCCTCGGCCCAGGGGGCATGTCGGTTACAGCTCTGTGTAGCCATTTCGGGGAAGTGTTTCAGCTGGATCATCCTATTGATATAGATTGCGCTGTAGAGGTGAGTTCTCCTTACTTCTTTATGGCAATAATTTATATTGTTTTTGTTATTAATTTCACATTATCTTATTTATTCTATTACAAAGCAATCGAGCTTTCCGATATCAGGTATTACAATATTACGTTACAATGATTAAGTTATAATATTTATAAAATATGGGGAATATATTTTAAGCGTGTAAGCAGAGTTATTGATTAAGAACAGCATTGTGAATAACAAATATAATTTTTTGTACTAAGTATTTTATTAATGTTTGTACATATGCCACATCTTGTAATTAATATAAGTAGTAATTGATCGTGAATGCGATAGTGATCACACACAATTATAGGCTCTAGTTCAATACATCAGACTCGTTAAAAGTAAAAACTCTTTATCCTTCTTTTAAAACTCTTATCACACACGTACATTCTCAAAAATTGCACGAAGTGATATAATGATTTTTTTAAATACTTGACTGGTTATAATGAGTTTATGTTATGATTCAACAGGTCTGGCTTAAAAACTTAGAGAACGAAATGCGTTCTTCACTGCAGAACATGACTTTGAAATGTCTAGTGACGAACTCATTACACGAACAGGACCCGTTCTCGTTGCCGACCCAGATACTTTGTCTCGCTCAAAACATTCGCTTCACCGAACAAGCGGAACGAGCGATAAACTCTAAAGAGCTCCATAAATTCAGAGCTAATGTTGAGAAAGAGAATTTGTATTACGCAGAAGCGGAGACCGATGACGAAAACGAACGCCTCAAGAGGCAAGCACTTATATTGCAGTGCGCTTATTATCTGTCCGTCATCAAAATACTCATCGACAATAATGTAACGTCAACAAGCGAATGGATCTGGCGAAAGCAATTCAGGTATCGTATTTCATTAAATACTTCAACGCTGTGTAGGTTTCTGTTTATATATAATACTTTTCAAAGTTTTATGAGGATACGTTTTAGGAGAAACGTATAAAACCTTTTTTTTTTTCTTTTTTTTTTTAGATTCTATTTACTGAATACTAAGGAAGTAGTTGCCAGAATGGGATTAGCGCAAATACCGTATTCCTATGAATATCTTGGGACACAAACGGGCCAGTTCGTGCGCACTGAAGTAGCTGACGAATGCTTCCTCATTCTCACTCAGGTATTTGAATTAATAATAATAAATAACTGGAAACAAATCGCGCACAGTCATCCGCCCCCAATTTAAGATTCTCCCTGTTATTGATACCAGAGACTGATAATCATACTTAAATGTATGTTTAAATATATACATATAGATAATAAACTCCCACAAAGAGCAAACAATATGTTTGCCCGATCTGGGAATCGAACCCACGACCCTCGGCGTAACAGTCAGGAGCGCCAACTGTTGCACCACCGAGTTAGTCAAAATTTGAAATATTAACGTGTTACATAGTTCGAATAACCAAAGTTTCTTGTTAAACATGTTTGTAACAGGCGCTACACCTCGGTTTTGTTGGCAATCCATTTGGACCAGCCGGTACGGGGAAGACTGAATCGGTTAAAGCTCTGGGTGGATTGGTCGGGAGGCTCGTTCTAGTCTTCAACTGCGATGAAGTATGTACTTTTAAATTAAAATCACTTTTCTTGAAACGATAAAAACATTATATTAAAATCAATGTAAAGCATAATTATCTAAGTAATTACAGAAAAATCTACACATTTAAGGATCCTAAACGAAGTATGATAATTTTAGCTATATATTACATACATACTCTGGTTCTAACCTAACCTCACCTAACCTAAGGCCAGATAGGCCATAAGCTGATCTGCCTAATATTGCTGAAAAAAAAAGCTCTGAAGCTTAACCTATTTCAAGTCAAGGCCAATAACCACAGTCATGAAGAAATTAATGCCGTTATCCACACTGAGACATGAAGGTTTCAATAGTATTGCTGAAAGTCTTTCCTATTATTCAATATGGGAGTATCCCCCCCCCCCATAAAATTGGGGGGAAACGGAAATAATTTCAGAGAGAAAAGTTTAATTAAGGTGATCGCATTGCGGCTACCAATGGTATGATCATTGCAGGATCCTCTTATTCTAAATAGAGGTAGTCGCAGTTTACACAAACAATGATTTCAGGCAATGGACGCGGAATGCATGGGTCGTTTGCTCACCGGGCTGGCGCTGAGCGGCGCCTGGGGATGCTTCGACGAGTTCAATCGTTTGACGTCCGACACCCTCGCGGCCGTCACGCATCAGTTCTCGTCGCTTCTGTCGGCCATGACCCACCGAACACCGGGAACTGTACCTACGGCCTCTCTCAATGGGAAAAATGTAATGATTGATGATGGTGATGATAATGATGAAATTATCATAAACCAACGTACACTACGTACGCTAATTGTTACAAACCTTCATACTGTTACGCGCTCGGGTTCGGGATAAATAAAAATTCTACCGAAGTGTAAATTAAACCTGTATTACCGCTTAGAACAATTAAAACACTGTAAAATTCTCAATTTACTTCTTCCGCTTCGCTTCAGGTGATCCGTTCGCTGTTTCGCTTCGAGTAGTTCCGATTACTAACTGACTGCGTGTTATCTTTGCAATGCTTTTATAGTCGATACGAAATCCCTAGAGTCGTCGAGAACATTTCTCACAAGTAGTACTTTCGGTAGTAGATTCATTCGCGAAGCAGTTGCTCTTGAGATGTTAGGTCTCCTTCGGAGGCGCTCGGTCAGCTGTTAGCAAATCCCACCCCTCCTAGCTGAGTCTTAGCTCACCCATCTGTACTGGTGAAACTGGAATGACCTCCGGGCCACCAGTAGTTCTTCAATCATAAAAAAAGGATGTTAAAATACTTGAAATCCAGGTATCAGTATCGGTGTGGTGTGGTGTGGCGGCGACGCTGAACCCGTCGTCGCGCGGGTACGGGGGGCGGCGCGCCCTGCCCCCCGCGCTGCGCCCCCTGCTCCGCCCCGTAGCGGCCCGCCCCGCCGCGCCGCGCCTGCTCGCCGCGCAACTGTTCGCCGCGCGCTCTCTGCCGCACGCAGAGCGCCTCGCCGCAGACTTGCACGACGTCTTCACTCTGGCCAGGTCTCATTACATAATTGATCTTGGAATTGGTTTCTTTTAGCTGTTTAGCTTGTACTTTGTAGAAACGAACAAATAGTTTTTCTATATTATGGACCCATAAATAAGTATAAGTTGAAGTGAGTTATCATCCTTCATAATGTAAGATAATTTTAGTATCGACAATTACGACACTGATCGTTGGCTTTGATTGTTCGTGGAAATCGATAAATTTTTGGAACTGCAACATTATACAACGAATAATTCATATTCTGGCTGTTTTATACCATAGGTATTAGAATGAATACCTTTTGATGTTCTATTAAAAATCTTTTTTTTTTCGAATGACTAAAATTAATGTTGGTTTCAATTCATTGAAATATCGTCGCATACGTTGCAGTGCGCTGCTGAGTGGACAGCGGCACTACGACTGGGGTCTGCGCGCGCTGAAGGCGGTGGCGGGGGGCGTGCGCGCGGGGGAGGGCGCGGGGGGCGAGCGCGCGGGGGAGGGCGCGGGGGGCGAGCGCGCGCACGCCGCCCGCTTGCTCGCCGTCAACAACGTCTCCAAACTAACTGCGCCGGATGCACGAATGTACGTAATTGCTTATTAATCACGGATAATTTTAAACTTGGAATCTGTCGTTGTTTTCTACAAATTCCGTGTGGAGAGGCGCTTTGAGCGATTGTTAATGAGGATCTCGACATCTCCTTTTTAACATCGTACTACTAACCATCGGTGCTTTCTTTAACATTGTGGTTAATAACATGTGGTAGGTAAATCCCCAAAATAAATATTTAATCACTAGAAAAAAAACAATAAGGCATTAACATTTTTTTTTTTTGCAGATTCCATAAAATACTGTCTCTCGTATTCGCCGATGTAAAAGATCTACATGCCACAGCTGATCCTATAGTGAACGCGCTGGGAGGATCCGTCCAGAATTTAAAACTTGTGGAAAATAAAGCACAGGTAAGTGAGAAACTGTCTTTCGGCAAGTGACGTTTGAGAAGGTCTTATAGTCACTGGTGTTAGTGATGTCATTAAAACAATGAAATAAATGAAATTAAATCTGGAAGCGCATTATAGATGATCGCAACCATTTCAACTTTTAAGAGTATATTATACTCAGGTCGCGTTTTCAGTCTATGTTGAGTTAACACATAACAGCTCGTTTCAAGCACCGACCACCATTTTCATTGAATGCGACTAAGGTACACATACAAACACTGAGCTTCTCACCAAATCTTTTGGGTGAGTCGCGATTCCGATCCGGTGGTAGATTCAGTGAAGCACTGTTCTTGCTAGGGCAGATGTTAGTAAAGACTCTCAAGCTGAGCACTGTGATCTCACCTACACACTCCGTGAAACCAGAATAGCCCCCGTTGCTACTAGTAGTAAGTAGGCAACGAAAGACAGTTGCTGTACTCTGCCAACCCTGAACCAAACTGTTCTAAAACAACCCCTTCATAATGTTGCAGTTACAAAAATGCATCGAGTTATACGAACAGCTACAACAACGGATGGGGGTCGTGGTGGTGGGCCCGCCCGCCTCCGGGAAGTCTACGATTAGGCGTCTACTTAAAACAGTACGTTAATATGTTCAATTCTACCCGTAATAACTTATAGGTGACGCAAATTGAACCCTTAGAGCGCGAAACGTCGATAGATCGACTCTCTATTAATGCGTATAAAGTGCGGAATGTACGGACTTGTACGGACGTGTCTTAGCACGCGCATGTATAACGTTTGAATAAGTTAATAACATTTAATAATAACCATTTATTTTAAAATAATTATGCTGTGAATTTAGCAATGATTTTTGTATTTATTTTTTCAAGATTTTTTTTTATATTTGTTTTTGTTTTCTAAAACTCCGTTAGCAGTTTCTATAAAATATGTGAAAATAAGTTTGGCATTAAAAGGGTTAAAATTTAAAATACGGTGTCTACTAAATTTTAATATCGTCAATGATTTAAATATAATCAATTGCACTTGTTCCTTTTGTTTTACTACTATATTCCGTATTCCGCGTCTTAAAGAGAAAAAATATTAAATACAAATAAAAATTTTACTGATTAAATGCTGATACAATTAAACTATTTCACGAATAACCTTTTTATCACATAGGCCCTCTTACAACAAGGAAAAACTATAATGGAGTACGTAATAAGTCCAAAAGCAATGAGCCGCGACTGGCTCCTCGGGCACATCGACCCTGACACCAGGCAGTGGACGGACGGGGTGATCTCTGCCACCGCCTTAGAGATATCCAATCAACCTCCTGGTAAGTAAACGACAGTTACTTATTGAAGTAAAATCATATTACTACCTAGTGAAACCTGGTCGTGCTCGCGACACCTGTCGTACTTTGCCGGTACTACAGACGATTTTCCTAAAAGTCCCATAAGTTCTGTATAAAGTTCAAACTCAGTCAGATAAAAGCCCCTCGTCACAAAATGAGTAACAAACAATCATATTTATCTATCTGACCCCAATATCGTCATCATTGTGGCAGATTGAGCGTCGTTATATTTAGTGACTTCTATGAATTTTGATAACTGTTGACGTTAAGTGTTTGTCGAGATTTTTTTGCTCCTTCAAGTGCCAATTAGCTGTCTTTTTTAAATCTGTCTTAAATTTGACCCTCTAGTCTCGACCAGAGCGTACTGTTTATATTATTGTTCCCTATGCTGACTGATTAATAACTAGCACCGCCCTCTCCTCCTCGCGCGTTTCCTCACCGCTGAGGGTCGTGAACATTATATTTCGACAGGATTTTACTCCTTGTAATGTCCCGCCAGCGCCTTCGATCATTGGCCGCATGAAGGGCGTCGTGGAATGGGATCTCTAGCGTGGTGCGGATTTGGTCGAACCACCTTGTCGGACTGCGCCCGCGCGTTCTCTTTCCCTCAATCTTCCCTGTCACGAATAGTCTCTCTAAGCTATCCGGTGTTTTCCAAGCAATATGACCGAAGTATTCGAGTGAGCGGCGAAGGCAGAGTGTGGACAGTCTTGTCTTGATCTGCAGTTGGTCTAAGATAAACAGATTTCTTCTCTTCGCTCTCCAAGCTATCCGGAGCATTCTTCTCCAACTAGCACCTAAACTCTCTTCAATAAATGAATGGCAATCAAAATGAAAACTCCAAAACAATAATTGATATTGAAGTTAATGTCACGCTTTGCTTCGATATCTATACTAATATATAAATCTACAGTGGTTTTTACGGATTTTCCGTTATAACAACTGAACCATGCATCCGATTGACTTGAAACTTGGTATCTATGTAGAAAATACATTACTTAATGGATAGGCTAATATGTATATGAGTGTTGGACTTCCTATACCAGTTGCGGGGGTGAGAAATAATGTTAATTTTAATTGCCCAGCGAAGCGGATGGGTACAGCTAGTACTACATAATTTCCAGATGTATGGTCTTGGGTCGTGTGCGACGGAGACATAGACCCCGAGTGGATTGAGTCTCTGAACTCCGTGTTGGATGACAACCGGCTGCTGACGCTGCCGTCCGGCTGGCGGGTGCAGTTCGGGAACAACGTCAACTTCATATTCGAGACGCACAGCCTGGAGCACGCCTCGCCCGCCACCATCTCCAGAATGGGAATAATATTGATGAGGTAAACCATTTTCAACCTTATATCCCTAACATATCACTTCACTTCTGCTTTTTGACTGTTTTTTGAATGTAAATTGTGTATTGGTGTGCAATAAAGTGTATTCTCTCTCTCTCTCTCTCTCTCTCGCTCCCTCTCTCCCTCCCTCCCTCCCTCCCCCCTTAAAGTAAGATAAAATTAGGTATCGATTTTGTAGTAGGCAAAATATAGGTAAACAAAAAAAAAACTAAAACTAAACTACGCTCTTTTGACAGTATTTATGAGAAAAATACTGGTGATTGTTGGAGTGATCGTCTGGGTTTCTTATAAAAAGACGCAAATTTGCATGGATAGTTTTTATTCTAACGGCGATATACTTTTTTGTGTCAGTGGTCATTGACGACGCAACAAGAAGAGAGGGGCGACCACTACAAATGACATTGACACATATTAGGCGAGTGACAGCTGTCAGTTGGTATTAATATAAATATGTGTTTAGGAATTATACAATTCTAACAGTGATACCAAATGATTCCGCATATTAACTTAATTTCGAATATTTTTGGAAATTGTACACTTTTAATGCGAAAAGACGATATGTTGAGCAGTGATGACGTCAGCTGCGAGCTAGACGTGCTGCGGGGCTGGGTGCGCCGCACCGACCACGAGGCCGCCAGCCCGGCGCTCCCGCTGCTGCAGCGGGCCATCACCACCACCGTCCAGTGGCTCCACCGACACCAGGGCGCCGCCCTCACCAAGCTGTACAACGTGGCCGTAGTCCGACAGATACTTACACAGTTCGAATACCTAGTTCAAACCGCGAACACGAACTCGACACAACCCGGTCCCGAGGAAATGGTTATATGTGCGATACAAAGAAGCGTCGTCGACTTATTGAAAGAGGCCGCCGTTCCCAGTTTTTATGACGAGGTAATAAGCCTTTAATTTATTAGTATTTTTTTATTACTAATAAGAGTCGTCGTGGCCTAACGGATAAGACGTCCGGTGCATTCGTGTTGAGCGATGCACCGGTGTTCGAATCTCAGGCGGGTACTAATTTTTCTAATGAAATACGTACTTGTAAATGTTCACGATTGACTTCCACGGTGAAGGAATAACATCGTGTAATAAAAATTAAACCCGCAAAATTATAATTTGCGTAATTACTTGCGACCTTAGAACTTATATCTCAAGATGGATGGCGCGTTTACGTTGTGGATGTCTATGGGCTCCAGTAACCACTTTACACCAGGTGGGCTGTGAGCTCGTCCACCCATCTAAGCAATAAATAAAAAAAGAATAGATAGAAGCTCGCGACGCACCTGGTATTGAGCTGTCACCGGATGCCATAGACATTAACCACGTCAATACCGCCGTCCATCTTGAGACATGAGTTGTAAGTCTCCGTTTTTACAGTATAACAGCTTCACGACAGAAATAGGCAGCTTACAAGACGCCAGTACAGTAAAGATACCTATTAACAACTAACAGTATTGGACTAGTTTATTATTGTTTTTATATGGCGTACGCAAATATCATAACGATAGCTACGTACACCGTTCGTAAGGGAAGTTACATGTTACGAGCTTTTAGTTTTACTCGAGAGCACGTGTGACCGGTTGCGAGCCTGACACTTGTCTATGGACTTCAATTAGATTAACACTAGATATGTTAAATTTAATTTTGCAGATAAGGTATTAGATACGCTTAACTCAAGTTTAGCCTTGAAAAATAAATATTATATCCAGATATCTTCAGTGTTGGGTCCGCCCCCGCCCGAGCCCCCGTCCCCCAATGAATGGGTTTCGGAGTCCCTGTACATGTCGGCCAGACTCCTCGCCGTGGAGTCCGTCGTCAGGGCGTGTCTGGCGTCCGACTCGTCCCATCTGCTAATTGTGGGCCCCGATGCGTGTGCTAAAAGGTAGAATAAATTAATAAGTGAATTTATCTCTTTAGAAGTTTTTTCTCTCGACCCCCCCACTCATAAAAAACAATTTAACTGTTTTTTAATTTTTAAATAAACTACTACTAATTGAATAAGAACTGTCTGATGAACTCATCTTTGTTTAATACTTCACTATTAAATTTTATTGCCTTGTATTTATTTCACTTTTACACTAAACACAATTACCCGAGCACAACAATGGCGAAGAATTTTAGGTGCGTGAGAGCAGACATAGACACTAACGCGCATGCGCACTTGTCAGTACCCAGGCAGAAAAAGTTAGACTTTCTTCCCTGTACAGCGGGAGGAAAACCGAACTTTCGGCGTAGGTTGGAAAAAAATATATAAACCATTCTCAAACACGAAAGTTTTTATGTACCTGTCAACATTATCGTGTATATTTAACTAATATTTTGTGTAACACGCAATGTAATATAAAATGACACGAAAGACCTGCGGTTTCAGACAAATCGAGAACACCTACTATTCTTTGTTTAAAAATCTCAATTAAAGTACCTGACGCCTTTTCATTCGAGATCTTTCTACTTTTAGTGCGTTAGTGGAACACATTCTGAAGGAGAGCAACAGTCCTGTAATAACGATTGACTGCACGCCTATATTGGAGCCGGCTGACATAATACGCGAACTAAAGAGGGTCAGTATAATTTGTGTATGCGATGTGATCTACTATAGTGAGTTAAACGTATATTAGTGTGGATATCAGTCTCTGGGTAACTAACGCGAAATTTAATCTTCACTCTAATGACTAAAGGTAGGGTACCTGGTATGGGAGACTGATATGAAGAAGATGAAGTGAAACTTCTGTAGGCACGTTCAGAGTAAATTTTAACTCGCGACAGATTCGTTACGGCTAGAGAGAAAAGATACAATTTAGGACGAGCAAGAGTGAGAAAATATACAGACCGTCTCGATATTTATAGCGATATTTTCTATACACAATTTAAAATATATATAAATAGTGAAGAGATCGTTTCTCTTATACAGAGCATTCCCTGTTACAAGAGAAATTTGATTTAATGATTATAAATTAAGAAAATCACAATATTACACACCCAAAAGAAGTTTTACTTCTTTCACCGGCGCCAAGTTACACGCGCATTTCTTTATTTATTTATTCTCTTCTTCTCAGTAGAAAGGACACATCTTATTCATCTATATTACGATTGATACATTTTGTCAGTTTTTTTTTTATAACGGGCTTATAAAGCTCCGATAATTAATCATGAATAAGATTGATGAATCAGAAGATTTAGTTTGCTTCTGTATAACTGTACAGCATAACGTCGCTCGGTCCGGCGGCGGCGGCGCGGTGCACAGCGGCGCCCGCACCACGCTGTACGTGCGCGGCTTGCAGCGGGCGCGCGCGGACGCCTGGGGCTCCTGTCCGGTGCACTCCTTCCTGCTGCAGGTGAACGAATAGCTAAATAACAATCAGCAACTCTCGCAAAACAATTGTCGACTTACAATAGAAAGTTCAGCATAAGATTATATGGAAAACTAAGCGATGATTTCGTTAAAGACAAAGGAGCATACGACTCTGCTAGTGTTAAGTGTTACGAAATATTTGTCTAATATTAAGTTGATGTTTCTTTAAAATCGACGAGAAAGTAGTATAAAGTGTGTTGATATTAGAGTGCGTACGCAAGTAACAAGAGACATAACATTGAGACTAGTTAAAAAGTAGTAGGTGGTCTTTCTCCAGTACCAGATTAGTTTTTGCGTCAAATAATTGTTTCATTTACGGAAGGTATTTTTTTCAATAGGCACTTTGTAGTTTATGATTAATAATTTTTTATGGTGTCTTCGGTTTCACGGGGTATAACGTTCTTGTGTGCCAGTTGTTGCAGCAGGGCGGGTGGTGGAGCGAGGCGGCGGCGTGGTGCGCGGCGCGGCGCGTGCGCGTGCTGGCCGCCGCCACCGCGCCCCCCGCGCCCCGCCTCGCCGCCGCGCTCGCCCGCGCGCACCTCGCGTACGTACCGACACACAACCATTCAAAAAACTAACAACTCCCTTTTTTTGGCATTTGTGGGCTGACGATAAGATACGACCTACCTGGTGGCATCAAGTACACAGCCAAATACCTATCGCTATCATTTATCATTTACATGAAAATTAATATATTTGTAACTAGTTTCTGATTGTAGTTTGATGCCTACAGTCTAACTTACTAACATAATATTTAAATAACTCATCAACCCTTTTAATTAATAATAAGCGAATATTGATCTGATTTAATTGCTACATCGAGCTAAAATTATACTATTTAATATTATCTATACTACTCGTACATTATATTTTAGCGATCCGGACGAAGACGAACTATTGCAATTAGCAACGAACTATTTATCACAGTCTGTGGATAAAAACATTTCAGCAAAGGAAATCACAAGTCTCGCTTCTAAAATGCTATCCCTATTCCAAGAGGTAAACAAATAAATTTAAAAAAGTTTAATGACATTAAAAATATATTATAAAAGTAAACTGCTGTTTTCGATCTAATAAATACATCCCTATTAAGTTATTCACGATAGTCGCTTACCTCCATTTATCATTAAAGGTAACCGAGATATTTAATACGCGACCTCATTACAAATGGAACGCTTCTCATTTGAAAAAGTGGTGCGAAAATGTGAAATGGTACAACCCGAAGAACACCGAAGATCTACTCACGGTAAATACGAACTTTCAACTGTCGAGTTCTTTTTTTTTATAAATTAATCGAAATATGTCACGGGAGCTATTTTAAAAGTGTCTTAGGAAACAAATGTTAAGTAATACAACAGTTGTTAACTATTCTCGCACTTTCGAAGGCAATCGTTTCGGAGGCGAATTTCATATTTCGCGATCGATTCGTAACTGACGAAGAAAAGTTGAGGTTCAGCACTATGTGTCGAGGTCACTTGAAGAACGACGCCACCCCGGTGTACTATACGTACAAATTGCGAGGCGACGGTGTGTATTTAGAGACGATTGATCAAACCGGCTGGCGACAATACATCAATAAACTCATTAATCAATGCTGTAAGTATTCAGAGCTTTAATGCATAGGCAAAAACAGTTTATTAAAAAAACATAAAAAAAAACAATCTATCATAATGTACCTTGTAAAAAATTAAATAAAAATAAAAATATTTTCTTTTATACTCTGTGCCTTCCTAAACTATTCAACCGATTTTTTTCGAAGATTTAAGAAACCTTAGAAAACCTAAATTAACGAAATAAAATAATGCACATTACTTCGCTTTCTCCGCATTCTCGTCAACAAGTCCATTCATCCGATTGTGATGAAATTGGCAATTCTTTTTGGGATTTAAGGGAAATTTACATCACCTAGTACCGGCGAAGTACGATAGGTGGTGTGATGATAGTTTCTAGAAATCAATCAATTTTTTCCAAATAATTAACCATAGTCACATTATTTTCATACATACATACTCACTGATTTTCTGTTGTGTGTGTAATGTTTGATGTTTATGATTAAGAAAAAAATATATTTTTCAGTGGCAGAACATGAATATAATATATTTGGGGACAGCGGAGTCGAGGTGTGTGACGAACTCAACGTATTGTGTCCTGCCATGGCTCGAGCTGTAAGTTACAGTTTATTTTATTTTATATGTAATATCAATTTTATTCAAAACATTATTTATTACGGGTCTACTTTCGATAGTAATTTTTTAAATAATATATAGACTATCCTCTCTGTGTGCCCGAGCACTTGCTCTTTTAGTTATGATGTGTTAAAATAACTCGTAAATAGAAGTTTTCTCATATTTGGCCTCATAATATCGTGTCGTCAGCGCCAGCTCTATTCCGATAAGAACCGAATGATTGATTAAATTGATTGATTAAATAACGATTGTAACTGACATTCAACTAGATCGCCTTTGCCTGACTTAATGACTTAGTTAGCACCCCTAACTATTAGACGTCGGTCGAGGATTGTGGTTTCGGTTCCCCTGTTAGGCGAAAATTCATGTAACGATTAGTTTTAAAGGCTCATATCTCGGTAGTTAATATCTATATGTTTTCACATAAGCAAGTATTGAGTACGTCATCGCGTATATAAGAGTCTGTGGTTCCCTTAATGTAGGGAAGGGAAGTTGGTAGGACCAGATGACCGTGTGTTGTTAGTAAAAATAAAATCTTTGAACGTAAAACGAATGTATAATCAAATTTATGATCTTTTTCGTGTCTATATATCACTACAGATCAATTAAATAAAGGTTTAAGAGTTGTTACCGTGGTTGTGAGTATGATCAGCCCACTAAGTTTTTCCGATCCCGTGGTAGATTCCGCGAAGCACTGCTCTTGCCAAGGCTAGTGTTAGTAAATTCTCTCAGGTTGAGCCCGTGAGCTCACCTGTCCAGGAGTAGCTAGAATAGCTCTTTAAGCTACCAGCGAATAGGTAGAAAAAAAAAGAAAAAAAAAGAAAAAAAAACAGAATATGACCGTACTTGTACTGCAGGCTAATGGCGGTATGGTAGTGTGCGTGGGCACGGCGGGCGTGGGCCGCGCCGCCGCGAGTCGCTTGGTGTGCGCCGCGCTGCAGGCCGCGCTCTACCCCATCGACAATCCCTCGCAGTTTAATGGACAGTTCAAAAATGTATTGTTTTCTCGTTATTTTACTTATTCTCTATCGCACTAACTATAATTACACAATCAAAAGACCGATTGCCTTTTTAATCGGTTAGGCTCTAATGGCAAGTCAAGTTTGATAGATGGGAGTGTTTTGTTCGAAATTATAATTAACATAATGTTTTGAAAAACGAACGATAAGGAAGCAGCAGTTATATGGCCACATAAATTATATTCAAGTGTTAGTCTGTACAACAATTATGGACTAGAAAGAGACAGTTATATTTAATTTTGTTTTTTTTATTTTTGGGGTTGTAATTTTTTCAACACAGGCATTGTCATCGTCCGGAGACGCCACGCATACGCTAGTGGTGCTGTCGGAATCTGCTGCGAACAGTGCAACCATAGCGTGTATAGAAGCTCTGATCAGAGCGCGATCTTTGAATGCCATTCCCGAGCACATGTTACCCGGTGCGAACAACCCACACATGTTGGACAGTAAGAAATAACTTTTTAAAACACAATTAACATGAATACATTGGAACATCGATAACGATTCACGAACTATTCCGAAATATAAATTCAAACATTGTGTGCTATTTACAGATATAAAACAATGCCTAGGTATTGTGATATGCCTTGACAAGAACCAAAATAACCTAGCAGAGCTAATAGAGAAATATCCCATACTTTACAATCAAGCCGATTTAATATGGTTAGAGAAATGGTCGGAAGAGACACTGCGGGATGTTCCGTCATTGATCATAGATAGGTATCGATTGTATCGAGCAATAGAGTCTACCTACATATCGATATTAAAACACGTAGTATTGGCACACATTGTCAACGTTGCACTTGCACTCGGAATTAGATATTTTTTTCTGTATATTTGTAATCCCTATTACATATCGTAGTACTCATTTTTTGTGTAAAACAAAATTTGTTGCTTACGGCAGTGATAAATTGTAGTTATATAAATTGTAATCTCAATGTTCACAGACTTCTAAAGGAGAATGTAACTGATATTACAAAGGATCAACTCGAAAAAATTCCTATCGATGGATTCGTTAAAATTCACAAAAGCCTCGAGACTGATTGCATGCGAGCTCCGTGCCGATATGTCAACTTCGTCAAAACCTACTTCTATATCATGAGCCGAAAGAAGACGGCCCTCGTTCAAAGACAAAATACACTTTCGGTTCGTTGAAGTTTGTTGTAATAGAGGTTTTAATAATTCTAAACTTTCCTTAAAAGTTCCTTCCTGTGCATGACATTTCTTTTGATATATGAATTTGATATATGATATTTATTTATGTATATGAGTTTATTATTCTTTTCGGCTATTAATTTCTTTCCTACGATGTTTCTTGTACTCACCGATAAGATCGCTTTTTTGCATTTTTTGTCTTAAATCCTTTGATTTCAATTTGGTGTAAAGCCGCTTTCAAACTATGCTATAATATGATAGCATATAGTAATATAATATTGCGCACCATAAATTGTTATGGACACGTTCACACTGTACTGTACTATATATTGTTGACTAAGGGCGGATTCGACCAAACTTAAATTTAAACTCGAGTAACTATACGAGGAATAACCTATTCCATTATTTTAATCTCGAGTAAATCCATAGTCGTTTTTCCACGTATACTTGCGCTAGGAATAACAATACGCGAATAGCAGAGTGAATGGTGAACAAAAATAAAATCCGGCAAATAAATGTTGTTGTTCAACGGCATAGTGTAAGAGCATACAAATCGTCAACTCGATTTTGCCGTATTTTAGTGTGAAAAAGTAGCTGTTGTGTAAGATATCCAGCTGTCAAACGTATTATTTTTATTTCTTGTTTGTTTGAGGGAATTGTCAAGTTTTGTCGTGTGGTTTTATCTTTTTTCGTTTAAACGTTGCATTCAGACTATTAATAATCATTTAGTGCATTGCGTTGACTTGAAATTAAAACAGAATAAATATTTATGAAATGACAGAAATCAGATGTTGGACTGACAGACGCCATTACTTTATTCTAGGAATAGCTCCGTTATTCCGTGCGAAACGGCGGTATAGTAACAATTCCCGAATAGGCCCACTATTCTTAGAATTGTAGTTGGTAAAACGTAAAATTGATTTACTCTCGATTAACTGACGAGTTATTCTAAGAATAAGATTTACTCTTGTTTGGTCGAATCGACCCTTAGTATACGATGCTATACTAAATGGCACTATAGCATAGCGTAGTCTGAAAGCAGCTTAAAGCGAAATATAAAGAATATTTCGCTTTAATAAAAAAATTACAAATTACAATTACAAATTACAAATAAAAAAATCTGAAAACGGAATACGACAGGCCGGCCTCGATGCCTTGAAGCGCGCGCGTACTGAGGTGGCAACACTGCAGACCGACGCGTCCAAACAAGAAGCCGAACTCTCAGATAAACAAGCGAAAGCTAATCAGGCGCTGGACCAGATCAGCGCCACGGTGCGCGCCACCACCGACAGGAAGGAGGAAATGCACGCCTTGAAGAAGAACATCGAAATTGAAAACGAGAAATTACAGAAACAGTTGAGTTGTTCATGTCCTAATCAATCGTCGGGCTCACTTAGTGGTCAATAATGTAATACGGTACGTTAGACTTTAGAACTTATATGTGACCTTAGAACTTGTGGGTGGCGCATTGACGTTGTAGATGTCTATGGCTCCAGTAACCACTTAACAGCAAGTGGGTTGTGAGCTCGTCCACTCGTTTAAGCAATTAGATATATATATATTTGTAATCGTCGTGGCCTATATGATAAGACGTCCGGTGGATTCGTGTTGAGCGATGCACCGGTGTTCGAATCTCAGGCGGGTACCAATTTTTCTAATGAAATACGTACGTAACAAAAATGTTCTGGATTGACTTCCACGGTGAAGGAATATAACATCGTGTAATAAAAATCAAACCCGCAAAATTATAATTTGTGTAATTACAGGTTGTAGGACGTTTTGTAAGTCCGCACGGGTATGTACCATCTCCCTGCCTATTTCTGCCGTGAAGCAGTAATGCGTTTCGGTATGAAGGGTGGTGCAGCCGCTGTAACTATACTGAATACTGACCTTAGAACTTATATCTCTGGACTCCGGTAACCACTTAACCAAGTGGGCTCACTCGTCCAACTATCTATGTAATAAAAAATAAAAAGTTTGAATATTTTTAGGAAAGAAGAAATCGAAGCGGAGCTTGCATCAGTAGAGCCAGTGATTGCGGCCGCTCGGGCTGCCGTAGGAGACATACGGCCCGAATCACTCAGCGAAGTGCGTTGCTTTCTTCTTAAATATATAAAAATCATACGTGAATTAGATACAGTTTGTTGGTTCACATGACAGGTGCGGTCGTTGCGCGCCCCGCCGGATGTGGTGCGGGACGTGCTCGAAGGGGTGCTGCGGCTCATGGGCATCGCCGACACCTCGTGGCACTCCATGAAAAACTTCCTTGCGAAACGCGGAGTCAAGGAGGACATAAGGTTCGTTTCATTTAGAACCATTTGATACCTACAGGCGAGCACGCGGCTGACCCGTTGCGGCCATTAATAGGTTCTTCGTTCATCGGAAATATACTTACATATTATTATGTTCAAAGATTGGGAATTGAAGCAGTGTTAAATCGTGGCATAAATAAAATACTACTTTCAACGGTTCCCACCTCGGACTTTCTTCTGTCCGATAACGCAGAAACATCAGAAACATAAATAGGAAACAAGAATTACAAACCACAACTTTAACACAATATTGACTGAGAACTGAATCTAAGTCTTGCGATATCGAAATCACAGTCGTTAATAATAAAATTAAACCAACGAGTTGTTTTACTACACCTGATTTTAGGCAATAAAACTCAAACGGTTCAAACTGTTTACCTTTTCTTCGTTCGTGTCCGCGGTTCTAATAGTTTTACGAGAGTAAATCGGATGGTAGGTGCCTAGACGCGAGCCAGATAAGCCCGGCCGCTATCGAAGGTGTGAAGAAGCTGCTGGAGCGTCGCGGCGCGTCGTTCGAGGCGGCGGCGGCGCGGCGCGCCAGTGCGGCGTGCGCCCCGCTCGCGGCCTGGGTGCGCGCCAACCTGCGCCACGCCGACGCGCTCGTCCGCGTGCGCCCGCTGCAGGACAAGCAGGCCACCTTACACAAGTACGCGCACTACCGCACTTGTACACTTGCATCTGTCACATGTCGAGCTTCACTAGCTTGTATAGAAACGTTCCCTGCATTTAGTTATACTTTTAATTTTATACGCAACCGAAAACACAAGTGACGTCACGATTAGAACAGTTACAGAAATGTAACTTTATCGAAAAACAACTTCCGCCTGAGGTAATTTAGATGTTGTTTCGAAAAACGCATTATTTAGAAATAATATTGTTTTCAATAAAAATAACTAGAATATCCGAAAAAGATCGATAATTTATGTGCAACATTATAATTGAAGCAAAACGATATCGCTCAATACTAACCACACTTGGTGAATGTTGTACTCGCATAATAAGTACAAAAGAAGAATTGAGTATGTCGTTTGACAAAACAATTATCCAAGATTTAGTTCACAGCACATTAATCTTGATATTTTTTAGAAATACCTTATCGGTTCACGTTTTTCGTTTAACTGTACATTCCCCATACCTAATTGTGGATATAATGATTGATAGGAACCTCCAAGAAGCCGAGGATCAGCTGTCGGCATTGTCGAGCGGGCTGGCGACGGTGGACGAGCGCGTGGCAGCGCTGAAGGAGCAGCTGGGCCGGCACTCGCGGGACGCGGCCGCGCTCGAGCTAAGCGTGGCCAGCGCCGCGCAGACCATCGCCGCCGCCACGCAGCTACTCGACCAGCTCGCACACGAATACACGGCCTGGGAACGTGACGTAAGCTACATCTTGCGTGCCATCTACATATGCACAACATCTTATACAATCTTAGTCCCTAGCATTTGTCTTCAATTAACCTTATACTATTGACAAACTTCTACCAACTCGTTCCTATTGCCAACTCTAGGCTATTAGGGTCAAGCTAATCTTAAAACTTAAGCTTGTCGAAAAAATATCGATATATCGATAATTTTTGTTCCACGTGCCGATGCGTTAGAGCGATATTTAATGTTTTGAAATATCAACATAAATTTCCAATTATTGTTAAAGCCTGTGAAAAGTGATTATTTTTCAGACAAATAAATGAATAATTCAAAGATTAGATTATTAAATAAAACATATAATTTTATGTAAATGAAGACATTACAGATATTTTCAGTTAATTCGTTTTTTTATTCAGTCATGTGAGATTAACATAGATATCTCAATATATTAGACTTTTAAAGCGCCTCTATTTCTCTTACGAATAGATACTTCTTTTTGAAAATTTAAATTTATCTTATATATCGATACTCTTTGAAACTAACACCTGTACCAAATTACAATCCCTGTTCAAAATTGTAACAATTAGACGTGTTCTTAAAACTACAGTATTCCTGAATGATTATTTAGGAACGAATTATTCAAAAAATTATTTTTAATAAATTTTGAATAACTGCCAATTTCTATAGTAGTGACATTTGGAGTTTGCGGGTGCATAAATTTTCGACAACTCAAATAAATGTATAGAACGCTAACTTTAATGTCACGTTTCCTGATGAGTTGCTAAGTATACACAATAGCTGGCTCTAATACAATGAAATATGGGTTTGGCTAAATTAAAGAAATAAAATTCGAAAATAGTAAAATATGCGAATGATTTTTGAAATATTTTGCAGCTGGCAAACATTTCGACGGAAATATCGCAGCTGAGCGTACGTTCGTTGTTAGCTGCGGCCTACGTCGTGTACCTCCCCGACCTGACAGAGCCACAAGCTCTGTGAGTATACATTTTGTAGCACGACGGTAGCGAGAATTGGGTTTTGCTCCCTATTTACAAGCACCTTAAGTACTATTTTGTCTGCCGGTTAAATATTTTAATGATTCAGTACGTATGCTTCAATTTCCTTGGCACGCGTGGACTTGTCTTTCTAAATACGTAACTTAGCCACGATTTATACCTTTTAATTTTTCGCCAGCGATAAATATTGTACACTCAGTACAATAAGGCGGTATGACTACGCGGGTCGGAGGTTTGGATATTAATAATATGCATTTATTACAAGCATCATTATTATTTAGCGTTTTTTCTTCCTTGTCGGTACAATAATTCATTAAATATTATTATCAAAAAATCTATTAGGTTATATTTCTTTTTTTTTTCAGGGTTTACATACATAAATGGAGTGAGTTTGTTGGATTTGACGACTCCTCATTTTCTGTCATCAATTTCCTGTCTACGACGGAGAAGCAGTTGAAATGGGACGCGGACGGTCTTCCCGCGGATAGTTCAGCTGTGAAGAATGCCGTTTTAATCGATCAGGTATTGAGTGTGAACCGTCGATGCGGAGCGTCGGAATACCGACTATTGCGCAGTTTGGTTATAGGGTTATAGGTATTACGTATCGACCTTTAAGGAAGTGTCTTAGCGCGCGCATGTATAACGTTTTTAATAAGTTAATAACCTGTATAAATAACCATTTAAACATTATTTTGCCGGTAATTCAGCGTTGATAGCATTGTGTATTATTTTTGAGTTAACGGTTTTTCAAAAAACCTTTTGTTATAACAATTTTTGCAACATACGTGAAAATAAGCTCAGCACTAAAAGGGTTGAAATTGTAGAAAAGTCCGAACTGTTGACTATTTAGAACTGTTTAAAGTCACCCATCATAACTGCATCCTTTCAGGTGCTAGAAGCCCAAAAATGCGGCCTCACTCCGTTCCTGATAGACCCGGACGGCGAGGGCATGACGTGGCTAAAGAACACGCTCGCCGATCAACAATGCGATTTTGTTTCACAAAACAGTGAGAAGCTATCTACCGCCGTTCAGTATGCATTTAGGTAGATAAACAATTTTAAATATGCAGTATGAATTTCTTTGCGCTTTGAGCGATGTAGTGTGTCTTATAAATCGATGAACATCGGCTGCACGCACGAAATACTGTCACGTTTTGCCTGAGCCTGAGCGTGCAAGTGAGAGCGCGGGACAAGCGATAGAGAGGCTCGATAGGCCCAAGCGTTGGCTTGTGACACATTTATCTCTCTTCTCGCGTGACGTCATAGCTAACAGTTCAAATATTTCTGCTACTGATATCTTAAGTTTGGTAAACGAGTACAAGCCAATTCTGATATTAAGTGATTACAGGAGCTCACAGACATCACAGCGTAAACGCCACCACTAACCATGTATTAGTACCCAGTAGTCGCTGGTATAAAAATATAATCCCCAGGGACAGGTAACCAAGACGTTTTGCGGCTTAAAGGGCGTGACAGGCATTTAGGATAATGAGCTATCGAAACTGTTCAGACTGGGCCGCATCTTGGTGATCACGGAGGCGGAGCACGTGGCGGAGGCGTACGGCGCGCTGGCGTGTGGGCGGCGCGGTGCGGCGGCGCGCGTGCTGTTGCACTGCCGTGACGTCACGGCGCCCGCGCGTCTGCCGCCGCATCAGCGCGCCGCGCTCTCTCTCCTGCACTTCACCGCCAGACTCGATGGTCTCACCGGTATGCATTTAGTATATTTTTGAGAATGTTAAAAAATTTACGTCGTCTAAATTGTTTTGTTTTGTCAGTCTTGTAATAATGATTGTCTATTGACCATTGATTATTTAATTCTGTGAAGGTGCACAGTTGCAGAAATGGAGTTAAGTTGATGACTTCTTTTGTTCTTTTAAAAAGAAAAGTATAGTCATATTAATTTGTGCCACAAATTTCAAAGTCGGAACGACAATAAACAACCACTACGTAAACAAAAAACAATAATAGGAAATTAAGTTTTGTAGTTGTTAAACTATTACAAATTTTTATTACAGTTCAATGAAATTTAATTGAGTAACATTGCGTTATTTTAAGTACTACTAAATTTACTAAATTACTAGCTGTACTCGCCCGCTTCGCTGGGCATTTAAAATTAACATGATTATTTATTGTCATTATTATTAGGGAGTCCAATACTCATATAAATATTAGCCTATCCATTAAGTACATGTATTTTATACATGGATACCAAGTTTCAATTCAATAGGATGCATGGTTCAGTAGTTATAACGGAACATCCGTAAAAACCACTGTAGATTTATATATTAGTATAGATACTTTTCCGTGATTTTTACTGCCCTCGTATCTGCAATCACCAGCGTTACTTGACCCGATACTGGCATTTAGCGAAGCACACTGAGACTGTCATTGTTCCACGATTAGACTCTGATATATTATTAAAAAATACAATACCTGTTTTCATAGCCTCAAAAGCCTACAAATATTCGCATTACAAGTCAAGTAATTGCCATCTCTATGAGAACCTATTATTGATGTATGACTGTAAACATTCTCATGATTTATTTTCAGATCAGCTCATCCATTACGCTTTACAACAACAAAATCCGGATATGAATGAAAAATTGAAGGAAATCAAAATTCAAAAAGCTACCTACCAGAAACAACAACACGAGTTGCAAGTACGAACAAAGAAGTCTTCTTACAAGTTCTATTATTTTCATATATACTAAAAAATGTTTTTTGTTCAGGAAAATCTGCTTAGGGACCTTTCCGGGAACGTGGACATCTTGCACGACGCGAACCTGTTGGCGTCGTTGAACAGGACGCGCGCAGCGAACGCCGCGATAAGGGAAGCGCTCGACGGGGCGCGCGCGCTCGAGGCGCAGAGTCGCGGCGCGGGGGAGGCGCACGCGGCCGCCGCCCGCCGCACCGCGCGCCTGGCGCTGGCCGTGCGGCGCGTGGCGGAGCGGCGCCCGCTCGTGGCGCTGCCCGTGGACGCCGTGCTCGAGATGTTCGCCGATGCACTGCGTACTCTTGGCGTGAGTAGATCATACACTTATTGTTTCCATCTCATATTCAGCGGAAACGTATCATTTTGATCTGAATACAAAATCTATAAATATTATCATCACTTTTATGTTTCTTAGAACTTACTTTTATACGGTTAGATATTAAGAGTGACATAGTACATAATCTTTTTATTTCGAAAGTCATTCATTTCACCAATAAAAGGGAGGTACAAAGATTTTAACGTACATAATATACAGATATTGCCATTACATGCTATATGCGCTGCCGTGGTCGGTCCTCCCTCAATATCTCTTGGTTTTTTTTAATATTATTTTTTAGATCCATTCACCTATTAGGTTAAGTCGGCTAATATCTCTTGTTGGTTCCAGCAAAAATCTCAACCAAAAACGGACGACGTCATCAAGTATGTGACGAGGAGAATCATTGAAAGAGTTCTCTTGGGACTTTATAAAAAAGATAAATACATCATTGTTCTTCATCTACTGAAAGAAGTCTACGATGAGCTCATGCCAGATAAGGTAATAATAGTCGCCGGTGTGTTCGCAATTTTGTATCAACTTTGAACTGTTCTAATTACGGAACGCAATTATTATTCATGGCGCATGTCTTTTTCAGTTGTGGAATTTACTCGTAAGTAGCTACGATGTCGTAGAAGATACAGATAATGTGAATGAAATTAGGAGATCATATCCGTGGATCCCAGATGGATGCGTAAGAAAAGTTGCGAAACTGAAGGTAATATACGAATCATTTTATTAAATAAAGTAATTTTAATTTGAAACGTTAACATCTGAGAGGTACATTTTAAGAATTTGGGCTGCAATAGTAAAAAACGTTGTGATGTCGATTCAATACGATGATTCGAGATGAATAGTTAGACGATGTTTTAATACCTTTGGTAATGAGGACTTGTTCGCACAATTAAAATAAATTCAAACAAAGACAACATTATATTTCTAATTTCTCGATTATTTTCATTATAAATACTGTTATTTTACCACGTTAAGGTAATTTTAGTGAAAATTCGATGTTTATGCATCAACCGTGATCATGTTGCATCTTAAGAAAATGTGCTTGCATCATTTATACATAATTGATAACTTACTTTTCTTTTGCTATTTACTACTATTTATTTTCATTTTTTATAACTTATCTCTCGTCTATCTCTAATTACATATGTAGTAAATGACAGTTATTCTTAATTCAGATAACGGATGAGAATCTATTTAACAAGTTGTGTTTGAACAAAGAAGATATGTGGAGAGAGTTTCTTGAATCCGGCGACAGTAAGGTCATCAGTAAATTGGGCATTACTCCTTTTGAATATGTCGTCTCCGTGGCATCGATTCGTCCCGACGGCTTATATAGGGCCCTTGTGGAATTTGTTGATCAAGTTTTGGGTACATTACTTTTTTTTTATAACTACTATCTCCTGAAAATTTAATTCAATTAAAATTGAATGTGACGAGTTGTAAGAATAAGATTACGATCACTGACATTATTAGACATCACGAATAAATGAACAAGATTTGTGTTTTAAGTTTTAAAGCAAAAAACGTGGACGAGATCTTATCGCTTAAAACGATATCTTTTACACAACCACGTAAAGAAATATTTAGAAATTGGCGACGACGCTTACCAACGATACGAATATTTAAAGTATTCTCAATATAACTGTGAAGCTTGTTAACCCTTTGCACTCGAACGATGATTCTAACTCAGTGTGTTTGCAGCGAAAATTCGATGCAATGTGTTGTAAACTATTTATGTTACTTTATTCGATGATTGACATCTTGTTTATGTTTTTGATATCTGTTCCGAACGTTCTTTTTCTAGTTTGTAACTAAATCACGTGCTGAGCCATACTCACCTCTCGAGTGCAAAGGGTTAAAATCGTACCTACTATCAGGTGTAACACATTAACAGTGCTGTATATTGTGCAAGGTGCGGGCGTGATGTCGTGCGGCTCGGCGCTGGGCGTGGCGGGGCGCGGCGCGGGGCGGGGCGGGGCGCGACGCCCGGTGCTGCTGCGGCACGCGCATGCGCGGGACCTGCTCCTCGCGCACGCACAGGCCAACGCTCTACCGCTCACGCTGGTGCGCACCACACGCGAAATCTATACTAATATATAAACGTTTTTTACGGATGTTCCGTTATAACTACTGAACCATGCATGCGATTGACTTGAAACTTGGTATCCATGTGGAAAATACATGTACTTAATGAATAGGCTAATATTTATATGAGTGTTGGACCACCTACACCAGTTGCGGGGGCGCTAATGATGAGAATGTTTGTGGGGATGAGAAATAATAATGTTAATTTTAAATGCCCAGCGAAGCGGTTGGGTACAGCTAGTCAGACATAATTATGTTAATAAGACTTAGGGTCGAATTCATCTTTACAAATAGGGTCGCAAAAATTATAGTATTTGTACTTAACATAAAAGCATTTTATAGCAAAATTCTAAAGATATCATTCTTTGAAAAATCGACTTATATTTTGTTTTATATATAGGTAGGAATAGAAGAGGGCAAGAATTCATGGAATGTGGCACTGGAAGCCACCAGAAGCGGCGGCTGGCTCGCAATAGACGTTGGCGCTTCTCCATTTACGACTGAAATACAAACCTTTATTTCGGAATTCGTCGCTACGCCAGTAAGTTTTTGCTAGACATACATACGCATCGGCGATTTAAATTATAATTTCAATTTGTAACAGAAATTCAAAAGATAAGTTTACCCTGTGACTTTGTTTTTATAAATTGTGGGTAATATCATAGGTAATACCTACTTCAGTTTGCACTTTCAGTAAAGAGTACTTTCCTCTACTGAACCTTTAAAAATTGTGATTTTGCAGCCTGAAAACTTGAGCGACGACTTCCGTATGTGGATTCTTTCTGAAGATCGTGACATACCGGCTCTGTTGTGTAATGCATGTATCAATGTTATACTCGAGGTAAATATACTAAAGGAACTAACTATACTAGAGGAACTAAATGGAAATGTTGTCAGGGTTTGTTTTCGAATTATAAATTTCCGTTCCAGACACCGGAAGGCGTTAAGAATAATATAATGAGCACGTTGGCCGCGTGGGGGAACTATGAAGCTGAACCGAATATCGTGCGCTTACATGCTTCACTCGCCGTCTTCCACGCTCTCGTGCAAGAACGACAAGCCTATATCCCGCAAGGTTAATGATATATTATTTAGTGTGTACTACATAGCTTTACTAATCTATTTTCAAGTAATTACACTTTGAAGGTTTTATGTTGAATTTTTGATTAATAAAATGCGTAATGTAACGCGCTGAGGGTCGGCATAAATAAAAATCTTCCGAAGTGTAAAATTAAAACTGTATTTATCACTTAGAACACTTAACGAACACTTTAAAATTCTCAATTCAATTCTTCCGCTTCGCTTCGGGTGATCTATCCGCTGTTTCGATTCGAGCAGTTCCGACTACTAACTGACGCGTGCCATCTCTGCAACGCTTTTATAATCGATACGACATCCCTAGAATTATCGAGAACATTCCTCACAAGTCGAGTATTTTCGATGTGTGTTTCAGTCTTCTGACAATAGATAGCGTTGTACTTCTCGAGCGTTCTAGATGCAATTAGACCCTTGGATATTCATTTCGGCTATTCGGCGATAGATGGCGTTACTTTTACCGGCGTAACAGTAATATAAGTAACTAGCTGTACCCGTCCGCTTTTAAGCAAGGTGAAGTTTTATATGGTTTTTCTTCTTTTTTTTATTGCTTAGATGGGTGGACGAGCTCACAGCCCACCTGGTGTTAAGTGTTTACTGGAGCCCATAGACATCCACAAGGCAAATGCGCTACCCACCTTGAGATATAAGTTCTAAGGTCTCAAGTATAGTAACGACGGCTGCCCCACCCTTCAAACCGAAACGCATTACTGCTTCACGGCAGAAATAGGCAGGGTGGTGGTACCCACCCGCGCGGACTCACAAGAGGTCCTACCACCAGTAAAAAACCGCTTCGCTGGGCATTTAAAATTAACATCATTATTTCTCATCCCGAGAAAGATTCTCATCATTAACGCCCCCGCAACTGGTGTAGGGAGTCCAATACTCATATAAATATTAGCCTATCCATTAAGCACATGTATTTTCTACATGGATACCAAGTTTCAAGTCAATCGAATGCACGGTTCAGTAGTTATAACGGAACATCCGTAAAAACCACTGTAGATTTATATATTAGTATAGATTGGTCACGTTATATCCTCAATTCAATAAGTACTACGATGTCATGTCCCGTTGGCCAGGCTGGAGCCGGCGGTACGGCTGGGAGTGGGGCGAGGTGCGCGCGTGCGCGGGCGCGGTGCGGCGCGCGGGGGCGGGCGGCGCGGCGCTGTGGGGCGCGCTGTACGCGAGCCGCGTGTCGGCGCCGCACGACCGCCGCGCGCTGCGTGCCCTGCGGCACCACGCCGCCCGCCCCGACCTGCTGCCGCTGCCGCTGCCAGCCACCACCAAACTGCAGGTACATCGTCTGACTAAAAACAACGGGAATCAGACTCTGACTACTTAAAAAATAATAACTAATAATAATATGGTAAGCAGCGGCTTGGCTCTGTCCCTGGCATTGCTGACGTCCATGAGCGACGGCAACTGCTTACCATCAGGTGGGCCGTATGCTCGTCTGCCTGCAAAGGCAATAAAAAAAGAAAAAAAATCTATAAGTATTTACTACCTTTAGTTAATATTAGTATTTACCTCTCGGAAATTATCAATTATAAATAATTATGGCGATTAGACCTTAAAAATATTTAACTACGACTCGCGCAAACCTTAGAAAATACTACGTCGTATCAGATTTATTAAAAAGATTAGCTACATCAAAGCCCTCTGTAAAATGGATAACCATAGCCAGAAGTAATGGATTGACAAGCTATATCCATTTATTTTCTTCGATCTTGGGACTCGTACACATAATTAAAGATACTTTTACGATTTAATCTCAAGTTTCTTAGTGTCCATTATATTATTTCGGACACGTTTCGAATACTTACAGATTTCGGTGTCACGCCGAAACAGAATCGTAAAAGTAGTTTTAATTAGTCCAATATACATAATAATATGTACTTATATTGCTGCAGGCCTACGTCTCATTCTTCGACAAGATGCCGGATGTGGATTCGCCTCAACTGCTAGGCCTGTCCGACAACTGCGGACTGGCCCGGGAAAGAACCGCGGCCAACGATATTATAATTGGATTAAAAGGTTCCGAGAGCTTTATTGGCATCATACGAACGTATAACCTACTTTGCAGTTCACCAAATATGTTCAAAAATTAAAAAAGAATTTTATGAATGAAATAATTACATAAAAATAATATTTATGAATTTAGAAATGAAGTTTATTTGTAAAGCTATTATTATATATTTGATTCAGTTGTTTAATACATTTAAATAGATATATGATTAAATAGATTGTAATTTTAATAGATATTAATTTATTATTAAGTAGGTAAAAATATAAAATTTAAAAAGTTTAATGATTACATATGAGTCGTCTATTATCAAAGGTGGCAATCTGTGCATTTGGACAAAAAAAAATTATTGATATGTCAATACAGATTGATTTGAATATAAACGTCTCCTTCAAAGAATACGGTTCAAAACCTGCATTAAATAAAGGTTAATAGTTAACCTGTTATTTATCTAAGATGTCGTTCCGAAGAGTTTTGTGACTGCCAATGGAATACAAAGTCAATAATTCGTTTTTCTGATTTACCAATAATTGTCTAAAAGTCACATTGCCGGCTTTGATAATAGTCGACTCATATATGGTTTTAAGTAGGCTTGGTATGATGGTGTGTTTTTATTTTTATTTTTCGTGCAGAATATATTTAGTTTGTTGAGTACTAATGTATTTCTTGACGCAGAGCTGAACACAACTGTCAGTCCAATGGAGAAGTCGAACAGTGTCGCTTCACTCAAAAGTTTACTGGCGCTGTGGAAAAAGCTTATGGCCGGGAGCCCCCTCCTCAAATCAGATTATGTAATTGAAGAGGTGATCATTCTTTAATTAAATATTTATGGAGCACCACTTTTTGTTCACACGGTTAAAACTGAATGTTTTATATGTTCGACAATCAATCACTCTATGTAATATGTAAATATAAAACGCGAATACAATTTCAAGAATTTTGTTATCATAACAACATACAAAAGCAAAACGTTTCTATATAGCTCTATGATGTAATTGATGTGGAAAATTGTTATAAATGTTGAAACAATTCATTTCGTTTTTTATTCTAAGTCAATGAAGCCTGCCCACTTTTGCCGAGCAGCATGCATTTCTGTTTGATGAGTGGAACAGCTGCTATGCAATAAATACTTCTACTGTAAGTGGGACTTCAACCTCATGTCATATGACGTTTTATAACCAGGAGGGCCGTAAATCGCTCACAGATCAAATATATTTATGTTGTTGTATGTGTTATCAACCTAGGGAGAGTTGGTATAATTTAGTTGTGATGACAGAGGGAGTGTCAGGGCTGGTGGGCCGCAGCATGCGGTGCGGAGTTGCACGACGCCCGCCGCGCCACACGCGCCGTGCACGCCGCCCTGGCGCAACGCGCACGCAGCGGCGCGCCCCTGCACAAGGTCAGAACCTAACTTATTACGGCTGTTATCTATTTGTAGATGTATATTAGGAATAACCTATATATATATATAAATGAATTGCTGTTCGTTAGTCTCGCTAAAACTCGAGAACGGCTGGACCGATTTGGCTAATTTTGGTCTTGAATTATTTGTTGAAGTCCAGAGAAGGTTTAAAAGGTGGTAGGACCTTTCACTGGTGGTAGGACCTCTTGGGAGTCCGCACGGGTAGGTATCACCACCCCGCCTATTTCCGCCGTGAAGCAGTAATGTGTTTCAGTTCGAAGGGTGGGGTAGCCGTTGTAACTATACTGAGATCTTAGAACTTATATCTCGAGGTCGAGGGCGCGATGGCGGCGCATTAACGTTGTAGATGTCTATGGGCTCCAGTAACCACTTAACACCAGGTGGGCTCTGAGCTCGTCCATCCATCTAAGCAACAAAAAAAAAACGTAGATAAATATGAAAATGTTTGGAAATTAAATACAAATAACAATTTTGTTTTCTCTTCGATGTGTCCCCCTTCGGACGGATTCCTTTTGTTTGTTTTAAGTTTATTTTATACAAAAGCTAGTCTTTTATTTATCGATTGAGGCACTACGAAGTCTGCCGGGTCAGCTAGTAAATTTAATAAGCAATGATTCCACATCACCATGACTGCTCTGCCAAGAGTAACTGACTGTGGTGATGATTAGGAGAAAACACATTTCGTTTCTTTTAATAGTTAACCGCATTCCTGTTTTCCAACTAAAAGGCTAGCATAGTCAACTGTACGTACATATGTACGCGTGTGCATTCTGTATATTATGTATAGGTACAGTACATACAGTCATAGCTTACGTCAACTCTTCAGACAACAGCAACAGCTAATTTTTTATTTACCAGCATCAAGCGCGTTATTCCTATTTAGTCTTACTGAGTATACATTTGTTGTGTCTGTTGTTAGCTAGTTTCATGATAAATTAGTCTAATACGTTCAAAATACGTTTTGTAATATTAAACATGAGTTCGGTATCCAGGTCCCAGACGAATGGCAGCTGCTGTGGATCGGACCGGACGCTCCGGACGCTTACGTCAAGGAACTCTGCCATCGAGTTCGGTCCGCGTTAGAAAGATTTGAGACGTTGACCGACGAAATGCCAAAAGGTAATTTGAACTGTATCACCCTGTGAACCACTCGACTGTAGAGAGAGGAAGAAAACAAGTTGCACGCATAACTTTTTTAAGCGATTGCATAGCTTTTATCGCGGGCTTTGAGCGCGGCAACCGAATCAAGAAATTCCGTAACGAAAATAAAACATAACACCCGCACTCCCATTTTATTATTGTTTTAATATTAAATTATTATTGTCTAATTATAATTGCATAAGTTGATAAGAAATTCTATGCAATAGCTTTACCGCGGCAGTCCCCGAGTGCCACACGTGTTTTTTTTATTTTCTTTTACATTGTACGCCTTGCCATATAACAGTGTGCCGTAAATATAAATGACATAAAAAAAATTTGAATATGTTTCGTGAACAGAAGTGGACCTTCGCTCGTTCCTGCGTCCGTCGCGAGTGGTGTGGGCGCTGCTCGTGCGCGCCGCCGAGGGCCGCAACTGCTCCGTCGATACATTAATGCTTGCCGCTAAGTGGAACTGTCCAGAGGGTAAATTTATGATTGCTGATTTTCCACCTTGGAGCCGGCACTGTGTGAAACTTTTTTTTTTTCTCACCTAGTCATTGATAGCCTAAGGGGCTACTCTAACTTCGGGCGGACTGGTGAGCTCACAGGCTCAACCTGAGAGAAATGCTAAAAATAACCCTAGAAAGAGCAGTGCTTCGCGGAATCGCTTTATTGGTTGTAGGACCTCTTGTGAGTCCGCACCGGTAGGTACCACCACCCTATATCTGCGTGACAAAATAATGCATTGCGGTTTGAAGGATGGGGTAATCATTGTAACTATACTGAGACCTTAGAACTCATATCTCAAGCTGGGTGGCGGCATGTGAGATGTGAGCTCGTCCACCCATCTATGCAATAAAATAAAATAAAAAGAATCTACTACCGGATCGGAAACGCGACCCACTAAAAAGATCCGGTGAGAAATTCAGTGGGTTCGTGAAACTAGTTGTGCCGCTCACAGAGAGCCCGGCCGGGGACAGCGTGCGGCTGCGCGGCGTGCAGCTGAGCGGGTGCGAGTGCGGCGCCGCGGGCGTGCAGCCGGCCCCGCCCCGCGCGCCGCCGCACCGCCCCGCGCCCCCGCTGCACGTGCGCTGCGTACCTACGGTATGTAACAAACGAGAGAGAGAGAGAGAGAACATACTTTATTGCACCCCAAAACCCATAACATCAGAAAACAGTTAACAAGCAGATACGTTTTACGATTTATTTAATATGAGTCGACTATTATCAAAGCCGGCAATGTGACTTTTGGACAATTATTGGTAAATCAGAAAAACTAATTATTGACTTTGTATTCCATTGGCAGTCACCAAAAACTCTTCTGAACGACATCTTAGATAAATAACAGGTTAAGTATTAACCTTTATTTAATGCTGGTTTTGAACCGTATTCTTTGAAGGAGACGATTATATTCAAATCAATCTGTATTGACATATCAATAACATTTTTTTGTCCAAATGCACAGATTGCCACCTTTGATAATAGACGACTCATATATACTGGTGGTCCTCCGGTAGTCAAAATCCGACTATAATTAATTGAAATTATAAGTTGATTCTATTGTTAAAAACTAAGTATCATATTTCTATAAACACAGATTTCGCCAAGACTACACTTTAGACAAATATTAATATTGACAATAAAATATTTAATCTTTTTTTTTTAAGTGATTTATGACCTGGTAACTAAGACCTTTAAGGCATGTCTTATTTTAATTTATATTCTTATTTTCATGAAAAATGATAATATGGAGTGAAATTAAATGAAATGAAGATGAGTAATTTGAGACATTAATCAACTGGGATGAAACTAAATGAAAATAGATGGTATTGGATGAAAAATAATATCAGTAAAATGATGGTCATTTACTAAGATTTTTTCAGTGGACTTTTTGGAGGATCCCGAGAAGTTGCGTCCAGCGGCTTTGTTTCATTTTCCCACATTTGTGCACTTTCACAGATATTAAACAGTTAATAAACCACCGTTATTACACATTTAAACCAGAAGAAACACTAAATAGACAAAATAAAACAAATCACACAACTTCACTCCTCGCGTTCCCGCCAAAAAGTCCAATATTTAATCTATTCTCGATTTGACCACAGGCTATAAGCAATAAAAAAAGTTTGACAATAAACAAAGAGTATGCATGCGTGTGTATGTCAAATACATGGTAGTGTGTGATGTTTCTTTTTATTGTTTTAGGCATTTTTTATGCATAATTAAAAAAAAAGAAACATTCTACACTCCTTCTCTATATTCACTATAAGTGAGGGAAATGTCATATTCCTCCGTCCGCGCAATTTTCGTAAAAAGTGGTACAAAGTTTTTGCTTCACATATAAATATATAGATAGTCTAACATTTAAAAAAATCCTTTTGAATAACAGTCCAATAATGGCAACATTAAAAAACTTTGAGTTTCTTAAATTCTTTAAGAAGAGAAGGTCAATCTCTGACAAAACTTCACAAGCTAATTTACTTTAATATATCATAACACCTACATATTCCTCCTACATATAGGTCCACACTGTTTTTACAAGGTGGCAGGCTAATTGACACAAATCTGTGACTGGCACCCATGGACATTTACAATAGACGGTATACCTTCGCTAAACGCATTTATTTGTAGCAAAGCATAACACAGTGACTTTAATTTATAGTTCCAGTCTGAAGACCAACTCTTAAATATTAGCATATATGTATATAAGTAAAATTCGATGTACCTATGCTTGTTACCTTTTTATGCATTTCCAAATCGTTTGTTCGATTTTGATCAGATTTTGTACACTGTTTTTCCCCTACCTATTATAGGAACCTCGAGAGGTTATTCTAGATTCACTGAGCTAGTAGGTGAGCTCACGGGGCTCAAACCGGGAGTGTTGCTAACGCTGGCCCTAGTGAGAGCCGTGCTTCGCAGAATCTGCCACCGGATCGGAAACGTGACCCACTGAGAACATCCGACGAGAAACTCAGTGGGCTGTGTAGGTATATGGGTTAATTTACTCGTCGAGCCCTTCCTCGCAAGCGACGGGTTCGACGAGAACGGTGACCGGTGCTTGAGGTACATAAAAGCACCGTTAATGGATCGGGAGGATCCGTAATGACGTGTTTACGGTTTTCGTACAGTTACCGGGTAGATTTCTATGATATTCGTAGTACCGGCGATATGCGATAGGTGGCGCACGGATAGTTTCTTGATATTTGTTTTATCTACAATTAGATAAATGAGAATACATGTTACAATTACCGTAATATAACGCAAATCTAAATATAGGTATAATAATATTAAAATAAAATAACTAAACTGAATCCCATACTAAAATATTATAATTTTCAAGAAAGCTTAAGATAATTGTTTTCAGCACGAAGACAGTAGTCTGCTGGCGGAAGGCGTGCTGGAAGTGCCCGTGTACTCGAACGAGAGCAGGGAGGAGCTCGTGTTCGAGATGCGGGTGCCGCTCGCGAGATCGTTCAACGCTGAAACCGCGACACTACACACGGTCGCTATGTTCATCGGACCGGTCGATTGAATAAAATATAACACATTTTTCTACTTGCACAAGTTGACTTCAACGCACTCAGTAAATGTTAAGCACTAGTAAGCGCACCACGTGTTTGATTTTAAATAATAAATAACGTATTTGATTGTTTTCATTTCTTAACTATCCATTCCTGTCTATCTTTTAAGGGTCCTGTGTAATGAAAAAGGGTTCGCATTAATAATTTATTTATTAAATTTATAACTGAACTTCGTTTTAGAAAAATATATAAAAAAGAACGAACAATTAGGGACAAATACAGTTATAGTAAGATCGCTGTTAGAGAAAGGGATAGATGTAAAAAAATCATCAAGTATATCTGTGAAAATTAATACAGAATCAATTTTTTTGGTGTACGAGCTCACGACCAACCTGGTGTTAAGCGATTACCGGAACCCATAGATATCAACAACCTCGAAACATTCTCAATCCCGATTCTGCAGGATAGCCGTCGGAGCACCATGGTTCCTGAGGAACGTGGATCTCCACGATGACCTGGAGCTCGACTCAGTAAGTATCTACAGTCGGCATCGCTGCGCCATTTTGAGAAGGTGGCACGACATGAGAACCCTCATCGTGGCCGCTGAAAGCTACATACCCGACCCAGTAGACCGAATGGTAAACCGTCGACGTCGCCCAAAGCACGTCATTACGGATCCTCCTGATCCATTAACGGTGCTTTTGGGCACCACAAGCACAGGTCACCGTCCTCGTCGAACCCATCGCTTGCGACGAAGCACTCGACGAGCGAACTAACCCGTAGACACAGCCCACTGAGTTTCTCGCCGGATCTTCTCAGTGGGTCGCGTTTCCGACCCGGTGGTAGATTCTGCGAAGCACGGCTCTCGCTAGGGCCAGCGTTAGCAACACTCCCGGTTTGAGCCCCGTGAGCTCACCTACAATCGTTAGGGTGAAGCTGAAATAGCCTCTCAAGGCTATCAGCATAGGTACCTAGGGAAAAAAAGAAAAAGAAACGTTAGTTCATAGATATCAAAAACCTTGAGACATTAGTTCTAATTCTCAGTAATACAGTGCATCAGCTGCCCCCTTCAAAGCAAAACGCATTACTGCTTCACCGTAGAAATAGAAAGATTGGTGGTACCTATCTCTGAAGGTCCACAAGATGCCCTACCACCAGTAAACTTAACGTAAAAAATAAAGTCTAATATACTCTTATTGACTCCTTAAAAAGATTCTTGATAGTACAATTACTTGAAGTGAAAACTATTGAATAATTTAAATATGTTACACTTGAGGGTCGTAGTGACTATGATAAAAGTTTTATGACCAAGTAAAATGTTAGAAACAAGTGTTGGTTTTACGTCTACGAAACCTTCAGATTCTATCGAATTTTTTATTGTTTTTAAAGAAACTTCTTCTAATAGTATATGTCTACACTACTTATGAATGTAGGTTACCTAAACAATCATATGAACACGATAAATGCGCGAAACAAACAAACGAAAGCATCGTTAATTAACATTAATAAATGTATAAAACCGTAGATTCCACGCAGATACCGCATTGAATTATGAAAGAAAGAAAATGAAAGGAGGAACTAAAGGGTATTTTAATAATATATTAAATTATAAAAAACAAATTAAATTTCATATACGTTGTTAGGTTTCCGAAGCCCATAAACCAATAAGAGTATCTTAATAAAATACGAAAATAATTGTCCTGCATAATTTCGTATTTAAGAGCAGCTCGTTAAAGATTTTAATTGTAATTTAATAATTGAGATTTTTTGATAACATTAGGAATCACTTCTGCCCATAGTTTCTCATTTGGATTTCTAACTACGGGTCTTATCACTATCCAACATCCCAAGGCTCGTAGTTTCAGCTGACTCGACATCCATCCGTAGTTGTGATATCCTTAATGCTTAAACTAGGGACTTATTACACTTCCTCATTATTATTATTTTTTTTTTTTGTTATGTTTGAAGTATTACTGGTGGCCCGGAGGCCTTTCCAGTTTCACCAGGACAGGTGGGCGAGCAAAGGCTCAGCCAGGAGGGGTGGGATTTGCTAACAGCTACCCGAGCGCCTCCGAAGGAGACCTAACAGCTCAAGAGTAGCTGCTTCGCGAATGAATCTACTACCGGATCGGAATCGCGACCCGCTGAGAAGATCCGGCGAGAAACTCAGCGAGCTGATTCATGGGTTAGGTTGCACGGCGAACTCTTTGTCGAGTTCGACGAGTACGACTACCGAGGTCCCTAAGCCTGCTCCTAGTGTTGGAGCTGAAGGCGTCTAATGCCAAGGTTATTGGATCTGATGGATCCGTAAGGACGTGTCTAGGGCGTCGACGGTGACTGGCTCCTGCGTGATCAGGATTCGGGGAGTAGTCAGCGGCGGCAACGATAAGGCTATTATCATGATGCATAGCCTTATCGAAGTACCGTTCCGACGCTGACTTCATGTATTTCTGGATAGATTCGAGGCCCAGGTCGTCGTGTAGGTCAACGTTCCTCACGAACCACGGAGCTCCGACGGCTAAACTGCAAAAGCGGGATTGTAGAAATTGGAGGGTGTCTATGTGTGTGCGGGCCGCGTAAGCGAACACCACACTCGCGTAAGTCATGACGGGCCTTATGCAAGTTTTGTAAAGTGTCACCTTGTTCCGAAGGGACATTTTACTCCGCTTACAGATCATGGGGGGTGACATTGTTCTTGCAAGCGAGCACACCTCTTATTTCGATTTATCATTTTTCTGTCAATAATCATGCCAGCGCTGCAGCGTGTGTAGTGAAGTGGTGCAGGAGCCATTCAAGGCTAAAATGCCCAGGGATCACTTTTCACTAGTAAGTAGTAGCAAAATTATAATTATTATAATTATATTTAATGATTTGCAAATATTTTTTAATAGCAAACAGATAGTTAACGCTATGCAGAATGACGTCAGTAAATTTTTGATTGTATTTTTATCTTCTTGTTGAAATATTGAAAAATATATCGATAAAATATTTTTTTTTATAAAATAGGTTTATTTATTGTGATAATTTTATAACGATAATGTATTTTGCATAATTTTTCTTTCAGTTTTCCTGCTGATGCAATTCGGCAAAAAAAGTGGATAGCTGCAGTGAAGTTGGAAAGACAGGAATATGACTGGATGCCTGTAAAAACTAGCAGAGTATGCTCTATTTATTTTGATAAAAAAGATTTTTACAAATCATTAAAAGGTTTATACAATGTTACACAAAACTGCAGTAACAGTTTGTACAGTAAGTACTTACTGTTTTATTATTAAAATAATTATATTTATTATCTAATCTGAAATGAAACTATTTTTTTTTACGCAGATGATTCGTTTTGAAGAAACATCAACATCTTCAAGGAATACTACAGAAAATGAATACAACAATAATGAAAGATTACAGTCGGTGTGTAATGCCGGTCCGGCTTTTTAAACTTGTGAGAATTACTATAGTATTGAAAATAATAAGTTCATTGTTTAGTCGAATTAAAGCATGTTTAATTTTTTAGGTTGATAACAATTCATTTTTTGCAAATTTTAAAGTAGAATATAACGATGGCGCTGCAGAGGAACCAAGAAAAAATATATTTGAAGATAATCTTGTTTCAAACGAAGTCAATACTTTTGAAGAAAGAGGTTCATACGTTACGCCGATAAATATACCATCATCAGATATTGAATCTGCACTGAATACACCTAGAACACACATGTTAAAACATAAACTACGAAAAAAGTCTATTTTGGCAGTGAAACGACTATCACAGATCAGAAATCTAGAACGCAGATATAAAAGATTAGTTGTGAAGAATATTTCACTTAAAAATATTTTGTCCCAATTGAAGAAAAATGGATTTGACAATACTGCAGAAAATACTGCATTGAATGAATTTTCTGATGACATCGTTTTAGCCCTACAAAGGAAAAAGTCAAAAGATGGACGAAGTATCGTAAAGTTTACACCAGCCATTAAAAAATTCGCTTTAACGCTAAACTATTATTCACCAGCAGGATATAAATATGTGTAAATATACAGTTGCTTTCATCTCTTCCTCATCCGTCAACCTTATCTAAATGGTACCAATCCATAAATGTAAAGCCAGGTTTTACCGAAGAAGCATTCGCAGCTCTATAGTTAAAATACTCTAGATACTAAATAGTGGGCACATTTGCAGAAACTCAAAAATGTCCAAGACAATATTGGATTGCATTTTGGGAATAAGTTATCAAATCGGCATATAGAGTTCCGAAATAATATAATGAACGTGAAACTAGCGACTCAAACTTTAAGTCAAAGTGTAGCTGATGTGATTAAGTTTTGTTCGCAGCAATTAAGCATGCCTGATTTCAAGACACATGCAACTGCTATCTTTTTAGAAACGTTTAATAACCTCTTTGATATACTAAACGCAAGATCACTTTTTGAACACGGGTTTAAACACCCTTTTTCGGTTGAACAAAAAGAAACACTATACAATATTCTGGATGTAAGCGAAAAACATATAAAAAATCTCCAAATCATTGTGCAGTCCAAAAAAACTCAAACAGTAAATGGACAAAGAGTAACGGTATATACCAACTCCTTAAAACCAGTGACCAAAACTCAGTCTAAAACTGGATTTCTAGGTCTTCTTATTTGTATTTCAAGTTTTAAATTACTTTTTGCTCGCTTAGTAGAGGCACAAATATTGAAATTTATTTTACCTTCCAAATTTAGCCAATCAATCGCAATCGCGGTCGTTGCAACAATAACCCAAACGCCTGTCAATTTATGGGAATATATAAAAATACTTTAATGAACTTGAACCTCAGCTCTAAATTCACAGGCAACAGCATATCATTAGAGGATATTCCAATTCTAAATTGCTCTTCGGTAATCAATAACACCACTCCTGGCTTTAGAAATAATACAGACAGTGCTAGTTACCTACTCTACTGCAGCAGGTGAGAGTAAAACAGAAGAAGAAAATTGCATGGAGCTATCAAACATGCTGGATGCTAGAATTTAATTGCCAGAAACTGTAGAGCAAATAGTAGGCTTTGTAACCCGAAAACTGCAGGTGAAAATCAACTCTCCAGAATGCTTATTATTACTACCTGCTAATGAAAAATTGTATTTACATAAGCTGATTAGCTTGAAAGATTTCGGTGGACTCTGGTATCAATCTGTGGTGTTGTATAAAATATGCATACGCACAGAAACACTAATAAGACAAATAATAAAAATACATGATAACGGAAAATCACTTACTCGACCAAGTAATCTGTCAGTAATATCTACGCAGTGTTTTTCTAAAATAATTGACAATGAAGATATTCTGCGCTAATTAAAAAACAGTCACCAGACAAATAATGACCATTTAATTTTTTTTATAAAATGTGTAATCGTTGAATTTCTCAGAATCCGTCTTGCGAAAAAAGATTATTTTTTAATGTCTTCTAGGCAAAAACTTAATAAATTAATTATATTTCGAGGAACATACAGTTTATTAAAAAAAAAAAATTATAAACATTATACAATTATATTGTTTTATTATTAACTTGTCCGGTCTACTTATTACATAACATCGTCCACGTTGCTATGACTCTGCTGTCATAGCTGACATTGCAGCAAGCGCATAAACCAATCCCTGCTTTCGTTTTGAATTCAAACGAAACACAACCAATGTCTAGTTCTAACCTCGGTTGTGATTGGTTTTTGCTTCATACGTCATTTTGGTTTCAAGTCGGTCCACTTTTTGTGTGAAATTTGTTCCGAGTTAGACTTCCTGACTTATTTATTCGTAGTAGTCTCTATTTTCTATAAGTCGACTGCTTGACAGCAGCAAGCTAATAGGATCGTTTTAAAACAGTTAATTGATAAACTATGAAACGATTATAGTTTATTTATTTTTACAGATCTACAATATGTCTTGTTATCTGAACTATTACAACAATCATCAATTATAATAGCGTAAAACAGAAACACATCAAATAAGCATTCATGAATGATTTTTTTGCGCTCTCTTACGTAACCATCGAACCTCGAACACAAAGTGTTAACTGGTTTATGATACCTACGCGTTAAAGCCCCTTTAAACTTTGAGTTTAATCGACCGTGATATCGAACAGTAGAGTTTGAACATTCCTCTGCAAATAATTGGGAATTACCTCTTGAAGTTAATTAAGCATGGTTTCTTAAATAATATTTATGCGAGATCTTAGCATGTTCTATTATTTACTTACTACTTTTGTTGCAACAAAAACTAGTCGGGAATGTTATTCCTAAATTGAGTTTAGTAGTTTCTATCACTACTGTGTTTATTTCTAAGGAGAGTTTTTATGTAACTAAATAAAACAGTTTAAGGCGTGAAACTCTCTTGAAATGTGTCATTTTAATGTTTAAATTGATTATTTACGGAGTAAATACAATCGTGATTACCACATAAGTATCAAAACAGAACATAGTACGGAATCCTAGTGCAGGAAGTGATTTGTTTTGTGCAAAGCTTACTTTCCAATAACAAAAATAAAGAAAAACGCATTGAAATGCGGCTTTATTTTTGTTAGTAAACGCATGGTTCGGAGAATAGGAAAGACGGGCGTGAGCGGTCGTCGGCTCGCACAGGACCGCACGCAGTATGTTTTTTTATTCCGTATGATCTACGTTGTTTGTTTCATAGTTACACAGCCCTCGATAACGGTAATAAAAAATATGCTTACGACAATTGTTTACTTTATTAAAAATAGCCTGCTCCTTTCACTGTTAAACACAGCTTACTGTTTTTTTTCAAAATTTCATTTCGTCTTTCAAATATTTTAAAACGTCCAACTAAACAAAAATATTTAATACATCCACACACGTTTTAAACTACCTAAACAATAAATTACTACTCTTTGTTTTAAAATGCTGAATATTTTAATCCGAAATCTATAATCTTAATGCAGCTCTGCTCTGATCTGCGGGTGTATGGAGCGGGAGGGGTAAACGGGCCAGCGTGAGAGTACGAACGCGCGGAGCACGTTATAGTGCAGTGTGAGTCACATGTAGAGACTACACCGCAGTATGATTCTGCGTGCTCTGTTAATTGTGTTGGCGCTGTTCGGTTATAGCAGCGCCGTATACAGCCGCGAGCGTGACCGTCTGCGAGCCGACCCGCGGCTAATTGACCGCGCTTGTGAGCTTAGCTCCTGTTATCCGGCCACCGGTAACTTACTCATTGGACGCGAAGCACGCCTCTTTGCCTCTTCGACTTGTGGCTTGCACAACCGCCAGCGCTATTGTATCGTTTCACACCTAGAACCGAAACAGTGTTTCTGGTGCGATTCTACCAACGCTACTCTGCATAATCCTTATCTTAACCATCGGATACAGAATATTATCTACAAGTATTATCCGGGAACTCGAGTCAAGTCATGGTGGCAATCAGAAAACGGCAAGGAAAACGTAACAATTCAGTTGAACATGGAAGCAGAGTTTCATCTCACGCATTTGATAATACAATTCAGAACGTTTCGTCCTGCTGCGATGTTGGTTGAGAGATCCTTTGACTTTGGAAAAACCTGGCGGACCTACCGATACTTTGCTCACAACTGTGAAAACTTGCCAGTTCCGCATCACACTCAAAGATCGTTGACTGAAGTTGTATGCGAGTCTCGTTACTCTGGAGTGTCTCCTTCGACTGAAGGAGAAGTGATATTTAGAGTACTGCCGCCAAACATAAATGTTACAAATCCTTACTCTGAAGAAATCCAAAACTTATTACGCATGACAAATCTCAGAATTAATTTTACCAAACTGCACACTTTGGGAGANCCAGTTCCGCATCACACTCAAAGATCGTTGACTGAAGTTGTATGCGAGTCTCGTTACTCTGGAGTGTCTCCTTCGACTGAAGGAGAAGTGATATTTAGAGTACTGCCGCCAAACATAAATGTTACAAATCCTTACTCTGAAGAAATCCAAAACTTATTACGCATGACAAATCTCAGAATTAATTTTACCAAACTGCACACTTTGGGAGATGATAAATTGGATAACAGAAAAGATATACAAGAAAAATACTACTACGCGATTTATGAAATGACAGTTCGTGGATCGTGCTCGTGTTATGGACATGCCTCTAGGTGCTTGCCGATGCCTGGAGTAGAGTCGAAGACTAACATGGTACACGGGCGTTGTGAATGTAACCATAACACTCGGGGCTTGAATTGTGAATACTGTGAAGATTTTTACAACGATCTTCCTTGGCAACCTGCAGTTGGTAAAACTTCGAATGCCTGCAAGCGATGTACATGCAATAATCACGCGACAACTTGTCATTTTGATCCTGCGGTCTACAATAAAACAGGAAAAATAAGTGGTGGTGTTTGTGATAATTGCCAGCATAATACTATCGGTGTAAACTGTGAACGTTGTAGGCCCAAGTTTTATAAGGATCCCAGCTTAGACATACAAAGTCCGGATATATGCAAACCATGTGATTGTGATCCACATGGCACAACTGATGAGGAAGTGCTTTGTGAAGGTGAAACCGATGAAGAGAATAATAAAATTGCCGGCCAATGTTTGTGCAAAACAAATGTAGATGGAACCAGATGTGACAGATGCAAAAATGGATTTTGGAACTTTGATCCCAATAACCCCTATGGCTGTGAAGCCTGCGCCTGTAACAACTTAGGAACCGTGACTGAAAAGGGATGTGATCCAACAATAGGAGAATGCTTCTGTAAACGTCATGTTACTGGAAAAAGCTGCGACCAGTGCTTGCCTGAATTTTATGGTTTAACTGACAGTGAAGATGGGTGCTTACCATGTGATTGTGATATGGGTGGGTCATTAGACCACGAATGTGATGTTATAACAGGCCAATGTAAATGTAGACCTAATGTAATCGGACGCAGATGTGATCAACCACTACAAAATTTTTTTATTGGAGCTTTAGATTCTATTGTATATGAGGCAGAGTCAAGCCAGTGTAATTTACAAATCGATGATAATGCGATCCAAAGTCAAGCATGCCGCGTTTTTATAAGAGAAAATTATCCAGATGGCAAAAAAGAAACTTGGTCCGGCCCTGGGTTTATGAAACTACCGGAGAGTAGTACATTAGTATTCACTGTTAATGATTTGCAAACGAGTATGAACTACAACATATTAATAAGATATGAACCACAATCACCTTTAGATTGGAAAGAGGCAACTATTTTAATAAAAAGACCGTACCCTGTAGATGCAGAGTCTCCTTGTGCTAGTAAAGGGCCAGAAAATGATAATATAGCTACTTATCTTCCCGCAAATCAACGAAGTGTACTGGTCAAACCTGCTGTGTGCCTAGAAAAAAATCGGGAAAATGAAATAAGAATATTTATGGGTCGACAAAATGCGCAATCGTCAAATTCAAGAGCCACTATTTTGATTGATTCGATCGTTCTCATACCATCGTTTGATGACTTACCATTTTTAACAAACGGGACAGCAATGAGAGATGAGTTTGAACGTTATAACTGTGGTGATTCCTATTATTATAATCTAAATCGTGATAATATACCCGAAATTTGCAAAAAATATCACGCAAGCATTGGATTTTACGTACGCAGAGGTTCTCAGCCCTGCCAGTGTGATCCGACAGGTTCAAAAAGTCACCAATGCGACCCTTACACCGGATTTTGTCAATGCGTAGAAAACATTGTTGGGGCCCGGTGCGATCGCTGTGCACCCNGTGATTCCTATTATTATAATCTAAATCGTGATAATATACCCGAAATTTGCAAAAAATATCACGCAAGCATTGGATTTTACGTACGCAGAGGTTCTCAGCCCTGCCAGTGTGATCCGACAGGTTCAAAAAGTCACCAATGCGACCCTTACACCGGATTTTGTCAATGCGTAGAAAACATTGTTGGGGCCCGGTGCGATCGGTGTGCACCCGGTACATATGGCTTCAGTAAATTTGGATGTAAACGGTGTGACTGTAGTAGTATCGGCTCACTCGATAATTTCTGTGATGCAACCAGTGGTCAATGCAAATGCAGAGCAAACACTTATGGTCGTGCGTGCAACTTGTGTCAACCAGGATACTTTAACTTTCCGAATTGCCAGCAGTGCGATTGTAATGGGCATGCATTCGAATGCGATGACAAAACGGGAGCCTGTAAAGAATGTACAGATTATACAGAGGGGAATCGATGTGAGAGATGTGTTGAAGGTTATTATGGTGATCCTCGCTTGGGCTTTGACATACCATGTAGACCATGTCCATGCCCTGGTATCAAAGGAGATACAAACAAAAATAGTCACGCAGATCGCTGTGAACTTGATCCAGAAACGAAAGACGTTGTCTGCGATTGCAGAGAAGGATACGCGGGGCCGTTATGTGACGTATGTGCGGATAATTACTATGGTGATCCACTGCGAGATGTTTGTAAAAAATGTGAATGTAACGATAATATAGATATTACAAAACCTGGTAACTGCGACCCCTACACTGGAAAATGTTTGCAATGTTTATATAATACCGCTGGAGATAGCTGTGGCGTTTGTGAAACAGGATACTATGGTGATGCTTCAGAAAAAACTTGTTACAAATGCAATTGTTCAGTTTTAGGTACTAACTTTACCATTGGAGACTGTGATAATATCACTGGACAATGTCCTTGTCATCAAAATGTCATGGGAAAAAATTGCGATCAATGCACGGAAAATCATTGGAGAATTGCAGTTGGCACGGGATGTGACCCTTGCAACTGTGATGCCGTAGGCTCATTATCTCCTCAATGCAATCCATACATTGGAAAATGTGACTGCAAGCCAGGGTATGGTGGCAGGCAATGCGACCAATGTCAAGAAAATTATTGGGGCAATCCCAATATTGAGTGTTTTGAGTGTGATTGCGATCCAAACGGTTCGATTTCCCAACAATGTATGAGAGAAAATGGGTCTTGTATTTGTAAACCAGGAATTGGTGGTCATAAATGTTTTACATGTGCGAGAGGTTTTCTCGGAGATGCGCCACATTGTTATGCATGTGGAGAATGTTTTGATAATTGGGATCGAATAATAGACTATCTACGCATAGAAACTGATTCTGCCATTAGAAATGCTAGTAAAATAAAATCGATTGGTGCAACAGGAGTGTACACAAGAGATTTTGACGAAATGACGACAAAGTTAATGACCATAGAAAACATTATACAAAGAGAAAAAGAAGGACAGTCAACCATCCCTGATTTATTATCCAATATAACAAACATACAAAAACTTATCACAAAAACCGAACAAAAAATAAAAAACAGCAACAGGCATCTAAATGATGTGACAGCCAAAATAAATCTCGGAAACGTCACTTTGGATGGTATAAGAAAAGAAACAGATAAATTAAAATCAAAAGCTATCGACCTAGGGAACAACGCCACTAAGTTACAAGAAGCTAATTTAGAAGGAGCACTTAATCTTACACGGGAGGCTAAGCACAGAGCAGTCAAAGCTTTAAATGATGCTAATCATCTACAAAATGATATAGCAAAGACAGATCGTCAACTGAAAAATACAGACAGACTTATAGAAATGCAATATGGCAACTTTAATACTACTCAAAATGAAAATGACAAAAAACTTACCCAAATGCAAGAACAGGTAGATCGACTTGAAACTATAATACCTAAATTAAATGATAAAATGTGCGGACAGGAAACAGATACTTGTGATATATGTGGAGGTGCAGGATGTGGCAAATGTGGTGGGATATCGTGTGATCAAGGAGCTGTAACAAAAGCCGAACAAGCCCTTGATTTTGCCAATAAAACCGAATATAGAATCAAAGAACACGAACTTAGCGCTGAGGATATGTATAAAAATATCTCACAAGTAAGACAAAATACTGTTTCAGTTAGATCAAAAGCTAGTGATTTATACAATCGAGCGTTTCATTTTAAATCAACAGCAGAAAGAGTAACTAATGAAAGTCAAGAATTGACAGCAGAATTAAAAGACTTTTTATCGAACACATCCAATACTCCAGCCGATGTTAGAACGTTAGCAAACGATATTCTTAATCTGTCAATAAGAATCGAACCTAAAGAAATTACAGACTTATCACAGAGAATCAATGAATCAGTTTCGCAGTTGACTAATATTGAAAATATAATTGCAGAAACTGCACCGGATTTGGAAAGGGCTAAAGCTCTCAAAGACAATGCAACTTCTGCCAGTAATAATGCCAATCTAACGTTAGATATGGCGAACAAAGTTCTACAATCTCTTGACGAGGCTCAAGCAGCACAAGATGCGGCTGAAAACGCAATAGAAAAAGCGAATAGCGATATAGAAGCCGCGAAAAGTGATTTAATTCCAATAGCATTAGAGACTGAACAAGCGCAAAAAAAAGCAAATGAAACTATAGAAGACGTTGAAGCCCTACGATTACGACTTTCGCATTTACAAAAAGATATCTTAAAGATTGAAAGCGACGCGGAACAAGTAAAACACGAAGCAGATGATGTTGTTAATCGTGCAGAAGGCGCGGAACTCAAAGCAAGACAACTCCGACAAAATTTCAAGCAAACAAATAAGTCCTTAACAGAACGGTCTAGTCAAACTCTTAATTCAAGGGAACGAGCACAAATGTTGCTGGACCGTGCTACGAAGCTAGCTAGTGAAACACAAACGCAGTTAAAGCTCTTAGCAAACATGGAAGAATTATACAATGACCATAACGAACAACTGAATACATTAGAAAATGAAATAGCTGTTCTGAATACACAAATGAATTATTATTTGTCTGAAATCACGAAACGATCCGAGAACTACAGATCTTGTACGACATAAATTACCTACTCCTGTTTATATAGGAGTGTGCCATATTAACATAATATTTAGATCAATATACCTACCAAAATAATTATATAATGAACATTCATAATAATCTGTTATTGATTCAAGAGTCCGTAAAGATATATTTCTGAAACGATTCGTATGACGAAGAAAAAAACCGTTTGCTATGTCGTTTATTTGTATTAAACAATTTGAGATGCCCGTAAATGTTTTTTTTATACTTATGCGTATGTATGTTGTGTATATGTACCTTAAAGCGGTAATTTTAATTGTATTTTAGATTGTACTTTAAATTTTTTATAAAGATTTTAAAATGGTGTTTCTTTAATTTTATTGGAAAATGTAATTTTAGTGTAATATCTTTTTTTAACGCTGGGGAGTTATTTTAATACCGGTCATTTTTCGTTGAGCTTCCTGGGCTGACTAGATCACGACCCACCTGATAGTAAGCAGTTTAGCGAAGTCCACAGACACATCATACCGCGAATGTCACAACCCACCATGAGTCTGATAGGTTGATATCATTGTATTCAATAACAGCTGTTCAGCCCTTCAAAATAAGAAGTGAAGGAAATGGGCAGATGGTGATAATTAAGTAAACTTATAAAAACATTTCTTAAACGTTCTACCTACGTAAATTTATAAAAACATTTCTTAAACGCGCTACCTTTTTTCTTAAAAATTGGTAACATCCTGACTTGATCCTCGGCCTAGTCACATCTTTCTATACACAGGCAATAAAAAAAAAATTAAAAAAAAAAAAAACAAGTTTACCCTACATCGTATCCTAAGACCAATTCAAACATATTATGTATATATTATACATTTATGTGCTTTTAATATTTAGTTCACGAAGTGTAAACCGGACTTTTATAGAGTTAATCCTTTCTTATGCAAGGTATTAGGTTTTATAGATAAATTTGGGTTCTAATTGGACAAACGTCACCGATTTTATTTAAAAAAAAGGATGGTGTGGTTTTTCGTGGTTAAATGTTTTAGTTAATGTACATAATATTTATTTATTATTTTCTAAAATAAAAGCCAAAATAATCTACTCAAATTAATATTATTTTGAATACTGAAATGTTGTAAAATTACAATGGATCATTGTTCTTACGTATGACAAATTTGTATTTTTCAACGAGCACGTTGTTTCTAAAAAATTATAATAATAACGAGATTGATATAGTACGAGGTTGACAAAAAAAATTGATTTTTATAAAAAAACATAAACAAAAAAAGTTTTGAATCTATGTTTAGACATCATAACAAAACTAGATACCTACTTTTATAGTTACTTTGTTGAGTATCCAACCGTAAATATTAACAATTATTTTTCATATGTCCTTATTCCTTCGAAATATTCTACATTTAAAATGCATTATGAACGTATTTTTGGTACAATGTTTTGGCATTTCAGCAGATTAATTATAAATTACTACATAGTACTCAAAGTACAAAAGAAAATAAAACTAATCACAACGCCAGCACAAGTCGCGATAATCCAAACCAGGGGGGTGCAACTCCCATACAAAGGAAAAGAACATTCAACTAGCGTCATCTTTAGGAACCGGCGAGGTCATTTTTGAAACGTTTTGGCCTTAATGAACTAATAAACCCACTAGATGGCAGATACGAGTTCTGACTCAAAAAAAATGTTAGCGTACTTTAAAGCAGTGCTTCCACTTTTAAGGAATTCTCCCTTTTTTAGGGAAAAATAGCTGATATTTTGGATGATAAAGACAATTTAAAAAATACCAGGATTTAGGATATTTCGGGGTAAAAAGCAAAGCCTATACTAGTAACTCTTGTGAATTTTAAAATAAACGATAATTAAAGTAAAACAATGAACATTTTATTTTATGGANAGCGATTCTAAACGATAAGATTTTTTCATAAAGAGAGTTATTAAAAATATTAAAATTACTAAAAAAGCCACCTGGTGGGGGGTAGGGAGACTAATAATCGACCGTAGCGACGCCTGCTGGACCGGGCTTTAACTAAAGCAAAAATAAAAATGAGAGTTGCGCATCTATCTCTAATATATTAAGTGTATAATCTATGATCCAAACGATCACATATAGATTGACATATTTTGACACATTAAGCTCTCGTAGTGTCAAACCGTCCATTGTTGTATTAGCCATACTTCGATCAGCTTTGCTTTCTCTAAAAAGAAAACATTTATTTATTAACGTTTATGGAAGCTCACAGCCAAATTTACACACAATTTTTACAAAGTGACGGATTTAGGCATGATGCCGCTGTAAGCGCTGTTTGTCGCACCGCCCTTAATGTTAGAATAAATTTTAATGATTTTGATCCAATATTTGTATATTAAATTTAAAAATAACTTCATAATCTTTTTTATAAAAATTAATCTATACTCGTTTTTAAAGGAGAAGTTTTTAAGAGAAGTCTACTTTATTTCGACACTGAACTTAAGACGACTTGGCATTTCAAAAATTTTGCCGCCTCTCAAATCATGACACCGTCTGGTTGTAACAACGTGAACGTCATGTCAGCTGCCGATTGCGCCTTCTTCGTCGAAATAATTCATGAAAACGTGTTAGTTACAAAATTCAAGTAATTTGAAAAATGCTACCTGCAGAATAATAAAGCCATTTTTATTGCATATATGTGTGGACGAGCTCACAGCCCACCTGATGTTAAGTGGTTACTGGAACCCATAGACATCTACAACGTAAATGCGCCACAGACCTTGAGATATAAGTTCTAAGATCTCAGTATAGTTACAACGGCTGCCCCACCCTTCAAACCGAAACGCATTACTGCTTCATGGCAGAAATAGGCGGGGCGGTGGTACCTACCCGTGCGGACTCACAAGAGGTCCTACCACCAGTAATTACGCAAATTATAATTTTGCGGGTTTGATTTTTATTACACGATGTTATTCCTTCACCGTGGAAGTCAATCGTGAACAATTGTTAAGTACGTATTTCATTAGAAAAATTGGTACCCGCCCGCGGGATTCGAACACCGGTGCATTGCTATATTTATATGAATGAACCGGACGTCTTATCCTTTAGGCCACGACGACTGGTCTATAATTTTAAGTTACTTGTATAGCTACTGAAAATATTTGAAACATTATTTTTATCTCTCAACTACATTGACCTCCTCGTAGGTCGAGTAGTTGGTGATCATGTCTTCTGTGTTACTGTGTTGTGTTTCAATTACTGTTCGGAACGTGTAGCTGTTATTAAAGTCGTACATACCTTAAAGTCATACATACATACCTTCGAAGCAATGGCCCACAACCGAAAGATGTACAATTATTTGATCTGTTATTTGGTGTAGTATTCTCCATGACAAATTCACGTCCTTGTTGACAATTTATGCATTTATTACAAAGATATGTGTATGTATTACAATAATAACCAGCTGTGCATTGTTCATTTTGAGTGCACCCTGTTGGGCGAACATTAAATCCTGAGGAAATTCGTAGTAATTGCACAAAAACGAATAATCTAAAAACAAAAAAAAAATTTGGTGTTTTTACTGTTAGGATTTATTCTTGGTCACAAAATACCTACGCAACGTGTTACCCGCGGACGTTATTACTGGAATATTTTGTTGTAAGACATCTCTGTTTTGTCTTTAAGGGCAGATTTTTATATTTCTACCGTAAAGCAGTCATTTGTTGTCCCTATTCGACTGAGATAATTTCGTTGTACAGTATAATTGTGACTTAGGAGTGTAGAGGTAGGTTACGGCGTGTACATTATCATTTCTGTAGGCTCCAAATCAAATAGTCGTTTAAAACCAAATTAGCCTTCATAGACGCATTTACACGGTCATAACTTTACCACACATTCGGAATGTCATAGAGAAAAATTTTAAAAGTTCAATTTTAGCTCTTTTCCAATTATTTTAATTCACATACAATTTTCACAAACGACATAATAATAAGGTCCGACTGATTAAAAATATTTTCGTGCAGTGCTGTATGGAATACAAATTTCCCGACCTCTTCGCTGTCGCTTCGCTAAGAGGCTATTCCAGCTACACCCGGACGGGGCACAAATTCAAGTCCACGACCCATGATCAATTATATACGTGGTCGCTAACTGTATTATCCTGTTATAGCTATTATGTACTTTTAATTTCAAAACTGTAAAATTTTAATTCCAAAATAGCCCTGGAGGTTTTATTGTATTAATTTATGCCTTGGCCACAGAATGAGTTACTCTTTTTTGTGGTGTTAGATATACTTAATAAGTTAATATTTATTGCTAGTAAATCTTGAAGTACTTAGAAACTTTAAATTTTGATGGACATGTGTATCCACGTAATATTAGCAAAAATATAACATGACACTCTTGTGAGTATAGATACTAATGTCACATAGCCCACTGAGTTTCCCGTTGGATCTTCTCAGTGGTTCGCGATTCCGATGTAATGGTAGATAGATTCTGCAAAGCACGGCTCTTGCTAGGGCTAGTGTTAGCATATTCTCTGAGGTTGAGCCTGTGAGCTCACCCGGGCGTAGCTGGAATAACCTCTTAGCCTACCAGTGAATAGGTAGGATACATAAAATGTTTTTAAAATTTTTGCGAACTAAGTCTCGAGTTTTATATGAAAAATAGCTCGAATGCCTCTACTACCTAATAGTTGCAAAAGAAACACACTCTCACGATCAACAACTTTTCCAAGTATCGAAGTTCATGTACATAATTTAATTTTAAGGAAATAGATATATGTTGATAGGTAAATGTCGTTTAAGTTTTAAAAAAAAGGAAAGAAGAGGAGGTTGTAAATTCGAACTACATCTTTTTTTCGGTAGGCAGCGGCTTGACTGTCCTTGGAATTGCTGACGTCCATGGGCGACGGTAGTCACTTAGGATCAGAAGGACCGTGTGCTCGTCTGCATACAATGGCAATTTTAAAAAAGCGGGATTTCTTTTTGTTACACGATGTTATGTCCTTATATTCCTTTAAAGACCGTATAATAAAGTATATTCCATAAAATGGAAATAATGCGGGAGCCGATGCGTCTATTCTCGTTTAGATCGCTCGGGTTCAACCCGAATCTGTTCCCGTTATTTTTTGTAAATTTCCATGGGTATTATAATATAAATTCATAATGGACTATATCTTTTTACCGCACTAAAACGTCAATATTATTTTTTTTGATGAATTTTTTTTAAATTTTTTTTTATTGCCCTTGTAGGCAGACGAACATACGGCCCACCTGATGGTGAGTGGTTACCGTCGCTCATGGACTTCAGCAATGCCAGGGGTGGAGCCAAGCCGCTGCCTACCGCTTAATACTCTACATAAGCCTCGTTTGAAGAAGGACATGTCATAGCGCTAGAATAATAGAAATTGTTATTTTTGAAGTCAGTACCGGACAAAAATAGATCAGGTAGATCGTGAAATCACCAGTTGCATTGTTTCAGTACTCTAATAGCTTTAGGTGCTCGCTCGTAGTAAATGAACGTGACTTGGTGACGCATTTTCTAGAAACCCATGTAGAGGCGGCGCGACGTTTGTTCACGGACTCTAGTTATAGTAAGGTACATATACCTACGTATACTTAATTAAAATATTTTATCAGCTGTGACTATCCACTATAAAACTAATGTATTATTATTAAAACTATTATCTATACAAAACCTGTCTTAAAACATATTTATGATATTATTAAGACATAAATCTTTCCTGATGCCAACCACTCGGTAGTACAAATTTTTATTCAATACTATTTTACACGTGCACATAAATCAAGAACAAAGAAAGGTACATGCATTCATTTTGAAAAATGAAATCGATTTTCTTATGATAGGTACCGAATTTATATTTAACTACGTAGTTATATACGTATATAACAATTGTTTATTATTAAATCCACAGATACTAACTTCTTTTGCTGAAGTTTTTAATTCAAAACCTAGTCTATTAAAAACAGGAAATAAAAACTATAATATTATATTCTAGGTAAGTACTTACATTAATGTTATGTTTAAGTAATGATTGTACTTTCTGTTCACACCAATACGTTTCTCAACTTCTTCGTACATTGTGTATGTGTCCGTGTCATTCATCATTTTAATATGATTAATACTTTGGTCATCTAATCAAAGAAAAATCACATAGATACTTAATTAAAAAACCAACTAATGTTGTTGATAGCCGTAGACCGGCACCTCCAAAGCTACACCTTGTAATAAATGACAAAGCCTTAATCTTCCTGTGAAAGACCATGTCGGTTTTAGTCGAGGTACAGGTTCGAACATGTTTCAATTTTGAATTTAAAAAATGGCGCGAAATATGATTGTTCTTAACTGCTTTTGTATTTTAATGTAGTGTTGTTTTTGTAATGAAATAAATTGGATTAATTTCTTCTTTTAAAGACGTTGTGCAATGTCATGTCGTTGCACAACGCCAGGACGGTGGAGATAAGTTCATGAGCGCTGTTCGTACAGTAAGGATGACCTCTACTGATCCTACTGAATACACACATCCTGATAGCATCTGAAGGAAACGTGCGATACAAAACAAATGTTCTTATTCTGTATAGGTTCAAATTATGGAAGCTAGTACTTGAGAGTTTCGGCCCAAAGATACTGCACACGTAGCGTAGCGTTTAGGTTCAGATATTCTGCTTAATCTATGAGACTTACGATTCAGTCCTGTGTGTGTTTTACATTTTTATAATATCTGTATACTGTAACTTCGGATGCCTTAATATTATGAAGCACGATTACAGACTTTCGTGATATAACAAATTAAAAATAATGCAAAAGATCTATAATTATTTATCGTCACCAAACTGTCGACTCGAGGTTTTTGAACGTTAAACAGAATCAGCGTACAGAGCTCCCGTCAAAACAAGACCGAATGAAGTCGTTCTGTTAAGACTGTTAACTGCAAAGACTGCAATAAATTCATTTTCAAATGCGTTCAAGAAATGTAATAGCAAACTTGTTGTCTTTTCATAATTTTTAATGATGTATTATTTTTTATTTTCATCTTTAAAAAGTTTAGTAAAAATTCATAATTTTTTATAGTTAACTAACGCTTATCAATGAGTCTTTCTAGTCAAGCCATTTAGCGATTTATACCATTTACGCTAACTACCGGGTTTGTAGGGTTAAAAGGACGCGTCCGAAAATTAGTCTTGTGTCGCAAAACTGCCGTCAAAAGTTCGTAGTCACGGGTGGCGGGTTATGTATTAATTAGAACAAGGCTAGGTTTAACAGAACCGCACAAAATCTTGACAGTTGCTGCAGTGGTTTTCGCTAAAGCACTACTATGTACGCAAAGTTAAAATTTTGACGGCACGTACGTTTTTGAAGGCACTCAGCGAGTCGCGGTTCGATTGTTCCCAGCCTTCACAAAAATAAAAAAATAAAACACGCACTCCAAATTAAAACAATATAAATATTTATTTATTGTAAAAACCCTTTATTCTTTCTTACATTATTATAGTAAAAATTAAAAATCATATCTTTCCTTCATTCTTTGACTAATCGTCAAAATCATTAATAGTAAGCCATGGACAGTGGAGCTGCAATCGAAATTTTTAATTTTAAAGGACTTTTTTATTGAAATAAAAAAACTAATTAGGATTCACCTTTGACCTTCGACTTACTACATACATTATTTTAATTCTATTTACACAGATATTACTTGGCACAAATTTTGACTAATAAACTCTTATATATAAGTCATATTATTTTATTCTTATGGCGCGGCTACATTCATTCGGAAGCCTTGGTGTCACTTTATCGTGGAAAAACTTATTAAGAGTCTGGCCATCATCGAAGTTCTTATAATCGCACCTAATAAACTCGCATTCGTGTCCGGGTGAACCTTTACCGCGAAAAAGGCCGAGGGCGTAAAAGTAAATTACGTTGAAATTGATTTATATAGTGAATTAAAAGTAATAAGTAAGTAATTTAGTCTAATCTTAAGTCTCTTCATTCGTGATAAAATTGGCAATAAAAAAATGACTAACATAAAAAGGATGCTAAAGCTCCAAGCATCAACTCTTTAATTATATCCCTATAAAACTGTTTAGGAGGGTAGAGATAAGATGCACACTCTCTGTGTATGTACAAGTGTCAGTCAAAAAGCAGCCAATTAGGCGTCACCAAAGCAATTGATCCGATTTCAAAAATATCGTGAAAAATTATTAAATATTAAATACAACTTTCCACACACGTAACTCCATTTACAACCTTAAACATGGGTTTTAGAGGTGTAATTTGTTCCTTCAACTTATCTCCCATATAAGACAGAACTCTTTACATCTACCCTCCATGTAAACTAACTATTGTTCACAAGTTTGTTCTGAAGTGGTATTTGCTATTAGGCGTTTAACGATATCGATGGGTAAAAGACTATTATTAGGTTTAAACGAGATTTCTGCAACTTTACAGGAGAGCTGTTTGATATTTGGAAAAATTATCAAAATAAAAAAAACTTCTTCAACTATTTGAATGGAGTAAACTTAATTGAAGTTAAATTGAATATGCAATTTCGAAAAGGGTACATCTCTGAAAATGTAAAATGTTCAGGAAATGAAAAACTGATTATTTTCTAAAGGAGTGTAAAATTTAAAATATTAACTTTTGAGATATATTTTAGTGTTAATTAGAAATTGAAAATTACTGGAATTATTATAAAATGGGTGTAGGTAAGCCTCAAAACTACATGTATATGAAAAAACGTATTTGACAAAATATGCGACATGTGCCCTTTTTCAAAATTGCATATTCAATTAAAAACATCAAACTGTTTATGCTAATAACAAATAAAACGCATCTTTAATTACAAAGATAAATATCGCTTAAACCGAATAAATATTCTTTCGCCTCCCGATATACCAAAATCAAGTCTAAGAACCCTTTTATCGTAAAAGTAAGAAATCCAAGTAAACAATGATAATTTAATTCCAGGGGCACAGAGCACGTGACGAGGCCAAGACAAGCTCAAACACTTCGTGAACTCTGTTCCAAGACTCCCAAAAATGTAGTCACAACATTAGACAGTATAGTCAGCCTACGCCATGTTCGACCAACTAGTAACTAAGAATTTTTACAACAAACTAAAGTGTAAAACTTAATAGGTGCATCACAGCTACTAGAAAATTACTATCGAACGAAACGCTATGCGAGGTTTAGAAACATTGTTGCCTCTACAAACAGGCCCAAATAATTTTATACATAAAGATTACAAATTTTATTTTGTAGTAGGTGTTATCTTCTGTATTTTATAGTTTATATAACAATATATCTATATATGTATAGTAATTATATAGTTTTTATCACAATACATTTATCCGATTTTGTTTTCTCTTTTTCAAATTTCGAACTTTTACCGTCACGAATGAGAATGGAACACATTTAATTTAAACATTCAGTTAACGTTGCTCTAAGATAATTCGTTTTTAAATATTAACAATTAAAATACTGAATACTTGAGAACGAAATCATGCAATAACGTTTATGTTTACGAAGCGAGGCAGACGACAGCTTAACCTTGCAACCCGGCATCACTTAATACGTCTTAGCCTTATAGTCTAAGTCTACCAGCTGCTAGCATTCGTGAACACAATTAGGTTTGTGAAAAATTGTACACATTATCCTTGTCTAGACAATTGATAAATCATTGTTTTATATTATCATACACAAGAAAACGTGATAATGTTTTAGATCACGATTTTCTTTAATGAGAAAAAAACTAACATCAATTTACCTAAGGAATTCTACAACAGATTTTACAACAGATTCAACAAAAAAAATTTTTTAAACTTTAAAACAAATAAAAGGATCCCTTCACTGTTTAATATAACGAGGGCTAAAAGACTATTTGGTTTAAGCAACATTTTTATAAACTTAACCGGAGAGCCATTTTAAGTATAAAATTTGGAAAATATATCATAACAAAAAAACTTCTTTAGCTATTTGAATGGGGTAACCTTAATTGAAGTTCAATTAAAAACATCGAACTGTTGATGCTAATCAATACATAGTATAAAACAAAGTCGCTTTCTCTGTCCCTATATCTGTCTGTCCCTATGTATGCTTAAATCTTTAAAACTACGCAACGGATTTTGATGCGTTTTTTTTTAATAGATAGAGTGATTGAAGAGGAAGGTTTATACGTATAATAACATCCATTAAATAGTGGAGAAATCAATAATTAATTACAGTTTCCGAAGCGAAGCGAGGGCGGGTCGCTACTATCAAATAAAACTAAATTTTAATTACAAAGATAAATGTCGCGTATTAAGCGAAATGTCGATTGAATCAAATAGCCTTTCATCTCTCGATATACAAGAAAAAGTAACAATGTTCCAGAACACGATTTACTTAAGAAAAAAAAAACTAACATCAATTGATCTAAGAAATTCTACAAGAGTGCACCTGATAACAAATGTTTTTTTTTCTCCTTTAAAACATACATCAGAGATCCCTTTACTGTTTAACATAAGATTTATGATCAAATGATAAATACGTTATATATTTCAACTGACTTGCACACATCACTATTAAAGCAATAATTCTAAATTATAATAAATAATCATAATTGATAACCTAACGGATAGAATATTAGTTTATAGAAATCCTGTATAGAATTATGGTTGCATAAGTGTACTGTGCGACTTATTCATTACGTTGAAATATTATTCATAGAAATAGCTCGTTAAATAATGCTATAGTCTATAACTGTTGTAGATGGGAACATCGTTAAATGCAATAATAATATTTTATAATCACAACGAAATATAATTTCATATTTAATAATTGCGACTATTATATTTCAGTAGAGTGGCAACATGAAGCCTCAATAGTTTTTATGACAATACAATTTTATGTCCTGATTTAAAGTCTACAACTGCGCACTGAGACTTATGCCGAGCAAACATCTCGCTGATTGAGATTTCGCTCTCAAAATGATCTCGTGCCAGACCACCTACCATACATTTTAACTAGATATATCTCATTAAATATGTATCTATGAACACTAATATTGAACTAAAGTTATGACAATCATAGATTACTAAATTATGAGTATTCAATCTAAACAATACGGCTAGTTTGCCAAACACATGACAATTTGATTAACAGACATTCTAATTTAGTAGGATAGCACCAGTTCTTTGTGTGTCTTCTAAATCGTTTTTAAGGCCAATAAAATTTTATTAAAATTTATGTAAAAATTGAGCTCAATATGACCCCGACCTACACAGCCTACCTAACTTAGGAAGGGTGACTATAACTAAAATGTTTTAAATCGTTTTCCAATATTGTCTTATTTAACTTTGTTTTTGTTTATTTATACCTTTTTTTTTGTTGTAATGACATTTGAGACTCGCAGATAGGATGATGTAAATAATTTATTTAAAATACATAAACTTTTCATAACTTGAACGCATTTTAAATTATGATTTGTTGATTGATATGCATTTTTACAATTTTACTAATCAAAGACTTACAAAATACTTTTGTTCGAACAATTGTTTACTACCTACATTTAGAACGAGATTATTATAAACTATTATATTCGTATTCTACAGAACTAAATTAAAAAAAAAAAAAAAAAAATGTTTAAATGCAAAACATGGCTAAAATATGTTAACGCACGCTCCGTAAGTACTTACCGAAATAAGAACAGAATCATACTTGTTAATCGTAAGGCAAACAATAAAATACAATAAAAGTACACAAATTAATCAAAGTGCATCGCCTAGAAAACAATTATATTAAAACGAAAAGCGCATGCACTTTTAACTTTAAATTGACTAATCTAATAAACTTAATTAATGTAACGCTGTGACCAAATATAAATGGCACACGAATATTGTATAATGAGCAACTAAAGTAACTACACTAAAAACTACATTAGAACATTGAGCAAATATTCCGAAGGTGTAGCACCGAAATTAAAAAAAAATCACAATTTTTAAGGTTGCCCAGCCTGGAATTGCTGCCATCAATTTTGAAAAAAGAAAACCCCATCCCTAGTTGTACGCTCGATTGGTGGACTTGACCGTCAGACGATGGTGTTGAACACCATGTTGTTGTTGCACTGGAGGTTGAGCGTTATCTGCGGGTGCGCGCGGCCCGGCTCGGCGCTCGGCTCGCGGCTGCGACTCATCAGATCCTGCAAACATTTCAAATTGGACTTTTAGATTATCTTAAGTTTTAGTCAATTTTTTACCTAATCCCTGGTAGCGTAGGGGCTATTTCAGCTTCTCTCGGACGGGTAGGCAAGCTCACGGGCTCAACCTGAGAGAATTTGCTAATACTAGCCCTAGCGAGAGCAGTAGTTAGTTAGAGAGGTTAGTTCGCTCGACGAAAATAGTCAATCTCGAATTTATTATATAACATTTCGCACGCGGAGTTAGTTCAGTAGAAATAGTTAGGTACGATTAACATATATACGGCGCCCTGGTACGAGAAAAAAATACTTGCAAGTATGAAAGTATATGTGCTGAAGTCGGATGCTCAAAAAACTTAAACACTATCTTGAAAATAATGCATAGGAAAATGATTCATATAATAAAAAGCACAATCGAATTTGTGAATAAAAAAATACTTTGAACTTCGAAGTATTTTTTTATATATTCGATTTTGCTCCTTATACAGCATGGAACACGGGTTGAATTCCTATGTAAGTTTCAAATTTGAACACCGCGGCGTCTCAAGAAGTACGTATAACTTTCAAGTATTTTTAAAACCTGGTTTTTGACCCGGTATTTCTCGGTACTCGTACTTAGACGCCCTGGTATTTAATTTTGCATGTGTATCCCATCGCTAGATAAATAAAGGCGCTAGTCTTTAACCTGCACAGTCCGGCGTAGTTTGGCTGGAGGCGGCGCGTCCGACGCGTCCGACGCGCCCGCCGCAGAAGACGCGCCCGAACCGCTCGCGCCCGCCGCCGCCAATACAACCGCACTCTCGTTCGGGCTGCTAACAAAAGGGCCTCGTATTGTTATTGCATAGAGATGTTACTGACATTTTTGAGTGTCAGTGCTCATTCGAACCGCGGTGAGGTAAGGTCGTACACTGACATGCCCATTACTACTGCCTAGCCCACTGAGTTTCTCGCCGGATCTTCTCAGTGGGTCGCGTTTCCGATCCGGTGGTAGATTCTGCGAAGCACGACTCTTGCTAGGGTTCCTGTTAGCAACAGCGTCAAGTTTGAGCCCCGTGAGCTCACCTACTAGTTAAGGTTACGCTGAAATAGCCCCTCAAGGCTATCTATCAGCTTAGGCAGGGAAAAAAACGAATGCCTAACAAGATAATCACCAGTTTTGAAAATTTAGTAGCGACTCGGCTCGTGCCCTTAGCGTTGCTGACATCCACGAGTGACGGTAACCACTCACCACTAGATAAGTCGTCTGCTGGTCTGCGTACTAAAGCAATTAAAATTTTAAGGGTGAGCTTGTGAGAATCACAGAACTGATTTAAACAAAACAAAATAATAGAAGTAAAATTCACCATTTCATTTCAACACTATTTTACGGCTTTTAAAAACGACCTTCGTTATATTCGTACATTATTCAATTCTGCTTTTTCTAATAGTTCCTCTCTGCTGTTCGGCTGTTTACAATGCTCCCATTAAATCTTTAACAACAAAGACACAATTACATGTACTCTTTGTGTCAACTTTTGTTGCATAATACAATTTATGCTGTAGACCCAAGGCAAGGTGGAAGGATGTAGTGCTGAAGCACAAAAGGGAATGCAATGTTGCTGACGAGGATGTCGAAGACAGAGCGAAGTGGAGGAGTAAAGTAAGGAAAGCTGACCCCACCACCATGTGGGATAAATAGCTGGGAAGAGAGAGAGCTGTATGATATAATATAAAGCTGCTGGAAAATATGTTGTTGGAAAAGTTGGAAGAGCGGAATCGTCATGAACTTATTAAGTTGTAGATATTTGTTAAGTGAATTTGTTAATATTTTTTTTTTTTTTTTTTTTTTTTTTTTATTGCCTTTGTAGGCAGACGGGCATACGGCCCACCTGATGGTGAGTGGTTACCGTCGCCCATGGACTTCAGCAATGCCAGGGGCAGAGCCAAGCCGCTGCCTACCAAATATATTCTTTGGAATACTTCATAAGCTATTATGTGTATGCATGTGTGTATGTATATATATATATATATATATATGTTTACGCTTATATTTTGCGTTTTGTGTATGTATTTGTAATTTATTATAATTTTCTTTTTCTATTTCTATTCTATTTTCTATTTTCTTTGCACTACCTTTGGTTGACTGCCTTAGGCATTAAGCCCGCCAATGTAAATTTTACATGAAGTATAATAAATAAATAAATAAGTCACCTTTTAGCAACTACGGTATTGTTGTTATTGTTGTTGTTGTTGGCACTGGATGTGTTCGGTGTCCACGGGCTCTCGACCGTGTCTTCGTCGTGCAGCGATATACGGTCGGGCTCTTTGTCAGCCTGTTCGTTATTAGTGCTGAAACATTCATTAATGTATCCATATTTACATATACATATTATGATCTTATTATTTTGAAAACGTCGTGTCCTAAAGAATAAAACGCCGGTGCATTCGTATCTAGCGATGCACTGGTGTTCGAATCCCGCTAGCAAGTACCTTTTTTTTTCTAATGAAATACGTACTTCACAAATGTTCACGATTGACTTCCACAGTGAAGGAATAGCATCGTGTAGCGAAAACCAAACCCGCAAAATTATAAATTGGTAATTACTGGAGATAGGAGGAACTCTTGTGAGTTCTTACAGGTAAGTACCACAACTCTACCTACTGCTTCACGGCAGAAATAGTCAGAAGCAGTAGATAATGTCTTTCGGTTGGAAGGGTCAGACCTTAGAACTCTTGTCTCGAGATAGGTGGCGGCATTTACGTTGTAGATGTCTATAGGCTCCGGTAACCACTTTACTACACCGGGTAGGCCGTGAGCTCGTACACCCCCATCAAAGCATTAACAAAAAATTAGAAGGGTCATTTGTTTACTTGGACTTAAAATCGGAAAGGATACGGACGACAAATAACTACAAGGGCTAAGCTATCTCTTTCTTGAAACACCACATGTAAATGACAAGCAAAAGGCAATTACAATTAGCCTTATAACGATCTCATGTAGACAGCCCTGCACGGAGTGAAGCTATCACAAATGAAAATTGATGTAAAACCACACTGTTCAATTAATATTATTTATAGTTAGAATGTAAACTGAGTGAATATGGTAAGACACAAAGATGGCCGCGTGAATGATAATGCATATCGTCTTCTCGCATTAAAACTGTATAATCTCAAAACTTACTAATTTTACAGGAGAGTGTTTTAAAGGTTTAACATGTGATATTTTTAATATTAACCATCTTTGCAACATTTATTTTTAATTTTTTACCAGTTACATTATCTGTCTTTTAAAGGAAGATAAAATTATGTATTAATTTTGTTAATAGTAGTCACAACATAGGTAAACTAAAAAAAAACTAAAACTAAACTACGCTCTTTTGATAGTATTAATGAGAAAAAAAATACAATTTCGAATATTTTTGGAAATTGTACACTTTTAATGCGAAAAGAAGAGATATAATCTGAAAATTAAATACAATTTTCATCACTTTGTCATCACATTCATAAATCGTATACCGCTTCTGGATACTCTATTAAATTATGTTTTCGATAATTAAAATGTATTAATTGATATAATTACTCGGAAGGCGGTTCGGACTGTTCGTAGGCCGGCGGATTGAAGACCGTAGAGGACTGTCTGTTGTCGGACTCGCGCAGTTCCTGAAGCGGGTTTGGCCAGGCCGGCTTAATGAACGGACGCGATAGCTCTGTGGACAACATTCATATATAATTTGAAGCACGACCGCACCGAACATCTTTTGGCTATCTATTATTCTATACTATTACTCGTATTAAATTATAACATAAATATTAACAGCCTTCCTAAAGACACATTTAATGTTCAGTAAAAATCGCCATATTTTTAAACCTCATTCATTTCGTTAAGGTTGGCTCACTATAACGTTTTTTATGCTAACCAAATTTGTTCTAAAATAAACCATTATTTGTGAACTATTTCACGCGGGCGAAGTCGCGGGCAAAAGCTAGTAAAGTGATATTTTCTAAAAAAAAAAATCAACAAATCCTTTACCAATTTCTGCATCATACGTGAAAATAAGCTCAGCACTAAAAAGGTTAACAAATTGTTGTCTCCATTACACAATACCTTCGTCGTGTCCAACGCTGGTGAGGGGCGGATACGCTGCGTGGGTGCCGGATCCTGGATCGTCGGTCCCCGGATTGTAGGGCGGAGGGAAGTCGGGGGCTGTGGCGTTAACCCGGTAGCACTGAGATCTCACCGACGCTGAAGTGCGAGCCGCTAAAACAAATACATTTTGAATAATTAAAATTGATAAACCCTATTAACACGTTGACTGCTACGTAGGTCATCGGTGCCCTACGTGGCGCCCAAAGTAATTATGTCCATTTGTCTCTTCGATCTTCTTACTTAGGCGCCGGAATATCTAGCAGTCTGTGGGAAACACGGATCCGAAGATACAATAACAAACAAAAAAAGGCAAAGTTGAAATCGACATAAGTACCTCAGTGGGCCACGTAGGGCACCGGTGACCTACATGGCAGTCAACGTGTTCAGATGTAAATAAGTGTTATTATTTTTATTTTTACAAGAGATATTTATTATTTCCTTACATTTTCGCATTTCGTAAACATAATTAAAACTACTTAAAAACGATTTAATCTTGCGTTTTTTACTGTCATTCTATATATCGAGAGACGAAAGACTATTATTTGGTTTAATCGACATTTCGCTTAATACGCGACATTTATCTTTGTAATTGAAGGTCGTTTTAATTGGTATTAATATAAACAATTCGAAGTTTGTAATTAAATTTCAATTAAGTTTACCCCCTTCAAATGGCTGAAGAAGTTTTTTTTTGTTATTAACATATTTTTCTCAAATTTTAAACTTTAAATGGCTCTCCCTTAAAATTAACGCCAAATAAACGATTTTAAAGAAATATTTAGGCTTTCTTAATATTTGCGCCGACAGGTGGCATTATTTACGCTATTGAACTTTAATATTAATAATAGGAGTAGTAAAAGTTAATACAAGACATACTCTTCACAATATTAAAACAATAAAATACGACTTAAGACACATTATGACACATAAGATCCCAAAGGTCAAAGTGCCGGACTGTATTTACCTAGCTCTAAAAAACATCAACAAAAATAAAACAACTTTTCACATTGTTACTACTGATGACTCATAGCACAAACAAGTCTATCGTTTAGCACGATTATATTATGCATTCCAATCTGATCTTTATGTTCTTCGGGCTAAGCAACATGTTTACACGACAATGTTTAAACTGCTGCACTGCACTGATAGTAATTCGGTTTAACGCTTCTTTGTAACGTTATGCCATTTCGAATTAAAATTAAACCTGTACGGCCCTAGATAACAATTCTAAAGCTTTATGACAATTGTTTTGAGTGCGATGGAAAGCGGACTCGAATACCGGAAAAATGGTCTATTATGAACCGATGGTTACCTAAAAATGGTTTGGTGATCATTTCATGTGTTCACTATAGCTATTTGAGATTCGATGTTCAATTGAGAAATTTAAACCTCAAACTGTTAACGCAGAGATCTTCCTCACCATCCTCGGCAAACTATTGTAACAAGACTCGCATCTAGAAACTATAAATCGACTATCGTACCGGCCAGACCTAGTTTCAAGTGATTACCAGATAGCACATTGCGGTTTTTTTTGGTCATTATATTATGGATGGACGACAGAACTGTAATTTTAATTGTGATTACTATATCCCCGCAATCCTCAAGGATCCATACAAAATGCTTTCATAGACAAAGTTAAATCGCAAAAGCACAAACTTATCTTCCTTAGAGATGGCAGAAATGTAGATATTGGTAAAGTAATGTAACAGGTAAATAATTCGGTTAAGTAAATAAAAATCTGATGAAAAAATTGATGATTGATAATGTGATTGTTGTCTTATATTAAGATATAAGACGCCAATCACATACAGGTGACTCCTACAACACGATTCTATTCTAACACGAAAAGAAATATTGCCAAAAACCCTCTTATAACACGGTACTTGCACAACACAATAACGAGATTATTGTTTAAAACTATTTAGAATATTACATTATGCACTATTAAAAATAACCGAAATTTTAGTGCTTATTTTTTGTGCATAATAGGTAAAAAAATACAGGAATAGTTGAAATGATTCATTCAGAAAAATTACTCCCCTTTTTGTACTGGCTTCTATTCGTAGTCTCATATAACACGGTTTCGCACAACACGAGACTTTGTAGTAACGTATCTACCGTGTTATAAGAGGGTTACCTACAGTTACCTACCTGCACTTGAATCCCTTATATTAAAAGTTATCTTAAATTTTAAACTTTGCATATTTAATGGGAACAGAGCAAGGGAACATACTATAGATAATATGTTTAATAAAAATAATATTTGTAATCGGGATTTTAATTTGGACCAAACTACGCTAATCGGTCACTAGAAAAATAATAATGTAAATATTACATAATTTAAAAGTACATAGTCTTTCGACATAATGTCCATTTGCGATCATTAAAGATTGCATTACTAGCTGCGCAAGCTTGTTGATAATCTGTCACTCTACCATGCTAATCTATGTAGGTACTTGTGCTATAAAAATAATATCCTTTACCCCACACATATTATTCATAATATTATAGTGTTGTTAAAATACGATAACAATTGCATTATTGTGATAATAAATTCAATATCAGTACATATTAGGTTAAATTTTATTTGCACTGCATACATGAATGTCTTTAGCTCTCATAACAAAAACGTATAGCATAGGAGGCAAGCTTTATAGTAGTTCCTATCTATGACAACAATACTACATAATTATTATTATTTTTTTGTAGAAGAAAACAAAACTATTTAAGCGTTATTTCAGTTAAGGTTTATTCTTGAGTGAGCTTGAATTTTTGAGGGTAGGCAAACAAAAAAAAAACGATACTTACAAGCTAAAACCTTGAACATATCCCTGTGCCTCAGCAAGTAGAATACGATGACGACGAACAACAGTAGCCCGATGACGATCAGCGCCCACACGTAAGGAGGCAACACGGCGCTCTCCTCTCGGTCGTCGGGCCTCACGCATTCGCCGCTTATATCAGCGTCGTGGTCTAACACTAACCTGTGCCGAACATTCGAGAACTGAAATTCTAAATTCTTGGAACTGTTCATGTTACAAGAAACAGTATATTAAGAACGAAACTGCTCATTAATATAAAGCAGTCAGAACGTTTTCAAGGGATAACTGTTGGGAAATAATACTGGAACTTTGACCTCATGTCTCAAGGTGGGGTGGTAGCGGCATGCAGGCCGTCTTGTTTATGGTATCCGATAAACACCTAACTTAAAAAATAATTCTCAAATTATATAAAAACGTGATAAATGTATACTAAAACATCAAAAACTTCTATTTACAGTACATGGACTCCAAAAAGGCTCGTTTTACTAACACGAACGGCGCTGACGTAATTTATGTGAATTAGATTCACAGACTCGAAGCGAGGTTACTGCTAAATTAGAATAATTACATATTTCAAACGTTTTCATTTTCATTTCTTTCCCATGTTAGTTATTATGAATGCATTTTTGGATAATACAGATTATGCACGTTTCATAATAATATAATCAAAGTGTCACTGAACCTATTAATTTGATTTACATAAAATAAAGCAGGAAAAAAATCGTTATTAAATAAATATTTGATTAAGATAGATTTGTCTAGAAATGTTTGATAATATGTAAAGCTTACTCAGCTGACTCACCCTTTCTTACACGTACCGCAGTCGACTACAGATTTGATACAAGTATTGGGTGGAAAACGTGTTGATGGTTCGCGCTTCAATTCTTCGCAGTTAATGCATTCTCGGCAAATATTCAATGCTATCTCACAGTAATAACCACTGGAGCACTGCGTGTCTTCCTGACAACGAACCGGTTGAGGGCTGACGTAGGTGAAAGACATCAAAAAACACAAGGACAAAATCCTGAAACAAAACATATTTGTTTTTACGTGTAGTGTTCAGTATATCCGGTCATCGTTCTCGTCGAACCCGTGGCTTTGCGACAAAGGGTTCGGCGAGTAAATTAACCACAGACACAGCCCACAGAGTCTCGCCGGTTCGTATCAGTGGGTGGTGTTTCCGATTTGGTGGTAGATTCTGCGAAGCACTGCTCTTGCTAGGGCTAGTGTTAGCAACTTCAACAGGTTAGAGCCCGTGAGCTCACATACTCGCTCGGATAATCTAGTATAGCCCCTCGAGGTTGCTAGAATAGGTAGGAAAAAAGGAGATGTATAATATACTATATATACTAGACTATAGCTAAACTATAGTATAATAGATTAAGTTGCAACGGAAATATACCAGATGTAACAACGGACGCGAATAGGCCAACAATCTGCATTGTGCATTTGCCATATAAAATGTATTTCTTCCGAGCTTACAACACGCCGCTGCCCTAAAGTCCTTTGTGAATACATATCAATAGGGACTGGACCCAAGATCGAACGAGAACAAGATCACAGTAACTAGTATGAGTCACCGAACGTCTTACTTATTTTGCCGCGGATGCTACGAATCTAATTTTATCGGTGATACTTCAAAACAGTTCCTAGAAATCTGCGGTCACTAAAACGACTCTTAGCGTTTGAGTATTTGCTAGGTATTCACTGAGATACCAGCTAATTTGTCGCTCACTAAAGTTTTGCTGCAAAGGACATGTGATCCTGGCTAAAGAACTTCCACAGTACCATATTGCTCTTCCACAGAAACCCACAGAAAGAGATGACGTTCGGTAAATTCCTCCAAAACAAAAGACAAAGCAACAACAAATTGTTTGTCATAAAATTATTAATTAGTTAATTAGTATCTATATTATATGTATGTTATGCATACATAATAATAATCACAGTTACATTTTCCTTTAAGTTATAAAACGCAGTAACGTAATTAATTCAACTGATCACTTAATTGTGTATTTTGATCCGCCGCGCAAATTAATCTTGAATCACAAATAAGTTACCAAGGACGATCAAATTCGAATTTTCTTGTGCTTTGCAAATATACACGGTAATGTTTTTTTTTTTTCTACATTTACGATCTTACCTATCCGGTCTTGAGTGGTGGCAAGGGCCATATATATACAACGTAAATACCGTCATCCACATTGAGACATCAGAACTCAGTGTCAATTGTATATCAAAGGGTAAAAGGCTATTTGATTTAAGCGATATTAATTTTTTTAATTAAAGGTGCATTTTATTTGGTAATAATAGCTGACCCGGCAGACTTCGTAGTGCCTCAATCGATAAATAAAAGATAAAAGGAATCCGTCCGATGGGGGACACATTAAAGGAAAAACAAAATTGTTATTTTTATTTAATTCCGAGCATTTTCATTCGTTTATTTACCTTTTAAACCTTCTCTGGACTTCCACAAATAATTCAAGACCAAAATTAGCCAAATCGGTCCAGCGAGTAGTTCTCGAGTTTTAGCGAGACTAACGAACAGCAATTCATTTTTATATATAGATAAGAAGAAGAAGAAGATTAGCATCAACAGTTCGATTTTTTTAAATTAAACTTCAATTAAGTTTGCTCCATTCAAATAGCTGAAGTTTTGCTGTTATGGTATTTTTTTTCAAATATTAAAAACTTTATATAGCTCTCCTGTGAAATTGTATAAACCAAATAGCCTTTCACGCCTCGATATTCCACCCGACAAATATATGATTAACTTATTAACAACGGAATAATTAGTCACGACGGGTCAAGTGTCAGCTTCGCAATTTTGATATAAAAATTATACACAATAAATAATCCCTTTTTTTAAAACGTTTAACAATCAAACATTAACGACATCTTTAAATATAATACTATAATAAGTTGGCAGAGAAAATGAAAGCTTTAATTTAAACTGTAAAGTTTAGTTTTCAAATAATAAAGTCCACTAAGATTATACGCCAACAAGTACTTGAGAAGGATGCCTTTAAGTCCTCTAAATAAATGCTGAATCCGATTATTCACCGGTCTATTTTAATTTACCGCGATAACGTGTGCGAAAGCGAGTGCGGGAACTTGTTTTGTGCTACGAATCGCCTGACCGATGATGAGTCGGACGACAAAACTTGTATCTCTTGGCTTCATAGACTTAACGCACAATATAACGTAACAATGTTCATCTAACTATCTTAAATAATATCGAATTATTATTTTATTACTGGTGGTAGGACCTCTTGTGAGTCCGCGCGCGTAGGTACCACCGCCCTGCCTATTTCTGCCGTGAAGCGGTTTGAAGGGTGGAGCAGCCGTTGTAAATGTCCATGGGCTTCAGTAACCACTTAACATCAGGTGGGCTGTGAGCTCGTCCAGCCATCTAAGCAATTAAAAAATAATCATAATATAAAATATATCCAGTTTTTAAAGATATAAAAATCTTCCAGGCTTTTTAGATAAGACAGGTTCACGATTCGGACTGCTGAGTTACCGGAGTTCATGACCGGTAGAACTTGAATGCCACCTCTAATTTAAGGTGAGAGATTGACATTTCAACGACTATCCTATTCTTCTTCGCCGAAACGCGACAAATACCGGGCAGTACGGACTCACAAAAATCCTTACAGCTCAAGATCAGTAGAAGAAAGACTACTAGAAAATACTAGTCAGGTGATGGAAAAATAGCAGTATTTCTCGTCATGTACCTAGTCATTGAAGATGATAGATGAAACTAGTATAACTTGTATAACTAGTAAATAGTATAACTAGTATACTTCTTTACTTTACGTTTTACTTTTAACCCTATTATCAACAATAAAAAATCTATTGAATTTATATTAAATAGATTTAATTTCTTGCCTTTAATAGTTAAAATACAAGATAAAATACATTGTCGCGTCGATTTCGTTACAAATGTTCTCGTATGTATCAATATAATTATTATAATGTAAATCGACAAAGCAAACCGAGTTACGTCTTAACAAAAAGATCAAATCCCCTGGCTGCAGGTACCTATGAAGCGGTCAACGGTGAGTCATCCCCATCCCACTATCGTATCGAACGCGCGGGAGGCGAAGCAAACCAGAATAACATCGAATCGCCACTCTAGACGCGATACGCAACAAACGGGAAAGGATTTTGAATGATGCAATATTACGAAACCCTCAACATAAACTTTTACATTGACTTTTGCATCTTATAAAAATATTGAGTGAAATGTTTTTTTTTTTTAATTCATGTACGCAAAAATTGTATAAAACTCAAAACAGTAGAAGGACAATTGTATTATTCTAGTAATTCACTGAATGATTTAGCAACGCCATTAAATTGATTTAAATTTGTAGATAGATAAATAAATCTAACGCGATCTCTATACGTCGTATAACGTCGATATTCTGAACGTACTTTGATCAATTCGAACACATTCAAACATCTAACGAATTATTGAGCTTAAACTGACTGACAATGTTATGGCCATGTTAATGCCGAACGAATATTGAGCCCGAAGACTACAAAGTAAATGATATATTAGCTAGCAACCTTGACATTGAGAGTATGAGAGCTGTGTCCTCAGTTGCGTCAGAATAACGGTAATTACGCTTTTCAGACCAGAAGAATGATGACGACTGCATAAATAAAGGCATAATTAATAAGTATCCATAGATTCAGAAAACGTCCTATCGCCAAAACTTAAATAGGAAGAGATTTAAAAAATACATAGATTTCCTTACATTTCTAACTACCTTGATCAAAAAATAATATCTATACTAATATTATAAAGCTGAAGAGTTTGTTTGTTTGAACGCGCTAATCTCAGGAACTACTGGTCCGATTTGAAAAATTCTTTCAGTGTTAGATAGCCCATTTATCGAAGAAGTCTATACCGCGCCGATAAATAATGTTTCAAAATCGGGTTATTTTTACCTTTCGAGAACTTCCGCTGCGTGCGCTGCATAAAAGGTTAAAGTTTCGTTAAAATAATGTATGACAGAATTGTTTCTCTTTAAAAGATCTAAAAGAAATTCCGTGACAGCATATGTCTATATGCTAAAGTTGATTCACTATAAAGTTTTTTATGCTAACCAAATTTGTTCTAAAATAAGGCATTATTTGTGAACAATCCACGCGGACGAAGTCGCGGGCAAAAGCTAGTAGAGAATAAAATAAAGATAGAGAAATTAGTATCGAAAAATCTTTAAACTAACAATTATGCACAAATTAGAACCAACTTGTTGCGAATCGCTCGTTGCGACGCTCAACATCTCGATGCGACGTGAGAAAGTGGACTTCTCTCTGTTCCAACTCGTCGTCTTAGAGCCGAGGACCAAGATAAGAATCTCACTCAATACTATCCTCCTGTCTTTTGGGTTCACTCCGTATGTTAGTTTAGGCAGGGAGACAGAACAAAAATTACATGAAAGCTATACTACATGCATCTTGCGAAAGATTAACTGGTTGACGGATGTTTGCACCCCCAGAATCCATGCTAGTTCCGATACAGCAGAGTATTTCAGGGCTACAAATTGACAGCACTGTTTATGCCAAGAGCTGCGATCCATGCAGGCAAAGTGTGAAATGTGTCATCTTGTCCCCAACAAGGGGCAGGTGGTCCCAAACACCATTATAAAGATAGACACAGCAATGAAAGAAAAAGTTGAGTCCAATCAAATAATGTGATCTTTGTGGGCTTTTTTTTTTAATGATGTTGATAATTTAACAATAATGGAATATTTATACAGTGGTCAACTTTTTAGCGTTAGAAAAATATATCACAATAAAATTAAAACATAATCTTAAAATCAAAATGAGCATAAAACAATTTTGAACTCTTTATACTCAGCAACAGAACTCTAAGCTCACCAGCAGAACTCTTTAAACTCACACCTAACTTTTGTTTTTTCCTACCACACCTAACTTTTGCCTTTTTAGGCATGGTAGGTAATGAGTGCTTACAGTGAACCAAGTTTACTTTACACATAATTTTTAAGTAAATTTTTATAGAACAAAATTTTTTTGCAGCATTTATGAATGACAGCCTTTGCATGGATGGATGGATTGCTTAATATTGTCTTTTTTGAATATTTATTGTTTAATAACTTTAAAACAGCTTCATTTCTTTTGAAGCTATATATTTTAAAACTTTTTTTACTTGTACAAGTAGAAAAAAATCTAAAACAAAAATAACATGTCCAAACATGACACAGGGACAAGTTGAAACATGCAATTTATGATAAAAAATATTTTATTATATACTGATTGAAAATTGTATTGTATGTTGTATTTTAAACACAAGGAATAAGACCTAGGACCCAGCAAATAATTAGCTAAATAAGTATATTATATTAAAAATAAAATATTAAATTTAATTTAAATAACATAATCTGTCGTTCAGACGACTTGTGTGTTTATAGATAAACTTTTTGAGAACTTAAAGCCAAAAGTTAGACACCGATAAGTGATATCTAAGTACCTCCTTCACTATAAATAATATAAATTTGTTGGAATTTTGTTTACTTTTATTTTTAAGACCGCCAGTTTTTTTAATTGCGTTCTCCTCGCATATAATTTCGTGTATTGGAATAAATTTTACATCTTAAATTAAATTATAATACAGAAGAGAAATGAGTAAATTGTCACTTACCAAATCATTTTGTACTTTTTGATGGTGATAAACAAAATGAGTAACTAATAATAAAATCTGAATTATCAATATAAATCACTCAAACACGTAATATAAACAATAAACAGTCCTTTTGCATCAAATGGTAGGAAGTACTAATTTTCGGATGAAGCGCGCGACAGTCTAATACAAAACCTCCGCGCATAATGTTCAAGTTCATGCATGAATCAAACAAAACATTCAAAACTTCAAAATAAATATATAAGTAGATAGTAGGTATGTATATGTAATACAAAGGATTTCAAAAACAAGTCTCAACTTGTTACGGCTTTGGCATAGATTACACTAATTTAAAGAGGTTGTGCTGTGTAGAGTAGAATCTATACAAAGCTGTATTCACGATTTTATACTTTGTGTTCGTTTTAGTAGTAAATTGTGCAAATAAAATGTTATTAGAAGCGACATTTCACTCATTTTCACAGCATAAATACGTGAAATTCTGCCATCAAGGCTGACATGAATTTAAAGTTTCGATTCGATTGCTTAATGTATTTTGTATTACGTGTATACATGGATGTATGGAAAACACACTGAACGCATGACTATTTTGTATCCCGCATCCATAATGTTCAAACAGGTGCTTAAAGCTCATTGACGACCGCACGTTTATCCTAAAATCCATACCGATAACCTTAAATAAAATCATCAGCTACGATTATTTTAAAAAATAATAAGAAGACCGGTGTCTTGGAAGAAAATAGTTTAAGAGTCATTCATGAAGAAGAAATGTGGTATAATAGCCAGGCTATGTATGAAGTCAAAAGCCTAGCATTTGATATTTGTGTCGTACACATAAAGGATTAGACAAAACTATAAAAGACTGTCGCCCTGAATCTCTTCCCATGTGCTATCAACATAGTGTATTAACGAACAAGCAGTGGCACAAATATGTTTTGTGAGAATGTGGAATGTACGGTTAACTGAATTATTTTTTAATTTTCCCTTTGTTCTTGTATTATAGTGGCTTATAAACTGGTTATCTGTGAAAGTGTACAAATGGAGGGAATTTAAAGAAAATTGCAGGACATGCCTTTTTACGCTCTTGCAAAAAGTTCTGTAGAACTATTAGTGTACCAGTGTAGAACTACCAATAAACGTGTAGTAATAGTGAGTTTTAAATCTTTTAATTTCTATGAAAAAACTCTGGATATAGTTTCTTGAATTATATTAAGAAGTTTGAACCATTACAACACTTTGAATAGGTGCAATGCTTACAAACAATTTGGCTGTATAAAATTATTTTCTTTGTCTGTAAAATTTGACAAAACAAACGAAAAAATCAATTCAACATAGTCAACACTAGGGATGATCTGTAACAGGTGAAATTAGAGACCTGTGCCACCTGCTCCTGTTCCAGTAGCCTTTTCCAAAATAACAGCCTGTTTCAATATAGCAGCCTGTTGTGTTTACTGTTATTTGTTATATGTGACTGTTTATTGTTCATATTACGTGTTTGAGTGATTTATATTGATATTTCAGATTTTATTATTATTTACTCATTTTGTTTATCATCATTAAAAAGTAAAAAATGATTTGGTAAGTGACAACAGGTTTAATAATGTTTTAAGTACATAGGCGGCACTGAAAATTTTGGGAATTAACGAAGTGACACAACATTACTATTTAAAAATGTATTTATTGCTTTTCGAAGTATTCTCCGCGAAATTTGACACATTTTTCCATACGATGAAACCAATCATTGAAGCAACCATTCCATTCGGAAGTTGAGGTCTCCAAAATGGCCGTTTTGTAGGCGTCCACAGCTTCTTCAGGTGATGAAAATCTCTGTCCACGCAATTTATTCTTTATTTTAGGGAAAATATAGAAATCATTAGGGCTTAGGTCGGGGCTGTACGGCGGATGGTCTAATAATTCTATGTTTTCTTGCTCTAAAACTCTTTTTCTGTGCGCGGTGTGAGAACTTGCATTGTCGTGATGGAGGATGATGCGGCGGTTGCAGTTCTCTTTACGGAGTTCAGAAACGACCTGTGGCAAACAAATGCTAGCATACCATTCTGCATTAACCGTTCTTTGTCCCTCAAGAGGAATAGTCGTAACATGGCCGGTTTTGGAGACAAACGTGGCCACCATTTTTTTTGCAACACGCCGTGAACGAACAATTTTTGTTGGCTTTAACTCATTTTCGAACACCCAAACTCATGACTGGTTTTTTGTTTCGGGTTCGTACGCGTATATCCAGGATTCGTCACCTGATACAATGTTGTATACAGCATTTGAGGATCCTGCGTGGAATCTTTCGAGAGTTCTGACGCATCAAGTAACGCGAGCCGCTTTTTGCTCTTCACAGAGCGAATGCGGTATCCATCGGGAAAACAACTTTTTACACCTAATTGTTCATTCAAGATTATTTGTATTTGACTCATGCCAATGTCTAAAGTTGCCTGAATTTTGCGGTATGTCACATGTCGATCTTCCTCAATCAGCTTACGCACAGCATCAACGTTTTCTTGGGTGACTGCAGTTTTTGGACGACCTTGACGGGGATCATCACTGAGCTTGACACGTCCACGTTGAAACTCAGCAAACCAGCGATAAATTGTGGTTTTGGATGGGGCTTCATCACCAAATGCAGAAATCATCCGGTCAACACACTGTTTTTGTGTTAAACCACTTCGAAAGTCATAATAAATCATCGCTCTTGAATTTTCTCGAGTCAATTCCATTTTCTCAACGACTAAAGAAGTTTGACAAAACCTCGTGACAAGACCGAGAATCTTTTTTTAAATAAATAAATGGAGTTCGATTTTTAAAACCAAGGAGTTTTCAATTAAAAAGATTTTAATATGACAGGAACAGTGGAAATATTCCATTCCCGATACTTTTAGTGCAGCCCTCGTAGTCGTCGTCTTGGCCTAAAGACTAAGACATCTGGGGCATTCGTATCGAGCGATGCACCGGTGTTCGAATGCCTAGTGTGTACCAATTTTTCTAATGAAATACGTACTCAACAAATGTTCACGATTGACTTCCACGGTGAAGGAATAACATCGTGTAGTAAAAATCAAACCCGTAAAATTATAATTTGCGTAATTACTAATTGTAGACCGCTTGTGAGTCCGCGTGGGGAGGTACCACCACCCTGCCTATTTCTGCCGTGAAGCAGTAATGCTTTTCGGTATGAAGGGTGGGGCAGCCGTTGTAACTATACTTGAGACCTTAGAACTTGTATCTCAAAGGTGGGTGGCGCATTTACGTTGTGGATGTCTATGGGCTCCAGTAACCACTTAACATCAGGTGGGATGTGAGCTCGTCCACCCATCTAAGCAAAAAAAAAAAAAGGAGAAAAAAGCATGTTACAAACTGTTTGGGAACAGGATGTATATGCTATCTTTTTCTATTTCTGTACGTGAAAAGGGAAAAGAGCTTGTTCCAAATTGTTTCGTTTCTGGCTGTTTGCTTTGGAACGGAACAACACAACTTATAGAATATTGTTGAACAGTTGGAACAGTTGTTTCGGTCTATAGACAACAGCTCCAAGTTTTTTCATAGACGAACCTGTTCCGTTTGACTGTTCCGATAAATACGCCTCACCCCTAGTCAACATCTTTTATCATGTCATGACTGTCGCAGTCGCACATATAGGTATTTATTTAAATTCTGAAAGTAGGTACGGTACCTAATATTGATCGAAAATCTTTATGTTAACTGCCATCTGTGTGATTAGGACTTCATAACTGAACCCGAGCTGTGTCAGTTCAACAAGTGTACTACAATGAGAATAGAATCAGAATAATTACTACGTGTCTCGCATTTTAACAATTTGTGTTTGATTGTTATTTTGTATTGGATCTAATTTACATTATTTTCTAAAACCCAAAAAAATATTAATCACTACATCATACATGGAAGGATTGGAACAAGAACATTCAATTAACACAGAAGAAAATATGTCTACCGCGGACAGAAACTCTGAGTCTTCCAGATTAGTCACGTCTAATGCTTCTACTAAACCGAGTTATTTGAACTTGTGCAGCAATACGTGTTCTGTCATATTTTTGTGCATTATTTCGTATTGTTCTTTTCATAAAGGAGTTACATTATTTTCTTTTCATCCCATTTTGATGTCTTTGGGAGTGAGTAATCATTACATGGTTTTGACTTTGCTTTATTGTTTATCCAGGAAAAACTGTTTATAGTTTTATTCTATTAATTTCAGTGGGTTATCATTATGACTTCAGCAATCAATGCAATCACTCCAGGAGATTTTGCAACAGAATGGATGCCTATACGTCTACGAAGTGCTCGACATTGGCTTTTACAGGTGGTTGGTTTCATATTCATCACAGCAGGATTCTTCGTGATACTGATTAATAAAATTATAAATGGCAAGGATCATTTCACATCTCTCCATGCAAAATTTGGTTTGTCTTCATTAATACTTATGTTGGTAACTATGATGGGAGGACTGGGAGCTTTGTACAGTCTTAAATTAAAAAATTATCTTGCTCCTATTTATACAAAACTTCTGCATGCTAGTATTGGACTTTTAACTTTTGTCCTGGGAGTTATTACTATATTACTTGGATTGTTTACCAGGTGGTGGAGTTTTGGTGACCCTATCAGATATACAAACTTCACACTTGTACTGGCCATTATGCTTTTAACTATCTTGAGACCAAGCTTAAAAATATATTTCCGTTTAAAAGAAAGAATTGAAAACACAAACTAAAACATAATTAAAAAAAAAACAAATGAGATGCAAGAAAAAGGAATACTGAACTTTTTTATTTTTTTATAATCAAGTAAAGTTATGTTAGTCAATGTTATTTTTTATTATTATTTTATATTATTATTTTTATTATTAAGAATGTTTTTGTGATACTTTGCTAAACCTAACATTTATGTTACACTTGCTTGTTTGCACAAAATAGTTGAAATTCTTTGAATTTCAATGTGATATTTTTTTTATACTAGTGGTGCTTAATTTTATTTTGTAAGTATATTAATATAATTACAGAAAGTGATATATTCTATGAATGTAAAAGGGATAAATCTAACATAAATTTATGTAATATCCCATAAGCCAAACAATCTAAGACTTATAAGTGGAGCCTATAAAACACAATCTTATCATTAACTATCTTTAACTTAATGGTTTTGAAATGGTAAATGGTAAAAAAATACTTTACCAAAGAATGTCTTAAATCTCAGAATTAGTTTGTTATCCTTTGCAAAAGGCAATGCATTTAATCAAAATTTTATTTAGATTTAATTGTCCTAATATTCCAGTGTTAATTTTATAGTTTTAAGAAAATTATAAACTTGTTATTTTTATTAAACATATATTATTTAAGAAAATAATGTACTTATCATAATTCAATGAAAGATGTTTCATATGTCCAACTTATGTAATTTTAAATATATTTTTCGAATATTATTAATTTCAAAATTTTCTTTCGAATTTTTTTGCTAAATTGTGCCAAAATTAGATTAAACTATATAGTCATTACTATTCCATGAAAGACTATATTATATTATAATCTTATCTTATAGTGGTTTAAGTGGTAGAGAATTATCAAATATATAAAAGATATATTAATAAATATTTACATGTAGTTTTAGAAAAACTCTCGATGTCTATTTACACTTGAAGCTCTAAAGTATATGTTATTCTCTAATAAATGTGTTATGATTGCTGTTAGAGTTTTAATTTAAACTAAAAACTACTACCTTCTTAATCCCTAAACTTTACTAATAATTTTCTAATAGAAGTAAAGTCCTACTTGCAGAAAATAGGTCAAATTCGAGTATAGCTTAGTACTCACTATTTATAGCTATGTAAATATTATATGGGTATCTAAACCCTGTACTGGGTGTACAGTACAGTTCTGGAACCATTAAGAAAAACTCCCACATCACCAACTTATTTACCACCAACTTATCTATTTATAAGTAAGGTGTTTACAAATTCCATAAAGCAATGATAGTTTTAATAAAAATAAAGATGAAAAACAGCGTAATTTTGGTAAAATTATTTTATTATTAATTGGTTTACAAATACCTATATTGTCAGTTGTCTCTAATGCCGGCCACTGACATGCGCGCAAATATTCGTACATTGTACGAATGTTTGCGCGCATGTGAAGGGCCATCAAACATTCATTCTCAAATCTAGCGGCTGTGCAAATGGGTTCGCATACTCAATTTGCGAACCCGTTTGCGCTTTCTCCTACACTTGTTTACGAATGTCTCACGAATTTCTCCTCCTTTTTAATTCGTCAATAGAACATTGAAGAGAAAAAGAGTTTTTAATTCTTTCCCAGACATCATTAACAGCCATGCTGTTTTTATGGGATTTCTTTTGATGAAGATACGCTACACAGTAGACGTCACGAACTATGAAAATGAGGTATAGTATACGTCCGTTACTTACGCAATCGTCGGCGCAACTGGGCAAGCGAATGTGTGGGAGACTACGCGAAGGTCCGCGGTTCGCGCGCTTTGATGTCTGTTAAAAAAAAAACCGACACAGCTTGGAAAACAACACCAGTGTACTGCTGCGATGACCGATGAGATTACTAGGGCGTTGTTTTAATTATTTTTTATATTTTAAGTAAAGTTAAGTCACCAGAGTTATTTAAATTTGTAGGCAACCTTTTTTTAGTTGTTTTTTTATTAATTCTGTGAAAAACATTGATTTTGTGACAAAAAAATTCTCTGGATTACCGGTACCTAAGTAGTGTCTGTGTGTGTATGTGTCACTATCAGGTTTCGTAAATTATTTAGGAAAGCATCGAGGACAAACAAATTTTAAACACGACGACCTGGCCCTCGAATCTATCCGGAAATACATGAAGTCAGCGTCGGAACGGTACTTCAATAAGGCTGGCGTCATGATAATCGCCTTATCGTTGCCGCCGCTGACTATTCCCCGAATCTTGATCACGCAGGAGCCAATCACCGTCGGGCGTCGACGCCTTAGGCATATCCTTACGGATCCATCAGATCCAATAACCCTTGCATTAGACACCTTTAGCTCTAACACTAGGAATAGGGACCCCGGTAACCGTATTCGTCGAACTCTGCAGAGTTGCGCAGCCTAACCTAAACATCAGCCCGCTGAGTCTTTCGCCGGATCTTTTCAGGGGGTCGCGATTCCGATCCGGTAGTAGATTAATTCGCGAAGCAGCTACTCTAGAGTTGTTACGTCTCCTTGGAGAAGCTCGGGTAGCTGTTAGCATATCCCACCGTTTCTGGCTGAGCCCTTGATCGCCCACCTGCCGTGTTAAAACTGAAAAGGCCTCCGGGCTACCAGTACTCTCAAAGATAAAAAAAACACTAATAATTCTTATTTTTATATACATCAGAGTAAAATTGAGAATCGTATTACCGTGAAATTTCCGTATTTCAAAAATTAAAACTAATAAGGCAATTAGAATGATATTTTTTAGAATAGCAAGAATGGCGTATATAAAAAGCAGACTTATAAAATAACTACCAACAACTTTGTAAAGCTAGCTTTTTTAGCTAATAAAGTTTGATTTGATTTGATTTGGTTCTTTGTAAATATTTTTTTTTCTTTTTTTTTTTATTGCTTACATGGTTGGACGAGCTCACAGCCCACCTGGTGTTAAGTGGGTACTGGAGCCCATAGACATCCACAACGTAAATGCGCCACCCACCTTGAGATATAAGTTCTAAGGTCTCAGTATAGCTACAACGGCTGCCTCACCCTTCAAACCGAAACGCATTACTGCTTCACGACAGAAATAGACAGGGCGGTGGTACCCACCCGCGCCGACTCACAAGTCGTCCTACCACCAGTAATTACGCAAATTATAATTTTGCGGGTTTCATTTTTATTACACGATGTTATTCCTTTACCTTTATCAACGTTTCGATTATACTGTTTGTATTTGTTTCCTACAACTTGTGGTCATCTCCAAAAAAAATCCAGTAGGGTGAAACACACCTTCCGTGTAGGTATCCAGTGGAACATTTATTTATTTTATTTATTTATATAGTGTATACTGTGTAGCTGGGAAATTAAGCAAACATATTTTGCATAACTTTGCTTAATTTTGCTTAACGTGGTTTTAACGGGGACATGATCTAACATGATATAACATGATAGTAACTTCAGCTGCTATTAGCCTACAACGCGGGTGTAACTCTGGTAATGTTCTACCTATTTCTGCTATCTACTCGTCTATTGAATTTTGCCACATAAATTAAATATCCTACATGATTTTCTAACAGAACCTTTCCCAATAAGTTCTATCGAAAAATCTTTATTCCAGGCCTGGCAATCTCAATGGAACTCAACCTGTTTTTGAGTTCTTTCAAATTTATGGTACTTGGTGACTGCTTTAGGGACTGCTAAAGTTTGAGATAATTCCATCATTTCCTTTTATCCTCGCCCCGTCTGCCTGAAGTACAGTTCGTCTATTAGGTACTAACTAGAAACTCAGCGGTTCAAGGTTGTTGTTCAGTGTGTCTCCGCTGAACTTTTTTTTACGAACCGTCAGATCATTTGTCGACTACGTTGTAACCAGTTGTAACTAACATATTAATCTATAATCTGGATTTGGAATTAACTTCCGTCCACGGTGCTTACTGATTTACAAAAGTAACAAAAACCACTAACTGCCTAGTGTACCGTATACACGTGTGCTTACGATATACAAGAAAAAAGTGAGCTGACGGTTCATGCGGTAGGAATAGAGCCTTAATAGAGTACCAATACAGGATCACCAATTAAATAAAGTGGAAATTATGGTCGTGACTAGAAAAAAAAGGGGAGATGATGAGAAATTTGGATAAATCATTCTAATATATTTATATTATTATTTCTTCTTTACTCCATTCACAAGTTTTTTTTTTTTTTAGTTGTGTGGGAAACTAAGTGTGTATATATGGTGGGAAATGAATGTTGGTGTTGGAGGGACTTTTTGGCGGGAACGCGAGGAGTGAAGTGGTGTGATTTGTTTTATTTTGTCTATTTAGTGTTTCTTCAGGTTTAAATGTGTAATAACGGTGGTTTATTAACTGTTTAATATCTGTGAAAGTGCACAAAAGTGGGAAAATGAAACAAAGCTGCTGGACGTAAGTTCTCGTGTTCCTCCAAAAAGTCTACTGAAAAAATCTCAGTAAATGACCACCATTTTACTGAGATTATATTTCATCCCATATCATCACATTTCATTTAATTTCATCTCAGTTGATTAATTTCTCAAATTAATCATCTTCATTTCATTTCACTCCATAATAAAAAATTTATAAAAATCTGAATATTAATTAAAATAAGACATGACCTAAAGGTCTTAGTTACCAGGTCATAAAATCCCTTAGAAAAATTTAAACGAAAGCAGAAAAAAAAACAAAATTGATTAATGATTTTATTCATTCGTTCACTCATTGATTCACTGTTTGGGTTTAAGGAAAAATCTCCAGAACATAAGGGCATTTTCGTTTGAAGATAAATAAATTTCACTTAATTGTGAACATTCAAATACTTGAAAAAACAAGGTAAATACTTCGCTATTTATAAATTGGAAAATGGCGTCTTATTCTCAGCCGTCGTTTTATGATTTACGTTCCCACCGCTCTTTTGTTCTAGATGCCAAATATTAAGTTGCAATCATCAGACAACGAGGTCTTCGTTGTTGATGTTGAAATTGCCAAATGCTCCGTAACTATCAAAACTATGCTAGAAGACTTAGGCATGGAAGAGGATGAAGAGGAAGTTGTACCTTTACCTAATGTCAATTCTGCAATACTCAAAAAAGTTATTCAGTGGGCTACTTATCATAAAGACGATCCTCCGCTACCAGAAGATGACGAAAACAAGGAAAAGAGGACTGATGACATATCATCATGGGATGCTGATTTTTTGAAAGTTGACCAAGGCACACTCTTTGAATTAATATTAGCTGCAAATTATTTGGACATCAAGGGTTTATTAGATGTCACATGTAAAACTGTAGCAAACATGATCAAAGGAAAGACTCCTGAAGAAATCCGTAAAACGTTCAACATTAAGAATGATTTCACTGCTGCAGAAGAAGATCAGGTTCGTAAAGAGAATGAATGGTGTGAAGAAAAGTAAACCATAATAAATGCTATTTGCAAGCATCTTTTTGTAGTATTATCACTATGTATGCAACATTAAACTATTTTTCCCATGGCAATAAAGAATAATTAATTTAAACCAAGTAAATTTGTTTGTGTTGTAAATTATATAAAAATAGGTACATCATGTCATTGTGATTTTCAATAAAATTTAAATTTTCATATTATCATTTAAATTACTTTTCATTTAACTTTAATTCTATTATATTTATTGGAAAATTTACTTAATGAAATAGAAATAATTAGCATAAATCACTGACTTAAATTTTTGTCATCTGCTTATTTTTTAACTAATTGTGTGGGTAGTCTTGATTGTGTCCAGAAATTGCCAGTATCCATTGCAATGTTAAACCACAAAAATAAGTTTGTCACCATCAATGTCAATACAAAAAGTAAATAAATATACAGTCAAAACCGTTTACTGCGACATCGTTTAGAACAACATGCTGGTTATAATAACCTAGAACAAAGGTCCCGGCTGAATGCTATATGACCGCCTTATTAAAAACATTGCTCTATACGACATTGCTAATAACAACATACCTCATAAAACGACCACATTTAACTAATATTTCGGAGAATTAGATCTGTTAGAACGACCGGCTAAGCTGTATTGTAAACAATTTGAATAGGTATCCACATTTGTCTTCAATGGCTATTAAAATCAGGAAAGAAAACAATAGGATTTTGTTTAGTGTAGGGTCTTTTCTAATTCTTAGAAACAAAAATGTGTATGCGGTGGAGTCAAAGCCCGCTTCTTCATATCTCTTCAGTTAGTTAGTTACTTATACTTATATACACAAGATGCACCAAAACTTTGTGGAATTATTCATGAAACTTTCAAAATGTCGCAAAGAAAAACAAAACAAATTAATATTGAAGAAAAATCGTGTATTATGCAAACATATTTTTCCAATAATTCCCTATCGATTTGTTTGTACTTGCACGATACACATTAAATTTCACCGGTTGTTACGACTGAATATGAGCAGTCCCTTCGATGTCGTTATAACAGATTTTGACTGTATATGTATGTATTTGATAACCACATTCCCTTAGAGTCCGTTCCTGATGCTAAAAGAGAATTAAACCATCAGCATAACAAATGAAAATAATATATATGAAACTATTTTTGCCTCTAGATATTTGTCATTAAAATTACTTTTAAAGCTTAGTATATGAACCCATAGTCAGAAATGTCCGTCTGCCTCTTTCAAAAGAAACTGAAAGTGAGTTCCAGCAATTAAATTTTTATTGTGTTACATTGTATGCTATGTAAAATAAAATTTTAAAGGTGATTATTATTTTGTTGGATTGTAATTTTTATAATTAAAAAACTACTTTTACAGTTTATCTTGAGTATATTATAATCAATTTATAATTTCAGTTGTTTCAAAATCTAACAGTTTTTGTGGTCATGGATAAGAGGTGTAAGTAAACTATAAAATTTGTAATGAAAAAATCTTATTAGCAATTATTTATTGTTTACAATTATTATTATTTTAATAATAAAATATCTTTACAAATGAAAAAAAAATAATAATAATTATCAATTATTTATTCTCTCCTTTTCATAGAACATAATGTTTAGGTCTTATAGTTTGTTTGACTTGGGATTTCATGTTAATAGTCAGATGATTACTTTTTTTCTGATCTAACCTTTTTTCCTTTTATTTACAATAGCTTCATGAGCTATTTATGGAATTAAGAATTGTTTAGGGTGTATTGAGCCATGTTAAATTTCACTATTAGCACTGTCCAGAGTAAGTTAAAATAAATCAGACTTATGTTGGGTTTGACATCTGCAATATTTTCCTTAATTCGTAACAAAATGTGCGCGTTACGCCAATGCTATCCAATGTATGAGCCTGCAATCTTCTCTCTACCTCCCTTGATGTACATCAGGAACAATATAGCTCATTCCTTCTTCTTTTTGTTAGCATTTTCTTGGTCTAGTGCCAAGGAATATAGCTCGTTCCACTGGTTGTTTTTTTTTCGCCTACCGACGCCGAAAGTTCGGTCTTCGTCCCGCTGTACAGGGAAGAAAGTGTAACTTTTCCTCCCGCTGTACAGGGAAGAAAGTGTAACTTTTCCTCCCGCTGTACAGGGAAGAAAGTGTAATTTTTCCTCCCGCTGCACAGGGAAGAAAGTGTAACTTTTCCTCCCTGGGTACAAGTGCGCATGCGCGTTAGTGTCTACGTCTGCCCTCACGCACCTAAAATTCTCCGCCATTGTTGTGCTCGGGTAATTTGCAATATTGTGTTTAGTGTGAAAGTGAAATAAACAAAATGCAATAAAATTTAATAAAAAAGTAATAAACAAAGATGAGTTTGTGGCGGGTAGCCATCATACAACGCAAGATAATTGACAGATGCCTGAATCTCGCTTACGACATTTTCAAGATAAAGCGCATATAAATACAAGTTCCGAACAACAACGTTCAGACCGTCGGTCTACCGAGCAAATATCACCCGCTCGGTGGAAGATCTTCCCTCCGTCGTATACCTCCCAAACTGGTGACCTGCGTCGGAACAATTGCAGCCTTCACACTTCATCATCAGCGCATCAAGAACTTCGGCTACCACGATTCCCGCATTCTCGCAGATAAAAGTAAGTCATCAACAGTCGTCCCACAAGCCAGTATCGCAGCCTCAACAGGACCATCGCAGCCGACTCACCGCGCTTCCTGGTCCTACGGCACGCACCTTCACTGCCTCATCACGCCGCTACGGTTCATCACAGCCCACGACCGGATCATCAACGCTTGGGGTCACACATCTCCGGCGTGGCAGCTCTGCACACATGGAGTACTCACGATATACGCGCAGCATTCAAGCTCAGTCTCGACTCACCGCAGACTTCGAGCAGCACTGGCGACAATCACGCAGTATTCAAGCTCAGTTTCGACTCACCGCAAACTTCGAGCAGCACTGGCACTTGCAAGCTGATCTCAGCACGGACAACGATAACTAAAATGACACGACCTCCAGTCTCGGAGGGGAGTGATGTGGCGGGTAGCCATCATACAACGCAAGATAATTGACGGATGCCTGAATCTCGCTTACAACATTTTCAAAATAAAGCGCATATATACAAGTTCCGAACAACAACATTCAGACCGTCGGTCTACCGAGCAAATATCACCCGCTCGGTGGAAGATCTTCCGTTCGTCGTTCAGCCTCTCCACAAGTTCATCAGACAGTTCTTATTTAATTAGTAGTAGTTTATTTAAAAATTAAAAAACAGTTAAATTGTTTTTTTTATGAGTACGTAATATTTTAACTATTTCCAAAATACTTGTGCGGATCGCTACCAAACTCACAGGGCTACTACCGCAGTGAAAACATTTACACAAGATAGCGCGAGTGCACTCCGCGCGGTGCTCTCTATCAACCGCTAGCATGTTCAATCTACAACTTAGAATTTATTCATTAATAAAAATTACAATGNTCCGGTAAGTATCTTTTATGTTGGAATGAGTTACTTTTAATGATCAGTCATCACACAACGATCCGGTAAATATCTTCTATGCTGGAACGAGTGACTTATATTGATCAATCATCACACGTCGATCCGGTAAATATCTTCTATGTTGGAATGAGTTACTTTTAATAATCAGTCATCACACAACGATCCGGTAAATATCTTCTATGTTGGAATGAGTGACTTATATTGATCAATCATCACACAACGATCCGGTAAGAATCTTCTATGTTGGAATGAGTGACATAGATTGATCAATCATCACACAACGATCCGGTAAGTATCTTCTATGTTGGAATGAGTGTCGCTTATGAAGAAGTTATCGATGCAACTAATGATGGGACTGTTGAAATGTCCGTGGTAGGAACCGCACGAAGCAGCACCGAGAACAAGTCCGACAAAAAACACCATAGCTAGCATAAAGACCAATATACACCGACATTTATTCTTTGTGGATATTAATTCTGAGCATAAGTGTAAAAAATCATAAATAGACCTGAAATAGAAAACTCTGTTTTAGTTTTTGAATTTAAAAACGAATTGCAAGCTAGATTTATATACATTTTTTTACTATCTATACTTATTGTTATGACAAGACTAATTAAATCTACAGCAAATCAACAACTTTTTTTTTCTTAGACAGGTGAACTAGCTTAAGCTATCCCATAGATATCAACAATGTAAATGCTACCACCCACCTTGAGAATTAGTTCTAAGGTCTTAGTGCCAGAGTACAATGGCTGCCGAAAGGCATCACTTCTTCAATGCAGAAAATAGGCAGGGTGGTGGTAGCTATCTGTGCGGACTCACACGATGCCCTACCAAAGTAAATAGGCATTTTTTTTTCCGTGTTTAATTTAATTACACGATGTTATTCCTTCATCGTGGGAGTTATTAGTCTCAAGTATAATAAGTGTATAATCTATGGTTATTAGTGAACATTTCTTCAGTACGTATTTCATTAGTTTAATAAAACAAGATTTTCAAGACATAACGTAAAATATAATAATGATAGATGGTAAAATGACAATGTGTTCGAAGTATAATTCAAATAATAGAATATGGAAAACAAGGTTACAACTATTAGAGAAATCTAAGATAAAGTCTGACTCACCTACAGCATCTTGTATTGTCACAGAGTAACTTGTCTGTTTCATCTAACAAGCGCTGAAGTTGTTGCTGCGCTAATGTAATTACAGGACATTTCTTGTGTAATATATTAGCAATTTCACCTTCCGACTCTAAATCACAAGTACAGCCAGGAGGAGACTCTGCAGTAACAATAATTTCATTTCCGCCATCGCTTCTCGGAGAAACATCTGCGGTGTCTGTATTTAAATCGTTATTGGGCCTCTGCGAATCGACATTGTAATCATCTCGTCGGATTTTCTTGTATGTTTTCCTGGAATATCTACAAATATTTTGTATTTGGTAATCATCCATTGCTCAAACATAAAATTATTATTAATCGATATGGATAAAGAATCCAAGAGTTATCGTCCTGTGACTACGTTTAGTGGCCCATGTGCCTATGTACGAACCGTTACGTAGTTTCTCCACGTTGTGGACTACTTTAAAATATAGTTTTTTCCACGGCTACTAACGGCTACTGGCGTGTTTAAGCCTAAAGGACATGCGATAGGTACCTATATATTTTTGTTGATAGCTATGACGTCAGATGGATAGGTGACAAATAGTGACAATGATATTTTATATGGCCAGTACTCGGACATAGAACGCAGGTACGTTTCTTCTAATTCAAATTCGAATTTTCAATACATCTTCTCTTCTATATCTTTAATACATCATGAATAAATGAGCTGCTTTAATTTTTTATTATTTTTGTTTGTAAAAGAGTGAGACCTAAATTCTTTGTTGATTATTCTCAAGGGTAAAACTGCATTCCGAACCAGCGATAAAGTGATGTCGATTTAAAAGTGAAAGTCTATTCAAAGAAAACGTTATTTGTATGTTTGTTATGTAGGCTCTTGGTTAGATCATAATATTATTATAATACAAGCCAAAGAGGCGAATGGTGAAGATCCACATTACATACGCATCACGGTGCTCAGACCGCCATCGTGCAAAACAGCCCACTGAGTTTCTGGCCGAATCTACTCAGTGGGTTGCGTTTCCGATCCGGTGATAGATTCTGCGAAGCACTGCTCTTGCTAGGGTTAGTGTTAGAAACGTCGTCAGCTTTGAGCCCCGTGAACTCACCTATACACGTCAAGGCGAAGCTGAAATAGCCTCTCGAGGCAATTAGCACAGGTAGGAAAAAAAATTTACCACCCCGCCTATTTCTGTAGTGCGTGAAGCAGTAATGCGTTTCGATTTGAAGGGTAGGGTAGCCGTTGTAACTAAGTATATTGAAACCTTAGAACTCATCTCAAGGTGGGTGGCGGCATTTACATTGTAGATGTTTATAGGCTCCAGTAACCACTTAACACCAGGTAGGCTGGGAGATCGTCCACCCATATAAGCAATAAAACATGCAAATAAATCCAATATTATGAAACGTAATTGTGTAATAAAATATGTAATAATAAAGCGCATCTTACGCAAAATAAAAAGCTGAAACTGTAAGTAGATACCTTAGATCATAATCGTAGGACTTTCTTTAGCGTCATTGGTGGTAGAAGCGTAATGGCTGACTTTCGAAGTCGTCGTGGCCTAAGGGATAAGACGTCCGGTGCATTCGTGTTGAGCGATGCGCCGGTGTTCGAATCTCAGGCGGGTACCAATTTTTCTAATGAAATATGTACTCGGCAAATGTTCACGATTGACTTCCACGGTGAAGGAATAACATCGTGTAATAAAATTGAAACCCGCAAAATTATAATTTGCGTAATTACTGGTGGTAGNGATGCGCCGGTGTTCGAATCTCAGGCGGGTACCAATTTTTCTAATGAAATATGTACTCGGCAAATGTTCACGATTGACTTCCACGGTGAAGGAATAACATCGTGTAATAAAATTGAAACCCGCAAAATTATAATTTGCGTAATTACTGGTGGTAGGACCTCTTGTGAGTCCGCACGGGTAGGTACCACCGCCCTGCCTACTTCTGCCGTGAAGCAGTAATGCGTTTCGGTTTGAAGGATAGGGCAGCCGTTGTAACTATACTGAGACCTTACAACTTATATCTCAAGGTGGGTGGCGCATTTACGTTGTAGATGTCTATGGGCTCCAGTAACCACTTAACAACAGGTGGGCTGTGAGCTCGTCCACCCATCTAAGCTATAAAAAAAAAAAATACTTAATCGTGGGTCATTGCAGTTGCTCATGTACCTTAGCAATATCACGGGCACAGTCAAACTGCAAAGGTAGATGGTACGTATCATTATTTCTGATGTAATACTAAGTGTTACCTTTTCCTACAAAATTGCCATTTAGTATGCACAAAGTTAGTCATATTTTCGTCGTGATCGTGATCTCACTGGTCCCACACTGCAATAAAAATTATATTAAACTAGATTTTGCCCGCGACTTCGTTCGCGTGGAATAGTTACTTTGGGATAACGCTAAGCTTTACCGACGACTTCATTTACGTAGAAGGTGAAAATATTTTTGAATATGAATGTTAAGGAGCTATTTAAGTTACCAAAATCACGATTTTTAAACGACTTCAAAAGAGAAGGTTATTAATTCGAACACAATTTTTTTATGCTTGCTAAGCTTGAGCCCACTGAGTTTCTCGTCGGTCTTCTCAGTGGGTCACGTTTCCGATCCGGTGGCAGATTCTGCGAAGCACTGCTCTTGCTAGGGCCAGTGTTAGAAACACCTCCGGTTTGAGCCCCGAGAGCTCACCTACACGCTAGGGTAACGCTCATACAGCCACTCAAGGCAATCAGCATAGGTAAGAAAAAAAATAGACGATAATGTTTGAACCGATTCTAATACTTCTTTTTTCTTTTTTTTGGTCGAAGAGTTCCCGAATAGTCCTGTAATCATCAGGATCAGGATTTGATGATGGGATTCTGGAGAAATCTAGAAAAATCTACAATTTTCGAAGCCTATCTTAAAATGATTTGGGTGTTTCTGGTTATCCGTCTTAATCTGTGCCGCCGCGTAACGGCCGAGCGGCGCCGCGGCGCGGCGGCGCCTTGTTCATCATTATTTTGCTGCGATGTTATTCTAAAACTGCAATATCTTTTATAATAGGTACTCATTGAAATAAAATGATGTACAGGGCAAATTTCTTTAAAATTAAATACTTGTAATAAATAACATATTTATTTGGATAAGGGTTAATATCATTTTTATAAAAAACACCTTCACAAATAATGCTTTATTTTAGAACAAATTTGGTCAGCATGAAAAAAGTTATGGTGAACCAACCTTAAAGTATAGAGATATGCTGTCGCGGACTTTTTTTAGAACTTTTAAAGGGGAATAATTCTGTCATAAGTACATTTTAATGAAACTTTAACAGTTTCCACAGCACACGTAGCGAAAGCTCTGAAAAGGAAAAAAAACACGTGTGGCACTCGGGGACTGCCGCAGTAAAGCCATTGCATAGCATTTTTTATCAACTTATGCAATTATAATTAGAGAATAATAATTTAATATTAAAACAATAATAAAATAAGACCACGCTATATTTATAAACATTAACAAAAGCAAAACATTAACTGTCCCCTTCACACTCATAAGCTAGAATCGCGCGAGAGAAAGATGGGCAGACTTTTCATGATGCGCATGCAGTGCGACGTCACACCGCGCGCTTATTCACAAACACTACACAAGCATAACGTGTGAATGTGTTGAACGCGAGCTACATGGTAGGCGAAGTGGGGGTGATAGGTTTCGTTTTCGTTACGGAATTTCTTGATTCGGTTGCCGCGCTCAAAGCCCGCGATAAAAGCTATGCAATAGCTTAAAAACCGGTTTTGAAACATTCTTTATTAGTGTTCCTCTCGTATTGGTCTTAGCGTGATTTTATATAGCCTCAATAAATAGGCTATCTAACTCTGAAAGAATATTTAAAATCGGACCAGTAGGTCCTGAGATTAGCGCGTTCAACCAAACAAACAAACAAACTCTTCAGCTTTATAATGTTAGACATTAAACAGTAAATTAAAAAAACGAAATACATTGTAATTTTTTTTATTTTTAATTACCCCTTATAAATAAACAACAACTTAAATGCAGAAAATGGAAACAGTCAACATAATAAAAAAAACGCTGCGGCTAATCTCCAAAGGATTTATGCATAAACTTCTTGGAATATTCATAGACAACGAATAAGGCAGCCGTGGCCGGAATGGTACGGACTAGCGTCGGTTTTAGTCCATTATACAATGCTAGAACACCTAAAAACATAAACCTCGTCACAATATACAAAGTGGAACTAAATTAATGCTTAACCTAGTTTCATACAAGTTTGTCTAATCTTTACTATGTATATTATACAGTAATAAGAAATAAATACACTGCTAAAGGTTTCGGTTTTTCTATTCAAAATACGTAGTTTTTATTAGAACGACTTTATCATCGCCGACTTCTGAAAAACACCATCGACTAAGATTAAGCTGGGTCTGGGACTGGAATTTTTTTTTTTACTACAGAACCACCCCGTTCTCCGGCGGGTAGTTCTGCTCTAGGTAATGTTGTAACCAGAGACAAGTTTAAGAATGTCGTGTTTCTTATATTGAAAATGAACCCCTATTTGACCCCTATGGGTTTAAATTTTCAACAAACAATACAAAAGTTATCAACTAAAATTTTGCGGCGTTAATAAATTTGTGAATCAGGACAAGTAATTATATACATATAATGTATGTATGTATTCTTTATCCCACAGGCTCTGTACAAGGATTTGGAATGTATGTATATGCATATATTTATATGGAAAATAAATAAACATAAGTGTCTGTTTGTGAGACCTTGAAGTTAGGTCAAATTAATGATCATAATAAGGTTTTTTTGCACTCGAACATAGTCAAAACAAACTCATTTTTTTCCATTTGACCGCATGTGGAAATTTGATACAAAATCGCTTAATTTCTGTACACAATAAGAGCAAAACCGTGATAAACCGTTTGTCGATATTTTTTATTTTAAGAACTTTTTTTTATTGCTCTACTATATTTATCAAATAATAATGATGGGAATATTGCACCTGATCCTTCCCTTTAATTACCAATTGTAGTTTCAATGCATACAGTGAAACTTTATTGGACAGTTACCATAGTGTGCTTCTAAATTACTTTTTTCTATCCATAATTGGTGGAATGGGTCATTGGCCATTTGTGAGCCATTGCGTCTACCGTCGAAAGCAATAAAAAAAGAGAACAAACAAACTTATTTTCACGATAAAGAAATTGCAACGTGTAATAAAAATGAAACCCGAAGAAAATGTGCATAATTACTGGTGGTAGGTCTACTAATGCAGTCTGCATTAGTAGATAACACGACCCTAACTATTTCTGCCGCGAGGTAGTGATACGTTCCGATTTGAAGGGTGGTAAGCGTTGAACTTTAAACTACGAACAACTTCAAATTGAGAATAAGACGTAAATAACATTAAGATAAATACAAGTTATTATCTATAATAATAATACATAAATAATATTCTAATAAATAATAATATTCTGTATTTTACGTACCCTCTTTTTTAACGATCTCATATCCAACCGTTAAGAACTTTTGACTTTTATTAGATATTTGTACTCTAGATTTAATGACATCTGTTGGAAATATAACCGTCCACAATACAAGACCACCAACTGCTCCCGCGGCCATTGTCCTCAAGAAACCTATATCGTCTTTTGACTGTCCAGGTTTAGCCAACAATTCTCTCGTTCCTAAAATGGTATTATCAAGAGTTTTGATTTTAAAATGTGTAAAGCATCCGTGGTCTAAAAAGTAAGTCATTGTATGTACGGGTATTAAATTATACCACTATTCCTAGTACCTAATACTGAACGGTCTCAACTGAGGAATATAACTTACCGCTTTGCTTAGCGTTTGTGGACTGCGAAAAAACCTCGGGTTCGATAAGAATCTCGGCTGCGTTGCAAATTCTCCGACCAACCCAAGTAGTCCAGCTAGGTAGACCCAACATCGAGAAAGAGTTCATACGTCGCATCCAACTCGGATGGGCAAAGTGTCGGGCCAAATGCCGCAGTGTCTCAAGACTTGAGTGACCAGTGTGTATTGCCAATGATGATATACCTCAGTGAGACGGGATCACTTTAAAAGGGGTTTCACCAGAAAGTTTAGAATGATCCAAAGGGCATAAGAGGGCTATGCTCAGAGATTCCCTGCGATATCGAATCAAGAATGAGAACATTCGCAGGGGAACTATAATATTAATAATTGCAAGGTTGAAGCGGGCACGGTCAACTGTTCATAAAACAGATTGCTGCTGGAGCCAAGTTCTTGACTGATCATCGCCGGAAGACGTAGCATGGGTAAGCTTTTTTCTGGCCTGGGGCCGAACCTCCTATAAGGTCCCCGCGCCTAGGGGGCGCGCGGGGTATGTGAGACTTAACGATCTGCAGATGTTGGGAGCAGACCTCGGGCCCGAGGAGTTTTAGGGCCCTACTGCACTAAACGACTGTCCTGCACTCTTACACCCGACGTCCGATCTCCGTTCGGGGTCAGAACCCGGTCAGAGTAGGGAGTTCCCGCGGTCAGCACTACCACCAGACTCGCGGCACCCCTCCTAGGCCATAGTCGATGACCAACGATGACGATCTCCGCGGTACGGCTGCCCTACCATGCCGCTAGGGCGATACCGCTCGTGTTCCGGAATACCCCGCTGGGTCAGAACCAGCCCGCCTGGTCGGAAAGCGATACACCGCCGACCGGGATCCACAGTATGTTCGGCGACGACAGCGACGACGACAACGCGGACCGCATCGCAGGCCGCAGCCACCGACACGTCGTCCCATCCTCCTTGGTGCCAGCGCGCTAGAGTGACGGTAGTGTGTGGAGCAGCCTCAACCCCCTCAGGTCGCCCTGTGACCATCACCGGGAGGAGACTTCTTCCTCACATTGGGTAGGCCTTCCCACAAGTTGGACAGATGACGAAAGTTCTCCAAGAGAAGGATCACCAATATACTATTTAAACCTAATCCTAGTAAGAGATGAGAAATAGTCTGCATCTATTGTGTTTAATACTCATATTAAACCAAATTACCTTCATATCCACCAAAGAAAAAGAAATATCCAGGCATTTCCCTCATAATTGTTGGAACAAGGCCTCTAAAAAGACCCTGTATGCCATATTGCTTGAATATTTGCTGTNCCAAGAGAAGGATCACCAATATACTATTTAAACCTAATCCTAGTAAGAGATGAGAAATAGTCTGCATCTATTGTGTTTAATACTCATATTAAACCAAATTACCTTCATATCCACCAAAGAAAAAGAAATATCCAGGCATTTCCCTCATAATTGTTGGAACAAGGCCTCTAAAAAGACCCTGTATGCCATATTGCTTGAATATTTGCTGTGTTAATTGTAATGGCGTCACTTTAACCTATGACAAGAGGGCAAATAAGTTAATAATAACAAGAATATGTGCAAAAGATAACAAACCAACGCCATAGATAAAGCTACAATTAATAAATACTGATAAGCAATGTTAAGTCGACATTTATAAGCCAATTATAAATAACTAAGGTTCACAATAATGATGTAGATGGTAAATTTTACGCAAATCCCATGTTTGAAATAAGGTGTGAAGCAATACATAAATGAAAATACCCATAATGATCATCATACAGCAGTTTGTGAACCCTGAATGTTGACTTCACGCATGGCTTGTAGTTGACACTTTATTAGTTCCGTTGGACATAGTGTGAACGAGGAGAAGAATGCAGCCAAGAAACCTGCTGATGCATTACCCACCGCTGAGAGCTGCTCTACACTCTAAAACATGCTACATTTTAAATAATACAATAGAGTTCGTTGATTAGAATTCTTATCTAAAATATTTGATATCCTATTGTAATTTATTTCTATGTTTATTATACATATATGCTATTATGATAGGTTTGATTTTATATGAGATCAATATACAAAACAGATCGATTATTATCTCTTCAAATAAGTCAGATTTACTGATATAATAACAAAAATATTCACCAATATTCTGGTGCATTCAGAATTTTTAAAGATCAGTATCACTCACTTCTACTCCTGTAATTCGACAGACAAACTTTTGGCAATATCCATAGGCTGCAAAAAGCACAGAGTTTTCTGCTACATTTGCCATAATAGCTGGTGTGGTGCCAGCATATAAACCTCTTATTACACCATCATTTCTTAATGTTTGTTTTAAACAGTCATACATTCCTTTATATAAATGTGGAAATGTTTGCATTTTCACTTTAACTGTGTCCAATGGTTGACCAACATAAACAACTGCCACACCACCTTAAATATCACAAACATGATTTTAAAACATTATATAATTGTAAATGTTTACATTAGATTTTAATTTTCTAAATGAACATACCTAAAGACCCTGCTGTAAAATCAATGATTCCACTCCTTAAATTATTTGAAGAATCTGTAGAATCTGCCATTTCAGTATCTGCAAAAATTTCTAAAATAAAAATTTACAATATTAAAGAAATAACTATAAGAAATTTACACTACAACTGTAGGTGTGAGTGTATTGAGTGTACATGGGGGTGCAGTGTAGATTTCAAGGGGTAAGTTGGTGTGGCCTAAGGGATAGGAAGTTTCAGTTTGAAGGGTGGGGCTGCTATTGTAGTATAAAATTAAGACTTAGAACTCATGTCTCAAGGTGGGTGACGACATTTACTTTGTTGATGTATATGGACTCCGGAAACCATTTAACACCAGGTGAGCCGTGAGCTCCTCCCCACATTTAACCAATAAATAAAAAAGTTGAATGACCTAATATTTAAAACTATTAATGAACTAAAATAATTAAACTATTAAGCATACAGTATTATATGAATACGTTTGTCATAATACTATTAATATTTACATAGGGTAATTCTTCAAAATCTCACAAAACCTAGTGTAAAATTATCACTAGTTTTCTATTTCTATACACTAGTTGATTTTAAAAGTTTTACAGACTAAATTATGTCATTAGATTAGAATCTATAAAATATTATTTGAAATATCAAATATTATTTATAATTTTAAGGAGTAAAACATACCAAATGAAGTTGTACCTTTTGGTATTTCACTATACAATAAAATAAAAAAAATATGTTAAATAACTTAGTTAAGTCTGTAAATGAAATAACCTATGAAGTACATATGTATGATAAACATTATACGATAAACACTCAAATTGAATTGATTCAACGTTTTCCGAGTTTATCATACGATAGTTTCATAATGCAGTATGGCAATCTTCTCAACAGGGTTGCCAGTCCCAGCATAGAACAAAACTGTAGATTTGCTTCAAAGAAACTAGAAAACTGTAAAATATCAAATTAAAAAAAGCATATCTACAACTTAGTCTTTATATTATATTTTGTATAATTTAATGATAGCAATAAATAGAATACATTGTAGGGAGGTCATTAAGAACAAGAAAAATCGTGAATTGTCAAAGTTTTAATCTAATTAAATATCAAAATCAAAAGTCTCAAAGTTGCAATTATTCCAGTGCCTGCATGTTTGATAGTATTACTAGCTACTATTTCATTTTCAATTTGTAAGTCTTCTTAATTTTCCGTTTCATCTTTATTTTTGTTGAAATCGTACATATTTTTATTGATTTTTTTTGAATTCGTATTTTATCACCTTGACCTCGGAATTTTTTTTTATTTCTGACCTTTAATTACGGACTAATAAAATAGATGATGCTAGCATCTTACATAAAAAACTGTAGATTTCCAAGTCTAAACTGAAAACTAAGAGAATTTCCGAAAAGCTGTAGATCTACAGATAAAACTGCAGGGCTGGCAACAGTGCTTCTCAGGAACTGAATGTCTTAGTTTTTTTGGAACATTCTTGCCAAAGAGTATTGTTAGTCTACAGCATTTTCACATTTACGAGACGGTATGAGCTATGTATAGGGGCAACTATAATTTTATATAATTTTTATATTTGCATGTATCACACAGAATCAGCCGCTATAAGAAAAAAAAAAGTATCAAAACGTTTTACTCCAATTTCCCCAATATTTCTAGCGTCTATTTCTTTTTTCCCTTTTTGCCATCAGATCCTGGTAGACCTATAGCAATATAATGCAGATTTAAAAACCGATGAGATTTGTTTCACTCAATGTTCAATTTCAATAACAAGATTAATATAATAATAGGCTTCTTTTTTTTTTCCTACCTAAGCTGATAGCCTTAGTGGCTATTTCAGCGTAACCCTAACGTTTGTAGGTGAGCTCACCGGGCTCAAACCTGATGACGTTGCTAACACGAACCCTAGCAAGAGCTGTGCTTCGCAGAATCTACCACCGGATCGGAAACGCGACCCACTGAGAAGATCCGGCGAGAAACTCAGTGGGCAATAGGCGTTAAATAAATAAGTTAACATTCTATATATCGGAGGGACGCCTCAAGGGAATTCTGGAGTGCTTTGAACTCACTGCAAGGACAGAAAGTGATAAGTCTGAAAAGTGATGGTTACTGGCAAAGTGAACGGGAAAAAGTCGCTGGGCCTAACCAGTCATAGCCCTAAGAATGGGGTCTATTAAGGATAGTGGCGTCTAATAGAGACAGCGACACTCAATACAAAATATATTTTCTTCCAAGAAGTGAAGTCGTCGTGGCCTAAAGGATAAGACGCCCGATGCATTCGTATTAAGCGATGCAATGGTGTTCGAATCCCGCAGGCAGGTACCAATTTTTCTAATGAAATATGTACATAGCAATTGGTCACGATAAAATTCTACAGGGAAGTAATAGCATCTTGTATTAAAAATCAAGCCCGCAAAATTATGATTTCCCTAATTATGGTGGTACGACGTCTTGTGAGTTCGCACGGGTAGGTATCACCCACCCTGCCTATTTCTGCCCTGAAGCAGTAATGCGTTTTGGTTTGAAGGATAGAGCAGCCATTGTATTGTAAATATTGAGACCTTAGAAGTCATGTTTCGAGGTAGATAGCGGCTTTTACAGAAAAGATGCCCATGAGCTCCGGTAACCACTTAACACAACACGGGCCGTGAGCTCGTCTGCGCATCTAAGTAATAAAAAAAGTTAGATGTGAACTAAGCGGAGGACTTTTTTAATGCTTTGATCGAGACAAGAAATAAAGAGTTCATGCAATCTTTGCCCTTGAATATAAACTATGTTAAAGTAATAGTTAATTATAGAAATGTAGATAGGACAAGATTTTTGAATTGAGCGGGTACATTATGAATAGTTTGCGTGACTTGTTATTCATATTATAAACAGTGTTTGTCGTATTTCATTAAAATAATAATCTATAAAATATACATTTTAGGTATTACAAAACATTCATTTAACAATATCTAAATATATAATGTGATCGAATTTACAACTAATAATAACAAATATTCAAGAATAAAAAAAAACTTACCAATGGCAAACTCCGAAAACTTTAAATGACTCCCGTATGAATGGGGGAGACTCATAAACATGGTTATTGGTTGTTTTTCAGCTTGCTTAGGAATAAAATTAAGATTAGAACGCTTACAAATGTTTTGTTTTCAGAAAATTATTTATAAAGATACTAGATATATTTATCAATAGTAAATAAATATGTTTAATTCATGTAAATAACCTAACTGTTAGCGTCTGCGAGTGATTCTAGACTAGTGAAGTTGTTATTGGAAATAAATATGAATTTTACGTAAATTCTATGATTTGTGTAAGTGTATAACAGGATGCGTTAAATCTACTGTTTGTGGAATATTTTTTCTTTTACATTAAACCAAAAGCAGATACAATAAACATTGGTTAAATTTTGACGTGTCGTTTTTGAGGATTTCGTGTTCGTCCGCCATGTTTGTCCTTAAAATTGTTTTAGAAATTAATGTTTTGTAAAAATTATAACTGTTTCATAACGAAGTGATAAAGTGAATTTTTATAGGTAAAGTCCAGATAAAGATAACATTTTTTAGTAGCGACCACTCGTTTGTATACTATAAAAATAAATAGTTTCACGATTGACCAGTGACCACAAAATATGTTGCGTCCTTTGTTCAGGTATCCAGAATGGTTGTTGGATCAGCGTCTTACCCTGGAAGGCAAGTGCTCCACAAGATGCAGCCGATGGGTATGACTCCTCGCGAGCTGTCCGAATACGATGATCTAGCAACGGCTCTAATCGTGGACCCATATCTAGGCATCACGACACACAAGATGAATATCCGCTATAGACCTTTAAAAACAAACAAGGAAGAATTAAAAAACATTATAAAAGAGTTTATTCATACACAGGATTATAATAAAGCTTATTCAAAACTAGCCAATGGTGAATGGATACCTCGACATTTTAGTAAAAATAAACATCAGCAGACCAAGTTTCGAGATCATGTAGGTACCAATTGATTTAAAAAAAAAGTATAAAATTTGAAAAGTGTAATAGTCACATATAATTAATGACAATTATTAAATGCTTTGGGCCTTTTTCTTTCAGATTTATCGTTATTTACGAATTTTTGACAAGAAAGCGGGATTTGTTATAGAACCATGCTATAGATATTCATTAGAAGGCAGAGTAGGAGCAAAAATTTCATCAACAAAAAAGTTTTTCAAACATGAAAGAATAGATTTCTTAGTTGGGTGCATAGCAGAAATGACTGAAGAAGAAGAAAAACAATTATTACATCCTGGAAAAAATGACTTCTCAGTTATGTATAGCTGTAGAAAAAATTGTGCTCAGTTATGGCTTGGACCTGCTGCTTATATTAATCATGATTGTAGACCAACATGTACATTTGAAGCTACAGATCGTGGAAAGGCATTTGTTCGAGTGCTGAGAGATATAGAGCCTGGTGAAGAAATTACTTGTTACTATGGTGAAGATTTTTTTGGAAATAGCAATTGTTACTGTGAATGTGAAACTTGTGAAAGAAGGGGAAAAGGGGCATTTTCAGTTGAAAGTTCACATAATGATGAACAATCCACAAGATATAGATTTCGAGAAACAGATAACAGAATAAACAGAACAAAAGCAAAGCAGGTTCAAAAATCATCAAATGTTAAAAATTCTGAAAAGACTCGAATATCCAGTAGGCAAAATTCTAGTATAGTATCTCCTCTTAGTATGAAAGAAATGAAACAAAAAGGCTTAACAAAGTATGATGCAGAATTATTGATAGCTCAGGGTTGCATAGCTGATGTTTTAGATGGCACTACTGATAAAGAAGACAAAGGGAGCAGAGAATCCTCCACATCTAGTAGGGGTGAAAGGTTACGAAAAAGGACAGATAGTAACAAAACTATTAATGGTGTACATGGCACAGGAAAACGCAGAGCACCTCCTTCTCGTTGTTGTAGCACTGCCAGTTCCCGAAGCAGTAGAGATTCTCATTCAGGAATTGTGCTAAGAAGTCATAAACGCCTTCTTGATACGTGCATTCAACCCAGTTTCCCTAAGATAAAAAATGGATCAAAAGTAGGTTCAGACATAAAATATGAAAGAAATGTGAATACACCAAAAGAAGAGGCTGATTTACCTAGCACTTTAGAAATTTCCAATTTTGACATTAAACCCGACCTACCTATTGTAAATGATAATGAACACAGTTCAGATTTGAATTCTTTTGTGTATACTGATACCCATTTAGGTGGTAAGAATTGTGATAAAAAAGAATCTCTAACTGAAACAGACCTGCCTATAGCTACAGCGACAGAGGATAAAATAGAAATTATAGAAAGTAAATCAAAGGTTCAAAAAGAACCTGATGAAATTGATTGTACGGTGAGAAATGAAAATTCGTCTTTAAAGAGTGGAATTGATTTTAGGGAAAATGTAAATCCAAGTGAGCCTAACAATAGTAAAAACAATAAGGTTCAAAAAATAGAAATAAGCAATAGAAGTGATGAGTCAAAAAGAGAAGTTGATTCTGGACCTCCTTGGTTAGTGGATAATTCTAATAAAAGCAGTGATTGCCCTTGTACTCCACCAAGGCGTGGATTGAAGTTGACATTACGTGTAAAACGAAGTCCTGTTGTTGAAGAGGTAATGGATTGTGGAGCACCTGCTGAAGCACCAGAGTATGAAGTTTTACGATTAGAAGGTGTCGATCCCGAAACTGCTAGACGCTTGAAGAAACGACGTCGATCCAAGGAACGACATCGAAAACATAGTCCTGTCCGTCCTCTGCCTCCAATGAAACGCCTAAGATTAATTTTTGGCAACGAAAGTCGCACTATCGATTTGCCTACAGCTTTATCAGCAGACTGACAGCCGCAACTACCTTATTGTTGTTTCCACCGTTATTTTCAATAATTAGTATAATTATCACTGACTAGAATTATTTTACCTAGTATTTATTTTGTGATGTAAAATTTGGAAATTTGAGTATTGTGTGATAGGTTTTGGATTTTATTTGATGATTCCAATATTTATTAAATCCAATAGTGAAATAATGTCATTATTATTTAATTAGCACAATTATTTTTCCCGTTTTCGTTAAAGAACAAAAATAACAATTAAATCATAGTAATAAATGAATTATAGTGTATTAATAGTATCATGTAAATAATTGTAAAAAAAGTGTTCTTTGTAATGGTAATTTTAATTAACTTAATTATGATAACTCACAGGATCTTAATTAGTTAGTATGTTGTACTTATTGAGAAATTATTAATCAATTGTTATCCACATTGCAAAAGATAAAAGACAAAAGTTGATTACTTAATATGTAAAAANGTAATAAATGAATTATAGTGTATTAATAGTATCATGTAAATAATTGTAAAAAAAGTGTTCTTTGTAATGGTAATTTTAATTAACTTAATTATGATAACTCACAGGATCTTAATTAGTTAGTATGTTGTACTTATTGAGAAATTATTAATCAATTGTTATCCACATTGCAAAAGATAAAAGACAAAAGTTGATTACTTAACATGTAAAAACTTGTCTGTGGAAAGCAAAACTGGTACTGACATATTTGAACTAGGTATCATGGATTAATTTTGTAATGAGCATTGTTGCTGAGTGCTGACTTCAAGTAAAGTTGTTGTGTTTATTCCTTTATTTATCAATTACAATTATTTAGTGTTGCAAACTATTGAATAAATTGTTTCGTAACAGTTGAATCTAATCCCAAAATAATGATCCAAATACATGCCAGCGTCCAGGACTAGAATGGATCAAGAGAAGCCAAAGTGTAATGTGAACTGAACCTTGAAATTTGCTTGCAAATTTGTGGTATTGATTGTTGGTTGTTTGTAAATTCCTTGTTTATCTCCAAAATTGAGTAAGCATTTTGTACTTTGACTAATACTTAACTTCTCTTGATTCTAAGCATTTTTTAAAATATTTGCCAGTGACTTATATGAAAAATAATATTTGTTTCTTTACTATTCATTATTCATATGAAGTATTTTGTGAAATATTTACAAATGAAATGGGGTTTGGATTCCAATATTACAACAGACTGTTAAATGTGGTTCACAATATTTTAGAACATTGAAACTTTCATTTGGTATATCTTAATGAGCCTAGTTTTATGTTACTAAGGTACAGTATAGTAATAATATTTTGCTAGTTATGGCTACTAGCTTTTGTGATATTCCCTGGGAATGGGTATAAAAATCAGAAAAGTTCCACAATGTTAACAAATTAGTGACTGTAAAATAATAATTAAATAAATATCACAATAAAATGCCTCTGAAAATTCTTTTTATACTTTATTGAGTAATTTATGTAATTTTTATTTACCTTGTAATTTATAACGTGCTTGCAAGAATATCTTGGAGTGACTTGCTTCCATTAAGTAAAATTTTTATTTATAATCATAGGAGTTTACTATTTTTATGCCAGATTATTATGAACAACAGTTTTTCAACGAATTTTCAATTAAAATTCACATACAGAATTTTGTAAGAGTTATTTTATTATTACAAACTTAATAGATATTGACATGTTAATTCCCTATGTTCAGAAGATGTCAAACTCCTGTGCAGGATGCAGCTCTTCTAAATGACATTTAATGACCATACCTGTAAAAATATAAATATATTATTAATAGAATATATCTTGTCTATATTAAATGTGAACAAGTTTTGATACCTTATCATTGATTTATTTACCACTCAACCAATTTCAATATTAAAGTATTATACGGAATATATGGTAATATATCTTTATAAAATGTACTTGCTTTTGGAACTCCCATTCTCTATTGTCTAGTGGACAAACTTGTCGAGTCTTCAACCAACGGGAAATACAGTGGAAATGGAATGCATGCTGTAACGAAAACAAGCAATTAAATAAATTAGTTTTGAGTCAATAATGATTGTGTTTGCCAAAATTGGTGCTCATACATTACAAACACCCCAAGCAACTGTGCATTCTTCACTAGTGGCTGAGGCTTGATTTGCTTGGCATTCGATACACAGATCCATTATGTGATTGCGGCAAATAGCGCAGTTGTCGACAACAATATCTGGAAAGCAATATCATGTTCAGAACGATGTAGAGGTTACGAAACTTTATTATCAAGAAACATACCCCAAGCCCAGAGTGCTACTGCATTCCACTGTAACAAAATTGTTTACATTAAAACTAACTGAAGAAACAACAAAGAAATTTTCAATATTAAGAGCGCAACAATGAGTTTGCAAAATGGCACCTCACCTTTTTTACTTCGAATCTTTTTTTATCTCCTTTGCCACTACTAGACGAAGCCATTTCAACTTCTTCTTCATCAACATCCATCACAGAAGCCATTTTCAAATTAAACTACCCCGTTTTATTAAAAAATAACCAAGAGTTGTTAGGTTGTGTATTATGTTTTTGACAGCTGAATCGAAATTTTAAAAACTTCATGTTGATTTGTTTTTTGACGTTTTTGACATTATTAGTGTTACAAGTACGGAAAATCGGCTTTTTTTTGGAGTTTGTGGCCTGGTACCTAGACCTTTAGGCCAAAAATCGGCTTGTCAGATTAACAATGTTGCCAAGTTGTTAAATGAACTTTCCCGAAAACTTCGTTTGTAATTACAGGAATAAACATATTTCACTAATCATCCGACTTTTCTATCCAGTGCGTCCAGATATGAATGTGTTCACCTCATTGTGTTTCAAAGTGTTGTTTATTATACTATATTTTTTGAAATCTTATTAATTAATAAGATTTCATATAATTATACGGTATTTTAATAAAAAAAAGTGTGTGTGTCCGCTCCGACGCACGACTGGAGTTTACTGGATATAAAAAATTAAACGAAACAATACGAGAAATAGTTCTATATTACGACAACACGATACACTACAGATTATTAACAAATTAACGAGACACAAAACAAACGACTAACAAATATATGAAAATACAATAATGAGAGAAACGCGCGATCAGTACGAGGCTTTGTGGCGGACTGCCGGCGCAGCAGCCCGGCGTCACCTGCAATAACGCGGCCGCGCGTTGGCTCCTGATTGGCGCGCGCACGCATCACGCAATCAGGAGCCAATCAGGCGCATAACGCATTTCGTGTGACATGCTAGTACGATTTTGATTGGCGCGCGCACGCATCACGCAATCAGGAGCCAATCAGGCGCATAACGCATTTCGTGTGACATGCTAGTACGATTTTGGTCCCCATAATTTTCATACCCCGGGCCTATATATGTAAATCGATTCTAAAGGAGTAAACTCCAATAAAAAATATTACAAACACTATTTAAAAAAACACTACATAAAAAGATTATTGCCGCTGATGGCGGTGTCTACGACACAAGTTGTTAGGTCTCCAGAGTGAGAAACTTCTTCACAATATGCGCCGTATCAAGAAAGACTGATTTCTGTACCAGGCCCCCAATCCAGCTGGATAACGAAACTTTTCGCTATCAAACCGTGTACCGAAACTATTGGAACAATTATTGTTTAATCAACATGCCACCTGGCGATAGTTTCGTGAATGAGGCCTAAATATTTTATTAATTTGTCCTTTTCTGTCTTTACTAGGTTCTCGCCATGAGGATGGTGATATCAACCAAAATTGTTCGATGTGCAGACCGATCTATAATAACAATAACAGGCTTATTAGCAACAATAGACCTATCCATGATAATAGATCGATTCCAGTAGAGCGTTACATGACCAGTTTTAAGAACTTGCTGCTGAGGTTGGTATTGGTAATAAGGTACAGCAGAATCAACCAAGCTATATTTCAGAGCAAGCTGTTGATGGATAATCCCAGTCACTTGGTTATGTCTATATCTTATAATTATTGATAGTGCTCTCACCACAATTTTTTATTTTAGTGAATTTCGCCTTTTTGTAAAGCGCCATGATCACGGTATATAAACCATTAATCACAGTATTTTTTAATTTTTTTTATTTCTATCAATAAAAGTTGCAGCCATGGTTTTGATGCATGTCTCCAAGCGCCATGCTAATTTTTCAATACCCTTCTTGAAGAAATCACGTGCACAGGAGCCAACAAACACTTCAAAGACATTTTGTATTGCCTCTCGGGTATTGTATTTTTTCCTTCCAAAAGAATTGTGCAACTTTGGAAAACTGTTGGCGCAGGTACTGGTGAGTGGTGGATAACGTAAAACATCCAATCCTAGAGCCTGTAGCGTAGAGTCTGTAGGTTGTGCCGTATGGTGTCGAGCGTTGCCGTATTGTATCAGCGATAACGACAATTAACCAAGGCTAGCCGAAGATTCGCAAACTCCTCCATCATTGTGTTCAGTTCTTCACAGTTCACATTGTAAGTGGTAAAAAGCTGTTGAACATGACTTTTCTGAATTAAGTTTTAATTTGGGTTATATCCTAAGTGCCAAACCAAGGTCTTACCAATATGATGATCGCTTACTTGTTGTTATTAAAGTGAATCAATTTTTTTGTAGCATGTGACAATGCGGTTTAAAATCCGTTTGTTTCTGTGTCTGGTAAGCAATGTAAGGCATACTTTAAAGCCTTAATCGTTATGGCGATCGTTCAGTTCGTGCGGCACGCACTTATCTAGGTTTTTGGAACGAAGTTCCTTATGTGACGATGCGGAGGGGTACCGTAACCGGGAGAAAACGTCCGTAGCGTAAGATTTTTATTAGTAATTAACTTTTAGTATTAACTTTGTAATAACGTACAAATTAGTAATGCACACAGTGTACGACTTAAGACTTCGTCAAACAGAACGCGTAATTAGCGCGCGTCAGAGCGCTACGCTATGACGCCGAGATGTGTTGTACTATGGTAACATACCGTCAAACAGAGCGCCAGCGCTATAGCGCTCATAGCGCTGGCGCTCTGTTTGACGGTATAATACCGTAAGTACAATACATCTCGGCGTCATAGCGCGGCGTTAGTTTAGCGCTCTGACGCGCGCTAAGTACGCGTTCGGTTTGACGAAGGCTTTAACTTTGTAATAACGTACAAAAAATAACATATTTTTTTATCATTAATTGACCATGATTTCAGAGCGTTCGTTAGCGCAATACACTAACTGTTATTCAAACAACCGTGAATGAAGTGTACCACAATAAGTTCGCACATTATCGAATTACCGTGGGTTGTTGCGAACTTCCAGTTTTATTTTCTTTATACCCCGAAAAGAACTTAAAATTAATATTTTTATAATAAGGTACTTCGTTCCTATCCGGTGTCCCACGACACCACACATCTTTTTTTTTACCTTGACAATTTAACGTTGAAAGCTGCTGCTGACTCAGCAATAGATTGTGTAATCGTCAGGTTCCACGACCGCCTTTAATTCGTCGTTGTCAACAGCAACTTCATAGGTAGAAATAGAAATCTATTGTTTTATTCATAAACTGCATCTCTAGTTTTAAACATGTCACAATGAGGGCTAGTTGACCGCTCAGCATCTGTTTCACTAAATTCATTTTAGGTTTAATTGCTTAGATGCTTTTTTATTTGTTGCATAATTGATTTTTTAGTTGCTTAGATGGGTAGACGAGCCCACGGCCATCTTAAGTGGTCACCAGTGCCCATAGACATCAACAACGTAAATGCTGCCACCCACCTTGAGACTTGAATTCTAAATATCAGTTCTACAGTACAACGGCCGCACCACTTCTCAAACAGAAACGAATTACTGCTTCACTGCAGAAACAGGTACATAGTTATTACCGTGTAGTCTCAGAAAACACTTTACCATCAGTAATTATGAATTTTTCTTTTAGCTGACTTGATCTTTATTGCACGATGTTATTCGTTCATCGTGCAAGTCTTTCGTAAACACGTCTGTTAGTAAAACTGGTACCTGCCTGAGGGATTTGAACACCGGCACAGTTTCGTCGCTCGATACCAGGGCACCGAAAGGTAAAATCTCTTTTTTTTTTTGTAAGAGCATACGGAATGGAATTATCTATTTTGCTTAAAATTAGGACACTGATAAGTGTATTAAAATATTGCATGTTTTATTAATGTATTTGATAGGTGATGTATGACTGATCAGTTACGAGTTAGCCCCTGATTTCAACGTTTTGGTATAGCAACGAAATTTGTTATAGAAATAATGTATAGAAAATACAATTTTTAATACGCTTTTATTAGCTTCAGACGTATGTACCTATGTTAGAATGTAACGGAATCTTTGAACATGATTTTGACCCCCTTCAAAACGTCGGATTAACTCGAATATTTATTAAGGACCGATGACAATTCAAGATTTAAAAAAATTNGATTTCAACGTTTTGGTATAGCAACGAAATTTGTTATAGAAATAATGTATAGAAAATACAATTTTTAATACGCTTTTATTAGCTTCAGACGTATGTACCTATGTTAGAATGTAACGGAATCTTTGAACATGATTTTGACCCCCTTCAAAACGTCGGATTAACTCGAATATTTATTAAGGACCGATGACAATTCAAGATTTAAAAAAAATATTTGAAATTCAACTAAAAAATTAAAAATAAATAATAGTTTAAAAAAACTCAAAAATACGTGCTTTTTAGGATATTATCAAAATAACCCTTCAACTCATATCTGTTCATAAAATATTTATAACTACTGATATCATGCACCCCACGCTTGTTTTACAATAAAATCATTTTTTCTTACACTATTTTCAATTCAAATTTATTAAGATTTATTTTCTATTTTTTAATGGGATTTTCTATAAAAGCGTATTTTTTTGTTTTTTTAAGCTATTGTTTTTTTTTTTATGTGACAATTTTACAAGTAAAAAACTATGGTTTTTAATAAAAATAAAGAATTCACGGCGCATGATTCTTTAATTCGAATTCATTTGTATCATTATATTCACCGATATTTTTTCTTTTGTAAGAGTTCTTCCAAACTTCATACAGACATACAGTGGCTTGAAATCTGTAGCATACAAGCAACGGTGCTGATACGTGAGTTATCAGTGTCCAAGCCCAAACACCGTAAAACTCCATCTGTAAGAATTGATAGATATTAAATTAGATTAGATAGATATTAAAACAACAGGCGACTATTGAATAAAGTGTAAAGGCACCTTCTCCCAGTCAAAGCGGTAATAATGTATTTACTACATCTCAAATTATTTGAGAACGCCAAATATATAGTCGTTGAAATAATATAAATTCTCAATCTAAAGCAAATAATGATGGAACGGACGTCCTACATGTTACATGCAATAACCCCGTGTGCTGGCATTTTTTATTGTGTTACATTATAAACTCTTCGGTATAATGTAAAGAAATTCAGGATTTCCAAATACGTCTTTAATAGTGAAATATTCCTTTGCATTTTGATACATTGTTTTTATTAATAAAAAAAAGATGAAAAAGATGAATTATTAAGTCTATAGGACTATCTGGTTACTCCTAAAACTATTGGTAGGGGTGTGTTCTTTTGTAATTGTGTTGTAAATTCACGTATTCTGTTGGACCTCTCATTCATAGCACCAAGAACTAAGCGCCCGTAATCAAATTGTAAATGTTGCGTTTACTAATTTATTAATAGAACCTGTAGCGGATGGAATTCTGCTCTTCCGTTTTTAACTCTATTTAAGAGCCATAAAGCAAAATTTCCCACGAGAAGAAAAGTGATCAGCTGTCTGCCGGGTCGCTGTCTTCCGTTACTGGTACTTCTTCGAGCCCACGCGTCCAGAACTAACAAAGTTTGGCAAGAGCTCTGGATAACTGCACAAAGTGGAGATATTATCCTGAGAAATCCAGAAATAAATTTATTTAAAAAAAAACAAATTCTATATTAAACCTAGGATATTTTTCTGTGGTCTGGGTACTGGAAAAACACATGTAGTGGGCAACTATCACGGAACATAAGATATTTAATAGGTACCTAAATCTCGCTATCGATATTTTCAGAATAAGTTTGCATTTATACAAGTGCCGAACAATTACTGGTGGTGGACTTACTGGTGGAATTACTGGTGGACCTCTTGTGAGTCCGCGCGGGTAGGTACCACCACCCTGCCTGTTTCTGCCGTGAAGCAGTAATGCGTTTCGGTTTGAAGGGTGAGACAGCCGCTGTAACTATACTTGAGACCCTAGAACTTATATCTCAAGGTGGGTGGCGCATTTACATTGTAGGTGTCTATGGGCTCCAGTAACCACTTAACATCAGGTGGGTTGTGAGCTCGTCCACCAATCTAAGCAATAAGAAAAAAAAACATTTGGATCGTCGGTCTACCGAGCATTTGCATCCGCTCCGTGGAAGATTTTTCCAGACTCCGTATAGAATCAATAAAGAAACTGACTTCGACCGGGAATCGAACACGGACGCCGCGGTATAAAAGTTAAGGCTACTAACCACTAGACTAAAAGAGGCTATTAAATTTTAAAATAGAAAGTACCTACATCGAAAATCGACATATATAATTGTTGGAAAATAATTTGACTTTCTTATAATATTAAAGGGATTTCAAGGTGGATGGTGCCGGCTTTTACGGGGTTTATCAGAGGTGGATCGCAATTTATTTAGTAATCCACAAAGAGGTGTTTATCGGCTTAAAGTTCCTCTTAACATTTTTCTTATTCCTTATCATCCACAGGGTATGGTGTGCTAGTAGGCGTGCCCAGATTCCGCATCAATTCTCACCATCGGGTTTTCCACTTTTACTTTTAAATACTGCTTTGCTTTGGCAATCATATCTTTATAGTAGTTATTTCAATGGGATTTCTTTATATTATCAATTTATTTCTTGGAACTAACGTGAATAGGTTTTTTTTGCCCTTGTAGATAGACGAGCATACGGCCCACCTAATGGTGAGTGGTTACCGTCGTCCACGGACTTCAGCTATACCTACCGCTAATACATTGTATTGTCTTTGAGTGAACCGTAAGCTAAACTCCCCATCTGCTTGTATATATATGTATTTTTGCCAAATTAAGAGCTTAAGCATATTTTCATGCGCTTCACTTTGTCAAACAAGCCTCTGTTTAGTGGAACTTAAATAATTCAATATACAATCCACCTACTTTTAAGTTATCATATCCAACCAATGGGTACCAACAAAAGGCTTGGAATGTAAAAAATACATTCTTCAATTATTTGTACTTTAGCGATGGAACACTTTGCTTATGGAGTTCCTATTTTGAATAGGTAAATTTCCGGTTTCGGTTCTAAGGCGTCTAAATTTTTTTCTTATAAACATAACAGATACAATACATAATATTTAATATCCAATAAAATCTCACCTGGTAGCTCTTGATCCTTCCGAGTATCGTTTTAGCAGGAAGCCAGTGCCTATTATTTGAAATAAATAGTAAAGGTATACGCCACATTGCGTGACAAGCAACAACGCGTGTTCTAATTGTAGAGACGACACAGCTTTTCGCAACGGTAGGGCTCTCATACGCTGAATGCACGCTGCTGATGCTATCGTCATCAAAACGAATAGAATCGTCTCCCATATGTTGATCTAATGACATATTAAATCATGTCAATATTGAAAGCGAACGAAATATGATAAACTGATATTTTCTATATTAAAATTACCCTTGAGCTTCGATACAATGCTGTTTATTTATATTTATTGTGATACACTGGTGGTAGGACCTCTTGTGAGTCCGCGCGGGTAAGTACCACTACCCTGCCTATTTCTGCCGTGAAGCAGTAATGCGTTTCGGTTTGAAGGGTGGGGCAGCCGTTGTAACTATACTTGAGACCTTAGAACTTATATCTCAAGGTGGGTGGCGAATTTACGTTGTGGATGTCTATGGGCTCCAGTAACCACTTAACACCAGGTGGGCTGTGAGCTCGTTCACTCATCTAAGCAATAAAAAAAAAGATTTAATTTAAAAAAAAAGTCTAGGCTTAGTATATATTTTCATCAGGATGGTCTTACCTGTAGGAGCGCTAGTTCAACGTGTTGTTTTTTTTGAAACAGTCCGTTGAAGAGCATCAGACTAACGATAGTGCCGGCAAGAACAGCAATACCCATGAATAGGCCTTTATGAGCACTTCCACAATCTACTGAGAAATGATTGTTAGACTTGACTCGAGCACAGCATTGCTTTATTTCTTTAAACGCTTTTGATTTCTTCGAAGGTTTCTGAATGAAAATATTAATTTAAATAGGTTTACTACAGTTACATATACCTAGTCAGGTCATAAGTATTGTCACACAGTAAAAACTTTTCTTTTAGAATGCTGGCCACAAAAAAGTTTATTGAATTCGAATTTCGAATTATTCATGAAAATAAAAATGTATACTTTTAGAATTTTACTCATTTTTAAATATGGAGTGGACGCTTAAAGAAGACCGTGTTGCAGTTATTGCGTTGCATCGTTGCGGTTACGNTTTTCTTTTAGAATGCTGGCCACAAAAAAGTTTATTGAATTCGAATTTCGAATTATTCATGAAAATAAAAATGTATACTTTTAGAATTTTACTCATTTTTAAATATGGAGTGGACGCTTAAAGAAGACCGTGTTGCAGTTATTGCGTTGCATCGTTGCGGTTACGCGCCAATTCAAATTTTTAACATACTGAAAAATTTGCATATAACCAAAAGATTCCTTTATCGTACCATCAAACGATACAATGAAGACTCTAGTGTAGATGACAGGTCAAGAAGTGGTCGCCCTCGGTCTGTTAGGACTCCAGCAGTGATAAAAGTTGTGAAGGCGCGAATTCAAAGAAATCCCAAACGTAAGCAGAAACTGTTGGCCCTTCAGATAGGGTTAAGCAGAACCACGGTGAAAAGGGTGTTAAATGAAGACTTAGGGCTTCGGGCATATCGAAGAAAAACAGGACATCGTTTGAATGCTCGTCTAATGGACCTGAGACTCAAGAGATGCCGCGCTTTGTTGAAGCGGTACGCGGGAAAAAATATCGGGAAATTCTTTTTTCGGATGAAAAAATTTTTACCGTAGAAGATAGCTACAACAAACAAAATGATAAGGTGTACGCACACAGTAGTGAAGAAGCGAGCAACCGTATTCCGCGTGTCCAACGAGGTCATTTTCCATCCTCGCTCATGGTATGGTTGGGAGTTTCTTATTGGGGCTTAACAGAGGTACATTTTTGTGAGAAAGGTGTAAAAACAAATGCAGTTGTGTATCAAAATACAGTCCTGATGAACCTTGTGGAACCTGTTTCTCATACCATGTTCAATAACAGGCACTGGGTATTCCAGCAAGATTCGGCGCCAGCTCATAGAGCGAAGAGCACACAAGACTGGTTAGCGGCGCGTGAAATCGACTTCATCCGGCACGAAGACTGGCCCTCCTCCAGTCCAGATTTGAATCCGTTAGATTACAAGATATGGCAACACTTGGAGGAAAAGGCGTGCTCAAAGCCTCATCCCAATTTGGAGTCACTCAAGACATCCTTGATTAAGGCAGCCGCCGATATTGACACGGACCTCGTTCGTGCTCCGATAGACGACTGGCCGCGCAGATTGAAGGCCTGTATTCAAAATCACGTAGGTCATTTTGAATAAACTTTAGTGTCATAAGAATCTGTGTTTTGTTATGTTCATTTTGGTATATGAATGGTTACATAATGAATAAAATTGTTTCAATTATTTTACATTAAATATGTGACAGAATTTATGACCTGACTAGGTATTATACAAACAAAAACATTTTTTTATAATAATATGTTGTTTTTTTTGCTTAGTTGGGTGGACGAGCTCACAGCCCACCTGGTGTTAAGTGGTTACTGGACCCCATAGACATCTATACGCCACCCACCTTGAGATATAAGTTCTAAGGTCTCAGTATAGTTACAACGGCTGCCTCGCCCTTCAAACCGAAACGCATTACTGCTTCACGGCAGAAATAGGCGGGCTGGTGGTACCTACCCGCGCGGACTCACAAGAGGTCCTACCACCAGTAATAATATGTGAACTTATGTTTTCATATATTTAAAATGCGTAAAGCGTCTCACACAAGATGTGATAGAAAATGTTTATTCAATCAAGTGATATAGTCTTGTGAAGTGAATTCAAATATTAGAAAGTCGATTCTGTATAAATCTAAATTATTTTGCGTGTTACGGTTAGTGTGGTTAAATGAAATTTGTTAATAATTACCGAAGACTAACGAACATATTACACATACAATTAATTTTCACATCAACCGGCAATAGTAACTTTTAAGTTTCCGGGGTGCATTTGATATGTTTTCATTATATTTTTTATTGTTTAGATGAGTGAACGATTTCAGGCGTGAGATCCAAGTCTCATTTTAATAGTGTTATTTTTTTTCGTTTTTCCCTACCTATTCTCTGGTAGTCTAAGGAGTAATTCCAGCTTCTCGGGGATAGGTGAGCTTAGGGGCTCAATCGGAGAAAATTTGCCTAACAAAAGCAGGTAGAGGAGTATCATCACAGAAATTAACACTAAGCATACCATAACGCGTCAAATTACCTATTTTTGCATTGAAAATGCACGTATCATCTTATTGCTGTTGCACATTTGATACATGAAATTTTTTTACCAATTCATTTACAGTTATTATCCTTTTTTTTGTTTATTTTGAGTAATACTTGTATTCTGTTATCTGGCTACTACGGTAGAAATAGGTACCAGTAAGTGTTGGTATGATTAGTGTTAATATCTCATGGAGGGAATCACGACCCCCAGTAATGCGGAAGATAACGCGAGGATAAGGATTCATCGATTGCTATCCCCAGGTCTGATTGTAGTCTTAATTGTATTGATGCAACGACTGTTCTGCCTTTGGGGTTAGAGCTCACGATAAGTTAGTAGTAGAAATAGAATTTACTGTGGTAGGGTGTCTTGTGAGTCCGCAAGGGTAGGTGCCAACACACTACCTATTTCTGCCGTGAAGCAATAATACGTTTTGGATTGCAAGGTGGGGTAGCCATTATACTGCAAAAACGAAGGCTTCGAACTCATGTCTCAAGATGAGCGGCGGCATTGACGTTGTTGATGTCTATGGACTCCGATGACCATTTAACACCAGATCAGTCATGACCCTCGTCCACCCATCTTGGTGATAAAAAAAGGAAATAACGGTAGCCAATACATTTTAGATTCGGTGTCAAATTACTAGACTCAATTTAGAATGCGAACAATAATAATTACTTATGTAATGTTTTAGCTTATCCTTTTCCTAATAATAAAACTTTATAATTATTACGAGTATATTTTTTTTAATTAAAAAGAAATAATGTTTAAGTCTCGTGCTTTAATATTATTACTAAATCCGATAACTAGAACTAATATCCTGTCTTATAATTGTCTAAAATGCACTTACCATGTGATAAATGATTTTACAACCGAACGATTTCATCAGTTCCTTGGTTACAAAAAAAAAACCCTAACATTCCGGATTTCTACTTAAACTTCGGACAAGATTTGATGGATACAGATATATCATTGAAGAAATATAAATTATAATGTTAATTCTAATCGGTAATTATTAAAACTAACCGCGACGGACTTAACCGTAGCATAGAAGCGTAGCATTTGAACTATTCATCAAAACGTGTTTAAAATACTTAACGGAGTTATGAAATATTCAGAAATAAGTCACCTTATTTATTATTGGCTATAGTATTAGTAAAACAAATAGGACATTACTTTTGTATGCATTAAATATTAAATTCCTACGAATCTGAACTATATGAATATTAATGGAGTAAATATTATAAACTTCTTGAGGCGCTTTTTAATCAGAATATAAACAACTCGTAGTTTATTAATGTTTTTAAATTAATGTGACGAAAGTAATGAACTATACTATGAACTAGAGAGAAAAAAGAAGGAATATAAAAATAAATACAATTAAATTTTATCCTAATAAAAAAGTGCCATCACATATTTACCACGTCCACTTATATAGTCTACATTTTTTAGACAACATTTTGTACGGAGACTAATATTTTGAGACTCAAACATGTATAAGGCTTTTTAAAAGCCCATCTCAGTTGGACCAACACACGCGTCTTACTATTTTGAATTTAATTGTAAGTTGAGCAGGAACAAAACTCATATTGGAATGTGATTCACGGCGTCTTAATCTATACTTATTAATATTATAAAGAGGAAAGATTTGTTTGTTTGTATTGAATAGGCTCCGAAACTACTGAACCGATTTGAAAAATTCTTTCACTATTTTGAAGCTACACTATTCCCGAGTGACACAGGCTATTATAATCTTTTTTTAAAACAATTAAGAATCCTTACTAAAACTCCAAGAATGTAATCCAAGGTGTAAAAAAAATACCTAAAATATTCTTTACATCACGTGCCCTGCGAAAACTATTGACGATAGAATAAAATAACGTACTACGATTTTGTAGAACACATTATTATTTACAAAAAGTGTCGGGACAGCATATGTCTAACTATTATAGTCAAGCCGTAATAAGTGTTCTTTTATTTAAAAATATAAAACAACGTCATATATCGTTGAAAATTTTGCTAAAGACCCGAGCGGAGGCGGTGCGGCCCACTAGTAATATATAAAGCATTTGAACATTAGAATCTAATTTTACTTACCGATCCAGGAACTGTGCATAGGTCGTTCCATATTACTGCGATAATAACCGAACACAAAAGGCTGTACTCCACACCGCAAGGTCTCAAGTATGGATTCACATTTCTTATTAGCGGTGTTATCATATCCGAAACATTACAGATCCATATATCGTTATTCATTGTTGCGTTGAAATATTTAAAACTTAAGTTCTTACTAACGCTCCCTATGTCAGTTCGGTTATTATTGAACACCGATAGCAGCGGCTTAGGATAATCTACTATTTCTTCAATTGTTAAATTGTCCAGTTTATCATTTATGTCGATTTGTTTGTGACCACTAATATTGGCATAGCGAAAAAGGATTGGCTGATCGTATGCAACATCCACGATGTCATCTCTGGTATCCTGCACTACAACATTTAGCCATTCGCATACATTAGTAGCGATTAAATGCATTAGACCAAATCTGTCAATTACCACTCCACGCATTGGATCCAATACCTGTGAATTAAAAAACGTCCTCTATTTATAATCCATTGATATTCCCTTGATCTAATATTATAATTATGGAACGTATGAAGAAGCAAACAGGAAATCGGTCGAGTTCGATTATTTACATAATCGTTAACGACAACTATATACAATAAACACGTTTCACAGAATGTGTGAGAAGTGCGTGATTCATCTGTTAAATTCGATGAATAAGTGACGAAATTCAATTGTTGGTCTAAAATAACTTACGTCAGTATATGAAAATATGAAGACAGTTTGCGCAACAAGGTACAGGATTCTTAAGACTGGTTTGACGGCCACGATGGTCAGCTGACAGTCCCCGGAGAGATCAAAATATTCGCCAAATTGAAGACACGAGTAGATGATGGAACCAACACCAAATCCCGCTACGCCAATGTGGAGGTAGAAACTGCCATATCGAGTGCGTTTTACGTTATCTGAAAATTGTACAAATGTGAATTAAGAATCATTAATAACGTAATTTAATTTGGAGGAATTTGTGGCTAGGAGATTTGTGGAAACGTTAATGCAAGGTATAGGAGGAAGAGGTCAACCGAAGAAGGCATAGATGGAGTGTGTGATTGACGATATGAAAGAAAGAGGAGTGAGTGTTGAGATTACGGCTGATACAGGAGAATGGAATAAAAAAGTGGGATGTGGAGAGAAAGAAGGAGAAGACAAATTACGAGGCTTTGATATCGGATTTTATACTTTCAGACAAAAAAATTTAGCTTGTAGTGTATATGACAACCACTCACCATCTTTATAACGTCTCGCCATACGAAGATGATAAAAAGTGTATGCTAAAAACAGCATACTGATGACGTACAAGTACATCGTGAAAATCTGAAAAGAAACACAGTCTTTATCTCTTTAGATCACAAGCAGAAAGAAAGGCAAAAGTTGTATCTTCTTTGAGAAACAATAAGTGCAATTCACTATAAGTTTCTTTAGGCGAAATATTCAACTGAAAATTTAGATATGTTTAGTAAAAAAAACATTTTGAATTATTTTTTTACCTACCTATACTATATCATATATTTTCCTATATAGGTTTATTTGCAGATATCTCAATGCAAATGAATGAATGAATTTTCAAACAGGTTTTTTTTTTCAATACAACAAGGTTTATTACCTACCTGTTTTAAATACTTACATCTGAGGTGATGTTAGTGTAGAGCTCATTTTGTATTGTGCTGGTTACAGGTAAAGCTATTCCTAAAACTATTAATAACTTCGCGTAAAACGCTGACAAGACCACTGTCATTGATTCACTGAAATAATATGAAACATTACATTAATTAACTTGCTAACTAATTTGGAACAGAAATTAGGTAAATTGTATAATTTAATTTTATTTGGGCTTGCAATTACATGAATCGGCTAGTTTAGACATGGTTTTCAATTTTGTGCATTCTGATATTAATTTTGTTATACGAATGGGCGAATAAAAAAGTTGTCAACTCGACAAATATTTTCATAGAATTTGAATGTTGATTTGGTTTTGAAATAATGAGTAGTAGCATTTCAGAGATCAATGTTCTCAAGGTGACCGATGATACATACTCGCCATGTGATAGAGGCCTCTTGCTTGGTAGTGGCGATGGTATGTTATCGGTGCTCGATCCACTGCTGGAAGGTAGAACCACGCTCAATCTTGGTAACGCATGTGGTGGATGTTCACTGAAAACTGTCTTGCTTTAATTGTTTGCTTCAACGAGGTTTTTTCTTCATTGCCTTTGTAGGCATACGAGTACAAGGCTTACCTGATGGTGAGTGGTTACCGTCGCACATGGACGACAGCACTGCCGGGGGCAGAGCCAGCCCGCTGCCTACCATTAAGTACTCTTTTTTTATTGCTTAGACGGGTGGACGAGCTCGCAGCCTACCTGGTGTTAAGTGGTTACTGGAGCCCATAGACATCTACAACGAAAATGTGCCACCCATCTTGAGATATAAGTTCTAAGGCCTCAGTACAGTTACAACGGCTGCCCTACCCTTCAAGCCGAAACGCATTACTGCTTCACGGCAGAAATAGGCAGGGTGGTGGTACCTACCCGTGCGAACTCACAAGAGGTCCCACCACCAGTAAAAAGCCACAAGCTTCGTTTGAATAAGAACATGTCATAGCGCTCAGGAAGTACCGGAGAGGGGAGCAAAGAAAGGTTGATAGGTTGACCCTTAGACTGACTTTAGATACTTGGTTCTAATATACTTTTTATTTAATTTACGTACATGCTGCTAGAGTCGCATACCACTGTATTTATTTTTTATCTAAAAATAAATCTTAATTACGATATGAATGAGCAACCTTAGTTTAATAATAACATATTAAATTGAAAAGTTATCTACATTCTAAATGCACACTGAATTTCCGACTAAATTAAATAAATGGATTGACGTATAATATTGCGTAAAATATTGTAGCAAGCGTTTCTGTGTACGCCAATGGAGGGTTCCAATCACGCTTCAAAATTCATAATTGATAAATAAATTTAGTACAATTTAATAATACTAATAACTAATGTGAAAGACATTTGTATTAAATACAATGAATTTCAATACTGTGTAAAACATTTAATTAGCCGTACGGTAGTTGAAAAATCATAGCGAAGTCGATTGAGAGATTCTACGAATAGAGTGCATGTACATACATAACTGCTATATAGTTTGAAAAAAAGGCAGCGGTTTGTCTGTGCTTCTGACATTGCTGACGTCCATGAGTATCGGTGACTATTTATCATTAGATGAGCCGTATGCTCGTCTGCCGACAAAGGCAATAAAAACAAGTCATTTGGAGTACTCAACATTGTATATACATAATAAAGTTTCCTCACAGGATGGAACACACACACACTCACCGCAATTTTTATACTTTACTAGCTGACCCGGCAAACGTTGTTTTGCCATATACAAGTTTTCTAGGGAATTTCTAGTGTAGAAAAAAAAAACTAACTTATTGTAAGTGTGTAAGGATTTTGTAAATGAGTGAAAGAGGCATGTAGCGCTGTGAACGATGAGGGAATATAAAAATAACAAAACCTCATTCAACCACATAATGCCTCATTATAACAAAAAAAAAATTGTGCAAAAAATAAATGTTAGGGGTGGACAACCCTTATCATTTAGGGGTATAAAAAATAGATAGTAGCCGATTCTCAGACCTACTGAACATGCATATAAAATTTCATAAAACTCGGTCCAACCGTTTCAGAGGAGTTTAGTAACTAACATTGTGACACGAGAACTTTATATATAAGATTATATACTATTTCACTTCATCTATGTACCTTAATTTAACGTAATCTCTGAGTACAAACGACTGCCGCATACTGGCAGACTTGGGCGTCATGACGGATAGCTGGACAGAAAGAAGCGGTCCGTTTTCTTGTCGTTTGGCGACGAAAGCCATAAAACGCAACGTTCAATATTAAAATCTATTGTGTTCTTGTCTATATTTTTATTCTCATTGAATATTAAACGAATAAAACTTTGAGGAGAATCAATTTGCCGCGGGAACAAGTTGTTGATATAATGTTACATCGTCGTACCTGCTTGTTTTGTTTTACCAAGCGCTTACCGACTAATAGTTGATTTTAATGAACCGACATCGAACGCCTCACCTTTCATCTTCAGGCACGGCGAGGAGAGGCTCCGATCTCTCACGCCACTCCCTCGATGCGCTTTGATTGGATTTCTCTTTATTTTTAGTCATCGGACACCGATTCGAACACAACTATTTGCTTATGGTTTGTACAACACACGGATACGGATATATAGATTTTATTAATTATAAATTTATAATTCAGCATATACTTATTTATTTTAAAGAATAAAGTGTACGTTGTTGTTACTTGTAAAGCTGATCATGGACTGATTTGAGTTCTCTCAGCTGTTAACAACTGAAGTGAATAATAAAGATGTATGATGCACGCTCGCGTGTATGTACATATATATACGTAATAAGTTGTGACTATAAATTTGTTAACACCCGTGACACGGTTAGGGTAAGTCGTCTTTTGTGTCACCCAAAATGTTTAAATCAAGAAGTATAACATCACATATACTTAACTCACTTGTTCATTTGTGATTTATAACTGACTATATAAATATAAAAATGAAAATGATTTATGTGCATTAAATATATACTTATACATGGAATAATTACATTCTATAGACAGTGTAGTTTTGGATATCTTATTGTTAACAAATTCATGGTAATATTTGTATGTACGTTGTTACGGTCAGTTATAAATTCATTATAAAAATTGAGTATTATTGAACGATGTAAAATAACGTGTTGTTAAAGGAAAATAAATAAGACGAAAAAAGTTTGAAAGTTATATTGTAATACTACTCTGTCAAACAAGTATGTGAAAAGATCAATAATACACAAAATATTAGTTATTGATACAAATTTATTTTATCATCTTATGTTCCTTCGTTATTTATATAAATATTATTACGAACTAGCTGACCCGGCAAACATTGTTTTGCCATATATAAGATTTCTAGGGAATTTCTAGTGTAGAAAAAAAAACTAACTTATTGTAAGTGTGTAAGGATGTGGTAAATGAGTGAAAGAGGTATGTAGTGCTGTGAACGATGAGGGAATATATAATAAAAATAACAAAACCTCATTCAACCACATAATACCTCATTATAACAAAAAAAAAGTCCAAATAAAATAAAAAATGTTAGGGGTGGACAACCCAAATCACTTAGGGGTATGAAAAATAGATAGTAGCTGATTCTCAGGCTTACTGAATATGCATAAAAAATTTCATGAGAATCGGTCAAGCGGTTTCGGAGGAGTATGGGAACGAACATTGTGACACGAGAATTTTATATGATGATGGTGAGTGGTTACCGTCGCCCATGGACTTCAGCAATGCCAGGGGCAGAGCCAAGCTGCTGCCTACCGCTTAATACTCTCCACAAGCCTCGTTTGAAGAAGGACATGTCATAGCGCTCGGGAAACACCGTTTTATGTCTTCTACCGAATGAAAACAGGTTCCACGAAGCGCTGATATGTGTTTAGGAAAAAGAATTAATTCGACTGCAGCCATATCTGGTGAATAAGATGGTTGTTCGTTGGTATTTTTTGAGTTTTTCGTCCAATATTCGTTCACAATAATGACCTTGTGCGAAGGCGCATTTTCATGGTATAAAATTTATGAATTCTATTTTTACAAATATAGCCTTTTTCGTCAAATTTACTTGCTCTCTTAAACGCCACATAACGCTCAAATAATCTATATATTAATACGCGAAGCAAAAACTTTGTATCCCTTTTTACGAAAATTGCGCGGACGGAGGAGTATGAAATTTTCCACACTTATAGAGAATATAGAGAAGAAGTGCACAATGCTAATATTTTATTAAAATAATGCATAAAAGATACATTAAATCAATAAAGAAAACGTTACATACACTACATATCATGTATTTGACGCACACACGCACGCATACTATTTATTGTCAAACTTTTGTTCTTGACGTCTGTTGTCAAATTGAGAATAGATTAAATATTGTGTATTCTTGGCGAAATTTGTGATTATAGAAGTATAAAATACAATCATAATAGTGTACAAATTTACAATTCCAATTAATTATAGTCGAATTTCGACTACTGCGGGACCTCTAGTATTCTTTATTTACCTAGAGAATTCCGAAAGCACAACACCGAGATAGTCAATGAAAACTATCAACACGACCAACTTTTGTTTGATTTGGCGTGGTTTTTTCGGTTTCAGATTAGTTGGAAGGCGCCACTCCAAAGCTTGTTGACTAGTTGCGTATCAAACTCTTAAACACACGTCTCGTCACCAGTAACATTGTGATTCATGAATGTTGGATCGTAATTGACCCGTTCTAGCATTTCCTCAGCGATTCTTATGCGATTGAGTTTTGGAGGAAAGATCAGGTCTTTTGAGACTAGCTCAGCGGTAAGATCTTTCATTCCAAATATTATTATTTAAAATGGTGACCCGTGAGACGCTGAAAGTTGGGCGGCTATATCTTACAATCTTGAATGAAGATTTTCAGTCAATAGTTCTTTCACTTTTGCGATATTAACATCAGTTGTAGACTTTAATGATCTACCCGAGCGAGATAAATCTTCCATCACGTCTCGACCGCTTTTGAATGTTTCGTACCACTCATAACCACGTATTTTTAGTGACTTTGAACACGAAATTCCATCGACGAGACAAAATTTAAGACAAATTCTTTGTTCGATGTTTTTTTTTCATTATGAAATTCGCAATACACACTAGACATGGTATAATTAAAAACAGCAAAAACATTGTTTTAAATGCTGGAACTTAAACCCCGCGCCAAAATGGAAGACAGTTGGGCCAATCTTCTAAGACCATAAAACTACAATTTATTTCTAAAAAAACCCATAAGGACTGAATGTATATTCCATATGTTTTAAACCATAAATGGCATCATTTTTAGCTGATTGTAAAATTTAGTTTACCTTTCTCACGTCCATTTGACCTTATCGATGGTTAGTTTAAAGAAAACGAGACAAAATTGATTAATAAACGGTATAGAAAAAATAATTGGTACATTTAATTACTGACTTTTTTTCAATAAACAGGTGCCTAAATACGGTATGTATGATATCGTAACGCCTTTTTAAAATAAAAATTTAAATTGTATGGTCCGTGATTCGTAATAAAAAATGCTATTCAAAAACTTTTTTGAAATCAAAAGAATTTTAATGGATAAAAGTTATTGTTTATTAATGAACGGGGCTAGATTTTAAGACGGTATATTTAACAGCACAATTTGCATCGGAGCAGATATGTTGTCATCACGGGTAATTAGCGTAGTTGGTGTCAATTTCAGACGGTTCCTCTAACGAGGTACTTGGACCTCGGCACTCAATCCACGGTCTATTTAATTAGAATTTCTTTACCTGTATTTAAACGGTTATGAGGATTTTAATTTACTTTACTTTTTGTAACGCTAGTAGAAGAGCAGGCCTTTTCGAAATGTTTTCAGCGCGCACCACGGTACCGTAAGTTTCATGTAGTCGGTGTGGTGGAGCTCCATGGGGTTTACTCGGTAGTCGTTCTGCGGGGCAAGTGCTTCGCGCGCCTTTTTCAAGGCGTAGTCTCCTGTGAGAAATTGGGGGAGGTGAAGGACCTCGGCCCTTCTCTTCTCCCCTTCTTCCTCTCAGGAGGCCCCAGAGTCCGACATGACCCGGTCCGTTACCCCCCTCGACCGGGTATCCGCAAATGGATTCCCCAGCGTTAAAAAAATGCCTTTTCGAAATGTAACTAATGAAACCGGGCAGTGGAACTTTTGGCAAAGCTTGAACAACACTGTTACTAGTGGACACAGTGAGTTCTCTAGAACATAGTTCATAATGGTTCATTCTCTCTGTTGAATTTAAGTTCACTTTATACGCACTTGTGATGATTCTGGGCCGTGATCACGAATACTTTTCGAGATGTTACTACTATTTCCCTATGACTCAAAGCAGGGGCTACTTTATTTTCCACACTAACCCTTAATAGAATGATTATCTGGTGTACTCGCAGTATTAGCGGTGCTGAGTGTCAGCTCAGGTTTGTCTCACTGCTTAGTGAACCCAAAAAAGTATTCAAAATTTAAGGATAAGATTAGCCGTAATTCAAACCAATTGAGCTTAAAACAAACTAAGCTATATGAGTTCCTCTGTCTCTTCACTTAAACTAGTGTTGGACTATTCATTGAAATTTTTAATCACTAACATCTATAGATTTATATTCATTGTATGTAAATTTTCATTATTGTTAAATTGTTCTGTTGTATTTGGGAAAAAAGACCAGATAAAAAAAACCGTTTTGTTGAGTTTGTTAATATTTAATTAACAGCAATAAAAAGGAAATTCGTTAACAAGCAAAGGAGAAAATAGTACCTAGCTGTATTTACGTATAGGTTGTAAAACCTTTTCTACTGTAGAGAGAGAGAGAGAGAGAGAGTATTCTTTATTTTACACCAAAAAACAAATAAACAGTGCGATAAATTAAAAACAAAAAAGTACAATTTGCGGTCTTATCGCTAAGAGCGATCTCTTCCAGACAACCATCAGGTGGACAAGAATCATTTGGAAACGAACTACGCGCGGTGTACCATTCCAGTGAAATACATATACATATATGTACACATACATATACACATACATATTTCCGTAAATATACATACAATTAATACAAATTATTATAATATAATAATAATTATTAAAAATAAAAAATAAAAATTAAATTTAAAATTTTGCTTCTTTACACATAAATAAGAATAAGCAATTTACATATAAAAGATACTTAAAATACCTTTGAAACATATACAATTTAAGTAGATACCAATTTCAGAAATCTACCTTATCACATATTAAACTGGTTGACTAATATTTAAAAAATTCTCCTTAATGAGGCGTTTGAACGAATTTAATGTATTGTTATTTTCGTAATTTAAGAAAAGTGAGCACCCTTTTTTAATACTTCTTATTTTTAAATTATATCTTGATTACTTTTCTAATCTATACTAATCCACTTATATACTAATATTATAAAGAGGAAAGATTTGTTTGTTTGTATTGAATAGGCTCCGAAACTACTGAACCGATTTAAAAAAATATTTCTCTGTTTGGAAGCTACACTATTCCCGAGTAACAGAGGTTATAATGTTTTTTGAAAAAAGTTAGGGATGCTTACTAAAACTCCAATAATGTAACCCAAGGTGTAAAAAAATCCCTGCGAAAACTCTTGATGATAGAATAAAATAATGTACTATGACTTTGTAGAAAACATTATTATTTACAAAAAGTGTCGCGACAGCATATGTCTAACTATTATAGTTATACCGCAATAAGTGTTCTTTTATTTGAAAAAATTAAAAAAACATCAAATATCGTTGAAATTTGTGAAATAAAAAAAACATCAAATATCGTTGAAATTTTTGTTAAAGACCCGAGCGGAGCTGGATCGGGCCGCTAGTATTTTATAAAATATGAATCGGTAATTTTTTAAATAACCAACATGCAAGTTAGTCAATTAGAATATGTCATATGATATTTTGGTTTCGGTTAGTTCTGGTCGTTCTGGAGATACTATTAAAATTCACTGTCTTATTGTTGTTATTGGCTTATTCGTCACAATTAGCGTCGCTTTGTGACATGTAGCTTAAGCTATTTTACAATAACCCAAATTGTATGTCGATCAGCTCATTAGTAAATATCTTTTAAATATATCGTTGTAGACAAAATTATTGTGTCGCAGCTAAAAAACTATAGTTAATTTTGAATCCATTTCTTAAAATTTAATCTGTTTCGTCCTTTAGTAATTAAATTTGTAACTTCGTTCAAATATGCTGACCAGCATTGAGAGGATAAAAAAAATATGTGGTGTCGTGGGACACCGGATAGGAACGAAGCTCCTTATTATAAAAATATTAATTTTAAGTTCTATTCGAGGTATAAAGGAAATAGTTATTTGGGTACGCCTTTTTTATTATGATTTTTTTATTGACAAAATAAAAATAATCGCACGCAAGGGTCAACATAACCGCCTGCATGATCACGGTATCCCCTACTCCAGGTAAGTATGATTTAGCAAGAGAAATACGAGAACGTGTATCAACTGTGTAACACCTCGTCACCGCGATTCAGGATTGTTGAATTTACGTGCAGCGACATCTGTTGATAACAAACTAAATAGAAAAAATCTTACGTTACGGACGTTTTTTCCCGGTTAGGGTACCCCTCCGCATCGTCCCATAAGGAACTTCGTTCCAAAAGAAAGATGAAATTAGCTAATTGTTCGTTTGAATTGCTATTTATCCTAGTTTTATTAGTGTTTTAATCCACATACTCGTATATTCAATATTAACAGAAAAAGAGCGACCCAGAAACAAATATAATTACAAATAAAAATATTCCAGTTATAAAGCCAAATCATTTGATAACAATTATTTTAGAATTTCACCAGACCTACGACAATTTTCCCAGTGTAATCCCAGCATTATTTATTTTACCTTCGCCAGTGACCATGAGAACTGAGAAGTAATATGACTGCCGGAAATGGTCTGTTGCAAATAATACAAAAATAAAACCGTAAAAGTGTTCATTATTACAGTTTATGTTTCGATAATACTTACCGGCTGTGTCTGATTTTACGTTCCAGTGTAGTACTAGTTTGCCTCACGGGGTGGTAATGATGGGAGTGACCGTAAGTTATGGGTTTCGTATCACCAGTCCTATTAAAATTTAAAATAATATTGAATATGAATAATCTTTTAAAGGTATGTTACTGCTAAGCGTTATACAATAAATTTCGCCTGTCTACGATTTTATCTGGTACCGGATGTACTCAATCCCGAATTCCAAATTTTTATCAAAATACACTACCTCAGACTAGGAATCAAACTCGGACTGCTCGCAGTAGCCAAAGTCAGCCAGTTTTTTTTTAATATTTTTGTTTATTGCGCATAAAGACGAATCGTCAATTTGTTGGTAGGTTACCAGAGTCCAGATTTTTTATTTAGTTTTTATTTTTTTATTGCTTAGATGGGTGGACGAGCTCACAGCCCATCTGGTGTTAAGTGGTTACTGGAGCACCTAGACGTAAATGCGCCACCCACTTGAGATATAAGTTTTAAGGTCTCAAGTATAGTTACAACGGCTGCCCCACCCTTCAAACCGAAACGCATTACTGCTTCACGGCAGAAATAGACAGGGCACTGGTACCTACCCGTGCGGACTCACAAGAGGTTCTACCACCAGTGTATCACAAGAGATGGAAATGATGTCGTGAATGCCGTCGCTCACCTTGAGATATGAGGTCGAAGTCGCGATTTATAACGGCTTTACCACACTTCAAACCAGAACGCATGACGGTATTCTGCTAGAAATGAGCCGGACACTTACCCGAGCGGGTACACCTACATACGCCTGTGTGCTCATATTTGTTAGCTCATATTTGTATGGAATGGAATCGTTTGCGTACGTTTGCCGCTAGGGGCGCTGTTTCAATTGCATACAAAATTGGCTTAACTTTTACGCTATCGAGACCGTTAAGAAACTCGCACTAATCACACTGATCACTAGTAAATTTAAAATTGTATAGCTTATTAGGCAATTTTTATGTTAAACATACAATTTTAACAACACAAATTATTTTACTAACACGATATTGTGTATGTATATAGTTTGATATATTATGTATTAGTGTTTATTTTTATTATTTTTATTGTTATTGTCTATAGTATCAATAATTAAATTAATTAGATTGTACTCATCTACCCACTCATGTAAAGCTTTCCTTCTTTGAGAACGGTTAGCTGGTAGATAACTCAATTGTTGAGTTAAGCTCGCCATTTTTTATATCTTATCGCAATTACTGTATTATATTAACAGTGTGTACAAATAAAGAATAAAAAAAAATATATAACGTAAAAACGGAACCCCTACGCGAAAACTATATACCAAATATACTATATGTTTCACTTTGTTTTTTTTTAAATAAAAACTTACCATTGTATATCTTCTTGGATTACATCCTCCATAGTGGTTGTGAATCTTAATAATAAAGTGAGTTATCTCGGCACGTGTCACTCGAGCGCTCAACGTTATCCGTGTAAAGCAGCTAAACCTTATGTTATCTTCAAGATAGATTTATCTCGTTCAGACTAAACCTGGCGTGGTCTACACGGGTGATGTCATGATTCATTGTGAAACTTACAAAATAAATACGTTCTTATACTCGTACATATTTACAACTAGGATTATTTTTGTTTTTGGAAATGTTTCATGAGTCACTTTGAGTTACCGGTTTTAATGAACGGGTTCTCGTTATGGTGTTAATTGATAATGCAAAATATGAATTTGTATTTGTATGTACTTGTTGTGAAATAATGAATATGCTATATTGCGTCTATTAGAATACAATTAATATGACTTTATTTCGATTTTATAAACTAAATTTCACTGCGTACGCGTAGTGAATTTTGGAATATAAACTATAATATTTGGCAATCAATGGCTGGTATTCTGTGGTCATAAATAACACAGAACTTGAAACTAAATTGGATACACGGTTTATTAGTATTTTTATTAAATTTTAAAATTTCTAACCACGAACTAATGCATCATCATAAATAACCAAATAAACCTTTTCTAATGGTTTTGTTATCTAATGGATTTTATATTTGTACTTTAATAATTTAATAATGTTGTAAATAAATGAAAGAGCCTTTAAAATAAATTTCATGTAAAGCGGAGCCGACAAGTACGCGTGTGTTTATTTAAACAATGTGAAATTTATTTTCCAGTGACGGTGGTTAGCGGTCATTGTGTTTAGTTAGCTGAGGACAACACACGCGCATCTTTGTGTTAATTAAACAATCACGCCTGGTAGTCTTATGAATGTGACCTATTTAAATATTCTGTGATAATTTATGACGTAAAAAATAAAGCAATTGTTTTTACGTAGTCTTTTATTAATAAATTTACAACCATATTGTTCTTTTGTATGTAATTGGGTATTTGAAAAAAAAATTTTTTTGTGGTAAATGAAAAGATCATATAAGTATTCGTTTTATAAAAAAAAAATTCTTTTTTTTTTTTCGCAATAAATCAAATGTTATTTCAAAATAAAAATTAATTTTTGAATGCAGTACCGAAGACACGCCGAAAACTCTCGATCAAACCCGAGCCCGTGTGACGTCATAATGTTAGTTTTCCCTCATGGCAGTTCATATAGAAATAATAAGTACAGTGTTTTGATCTATTTAATTTTGTTTTCATTGTTAATCTTAGCTTATACCTTTAAACGAGCAATTCTTGTATATATATAATCTGAATCTCGTAAACGGCTCCAACGATTTTTATAAAGTTTAGTATACAGGTGATTTCGGGGGCGATAAATCGATCTAGCCACGATTTATTTTCAGAAAATGTTGTTTTATTCGTGTTTTCAATAATCAACTCTTCCCGACATCTATTGGCGAATAATAATACTATTTTTCTTAATTGAGGGCAACTAACCGCTTTAAAGACACAACAAGATGGCGTTATCAAAAAAAAACCGATCAATATAGAAATAATAAGTAGGTACAGTGTTTTGATCTATTTAATTTTGTTGTCATTGTTAAATATACAACTATTTATATTGAAGATGTCGAACCTCAAAAGTTATCGTTCTTGTTTTATACCATTATGCATGAATACTAAAAACAACTCCTGAAAAAATGTTTTTAAATGTTTCCCAAGATGACAAACGTCGAATTAAATGGTTTCAAGCTGTGCACCGTGATAATCCCAAAACTTCAGACTTTGCCTTAATAAATCCTTTATCACACATAGCTAATCGTAACTAACTAACAACTCGTTTTTTAGCAATAAATTATTATAGTATATATAGTAGTATTAGCCCTAAACGCTGTACTGTTATTAAATAGCTATAACATTATGACGTCACAACTATGGTGACCATCATGGCGCGTTTATAAGTCACGTGATTTTTTTTTATTCTATCAATTTTTTATTCTTTATAATTAATTAAAAAAAATGTTTCTAAGTTTTTTGCGTTAAATATCCATATTATTAATAATAAAGTTTTAAGATACAATTAAAAAATCGGTATTTTTTTTTCTTTCAAAAAGTGTATTGCACCATCCAACATATTGCGGTCGCGAACTAATCAGTTCTTTCTATTTGAACAGTAGATCAGTCCTTATAACAATTAAATTGAGATATAGATCTTACATTTAGAGACTGGGTGGCAGTGTTTATGTTGGATAGGTTTGAGTGTCTATGGTCTTCAATGAAAATATGCACAAAATTAACATTAGGAAAAACAATTAACATTTTATAAGCAAAAATAGGGTAAAATGAAGTTTTCTGTACATAAAAAAACATTTATTTTTTTAACAAGCATTTATTTCAGTGGATTATCAATCATTTATAATTGCATTTTTCGCATTGACCTCCGTACAGTATTTTCTACTAAACATTTAAGTATATTGGTTTGTTTTTGAAACAATTCTTCCATATCTCGAATAGACAAATAGTGGAGTGAAAGCGGTAGAAAATAGCGAGAGGCATCGAAACATGCGTGATTATTGTCCACGCCCAAGGTCCGTAGAAAGCCAGATGTGCTGGACGAAACTCGGCTCTATTCTGTAAACAATAACTTTGTGTTCATTTATGAAATCTAAATCGATCAGAACCCTAAAATTTACTTTTCTGCTCACTTTGATCGATAAGTTGCATGTTCCAGTCGAAATGCAGTCACGGAACAGAAAGAAGATTATGGCAAGGTACCAATCCGTAAGGGATAAAATACTCTACTATTCAAATACTATAAAACGGATAGTTAAAGCTCTAGAGATACTTAGAGCTTCCAGGTGGGTCCTGATGCATAACGCGGTGAAATCCGTAGGATTCGGTAATCACTTAACAGCTGGGGTATAAAATTGAGCTCAAGTATGATCGAAAACCTCAACAAACACTAGAATTTTTGAAAACAAATGTCGCTAATGGATTAATTATTTTATAAGTAAATTTGAAATCTAAATAGACAATTGTTTAGTTTTTGACGTACTTTCGACTCCCTTGCTGTTAAGTAATTACTGAAGTCTATAGACATCTACCACGTAAATGCCGCCACCCATATTACATGATACCTGAATTCTAAGTCTCAGTTGTGCGAGATAGCTATCTGGTAGTGATGAAACTTGGAAGAGTTGTTGTTGGCAGTTCAAGGAAGGCATCTGTCATAATACCCTCAAAGTAAGACGGCGGTGCACGATTAGTTTCACGAAATAAATGTTTCCATGTAATTAGCGATCATAGTGGAGCGCGATGGGGTTTTTTTTTTTATTGCCCTTTTAGGCAGACGATCATACGGCCCACCTGAAGGTGAGTGGTTACCGTCGTCCATGGACTTCAGCAATGCCAGGGGCAGAGCCAAGCCGCTGCCTACCGCTACCGCTAAGCTACTGCCTACCGCCTTCCAGTAGTTTTTCCAAAATTGTCACACGCTGAGAAAATCATATTTAGCATTTACGGAATTCAAAATTTACCGGTAACACAGGAACGGGTGAGTCGAACAATAACCGAATATCATATATAAATGATCGAGTTTCGATGTCACTGGAAGCTATTCGGTATTCGGCCAATTTATATTATCGCTCAATTTAGTTAATGCGTTTGTCCGCAGCCGCTTTCAACGTAAAAGCAAATGTTATATCAAAATTTGTTTATTTTGTAATGCCCATAAGAATACTAAATCAGTGTTCTGCGTTGTTTATTTATTTATTCTTTCTATATCTGATATTTTCGTAATACGGGAAACGGTTTTTCAGAACATCCGAAGTCTTGTACTAAAATTATAATATAGCAATAACGTCCTTAAAGCAAACTCTTATTTCCTATTACGGACTTAAAGATTATAATGAAATAATTATTGAAGTTATACTTCTTTAGGCGCGTTATGAAAAATTGATGAGAGTGAAATTTTACGATGCGCACCGTGACACAAAATTAACAGAATGAAGTTGCCCACTAAATCGCTCATTACAATACGACCGCCGTAACTTGGCGAGTCTGAATATAGCCGCAGATGAACTTTCGCGCATGTACACCCGTAAAAAAAGTGTTATTAGCATTCATTTTTTAGTAATATAAATGACAAAATTATTATTTAATATAATTCATACTAACTATTATTAAATTATTAACGTTAAATATTTATTATTAATTATTTAATATAAAAAAAAAGAAAAAAAAAAAGAAAAAAAAAGTATAACTTCTACGCGCGTACATAAGTACACGCATCCTTTTTTATTATTATTATAGTCCTAATATCATGCATGTCTAATGAGACAATTTTGTTATAATGCGATCTTCGTCGCCCATGGTCATAGATAAATATCAAGGGCAAAATCTTAATCGACTGACTCGACTTTACAACTTTATTATGTTTGTATTATGATAAATCTTTTTTAAAAACCTTTTCTAGTGTATTGATGGTCCACATCGCCATGTTTGCCACGAGCAAGAATGTGACTAATTGTCGTCCCGGCTTCGCTCGCCGTTGCTCTGAATTGCTGCATCGCCGCCACCAAGCATCGATGATAAATAAAGACTGCAGTATTGTCTAATCGAAAAATATGGAATAATTAATTATTTTCTTACAACAATAGGAAATTTGAAAGTACTCGTAATGACTTGCTCAGGTAGGAATACTATTTTCTACTCAAGCCTTGTGGTCTGTGCGATCTGTGGGGTTCAGCAGTCGCTTCCGAACAAGTCTGTGGGCTTGTGAACCCTCCTATGCTATTAACAAATTTTATTAAACCCTAAAAATAGTATTAGAAAATTTAAACTTGCAAAACAAATTGAAATTGTTTTAAGTGAATGACATGATGTTGACTATATTATTATGATGATTGTTGTGTAAAAATTAACTTGCAACGAAAAAATACGTGTATCCCAAAATTTCAATAACACAAAAATCACAAATGATAGTTTTATAAATAAACTAGCGGCCCGCTCCGGCTCCGCTCGGGTCTTTAACAAAAATTTCAACGATATTTGACGTTGTTTCATTAGTTAGAAATATGCTGTCGCGACACTTTTTGTAAATAATAATGTGTTCTACAAAGTTGTAGTGTATTATTTTATTTTATCATCAATAGTTTACGCAGGCACGCGATGTAAATAATATTTTAGGTAATTTTTTTACACCTTCAAATCGGTTCTGTAGGTTCGGAGTCTATTCAATACAAACAAACAAACAAATCTTTCCTCTTTATAATATTAGTATAGATTAGTATAGGTAAGTATAATATTATTTTGATGGAAGATTACCTGTATGAGAGATAAGAACTCTGAGAAGAAACCAGTATACCCGGAACTGTTATTGCTGTTCATAGTATGATGACATCCGATCAAACTGAACATACAGTACACGAACATACCGGTCTGAGCCAAGATCAGTAGTGATGTGTCTAGACCTAATACAGCTGAAATTAAAAAAGATAAATATTTTGGCCGACAACTCTGAAAGAATTCAATTTTACTAAAATACTTTTGATAATGAATTAATTTTAAAATGAATTAGTAAATTCAGTTGTAATTTTTTTTTTAATGCTTATATGGGTGGACAAGCTCACAGCTCACCTGGTGTTAAGTGGGTACTGGAGCCCATAGACATCTATAACGTAAATGAGCCACCCACCTTGAGATATAAGTACTAAGGTCTCAAGTCTCATAAACGGCCGTCTGGTGTTGTGGTAAGTGACATGGTCACTACACAGGGGGGTCGCGGGTTCGAATCCCGCCAAGGGAAGATATTTGTATGATAAATATAAATGTCTTTTCCAGGGTTATGGATGTCTATTAAATACCTAGTCAGGTCATAAGTATTGTCACACAGTAAAAACTTTTCTTTTAGAATGCTGGCTACAAAAAAGTTTATTGAAGATATTGACATGGACCTCGTTCGTGCTGCGATAGACGACTGGCCGCGCAGATTGAAGGCCTGTATTCAAAATCACGGAGGTCATTTTGAAAAACTTTAGTGTCATAAGAATCTATGTTTTGTTAAGTTCATTTTGGTATATGAATGGTTACATAATGAATAAACTTGTTTCAATTATTTTACATTAAACATGTGACAGAATTTATGACCTGACTATGTATATGTATGTGTATAATAAAAATCTTACATTTATATCCGTTATCTGGTACCTGTAACACAAGTTCTTTACGAACTTATCACGGGACCAGTTAAAGTGGCGTGATTGTTAGTAAATATTTATTTATTTAAAAAAAAGAAAAAGAGTATAGTTACAAAGGCTGGCCCACCTTTCAAACCGAAACGTATTACTGCTTCACGGCAGTAACAGGCGAGCTGGTGGTACCTACCCGCGCGGACTCACAAGAGGTCCTACCACCAGTAAAACCACCAGTAACAATAAATTAAAGGTGGTAAATCTCTTTACAACCTTTAATTTCTCTTCACTTCTTCACTAGAAACGCCTTTGTAGATAAGGTTCGCACGCCTATTATCATATCGGCTAAGTTCGCTTTAAGTTAAGATAATAAAAAACAAACCTTGAGATTTTCTTTTATAAGGAAGAGCACGCATTTGTAATAATGCGGCACCGGCAGCTATTAATGTCATCGTGTATAAAACCAACTCACAAACATTAACTTCAAATATAGCATCCTGGAAAAGTATGGAAAATAAACACTCTTTTCGGAAAGATTCCAGTTGAATAACAGTCATTATATTATTGGAAATTTAATACACAAATTAACGAGATTAACTGAGAGAATAGATTGGGAAATGTCTTATGAAAATAATGTATAACTTACGATTACAGTATCTGGATTGTTAGCTAATACGAAGAACATGATGAGCGATATAATGGTGAGGACGATGATGAGAACACCAGCGGAGAGTCCCCGGTGTGCGTGCGAACAATCCACAGAGAAGTGATGTAGGGCGGTGCGACTGCCGTGTGGAGAGCTCACACCAAGCATACCGGCTGCAAAAACACCCATTTAAAATCCTATCTATAAGTTATTATAAATAAAAGAGACTAAAGAGGCAGACTATGTTTTTATTTTTGATTGATGGATTATTGGTGGCCCGGAGGTCTTTTCGTTTCAGATGGGCGAGCAAGGGCTCAGTCAGGAAGGGTGGATTTACCAAACCAAAGAAGACTTAACAACTCAAGAGCAGCTGCTTCCCGAATGAATCTTCTACCGGATCGGAATCGCGACCCGCTGAGAAGACCCGGCGAGAAACTCAGCGGGGCAGCCGCTTACTTTATTGTTCCATTTCCAATATTATCTCTTTATTTTTGCTATCAACTAACACATTTGATTGGTTAAATTTGAAATAATTGAACGATTATGTTTCGTAATTTTTATTAATGTTGGGGAGTTGAGAAATTTCCAACTACCGAGCCTTGAAGCCCTGAAAAGTGACATTTAGCAAAAAAAAAAAAATTCGCAAGCTTCATAAGAAGTTTGAAAACAATAGAATTTCAATGGTTTCGTTGACTTTTTTCTTCAAAAACATTGATTTAGTTTGTTGAAAATTTCCCTTTGTACGAACCAAACTGCTGCAAAATTTTCTCCGGCGTAACGGAGTTGTTTCGTGATTTATTTTTGTGGACGTGGAATTTTTTTTCAAAATCCTCCGGTGTACATTTTATCTAAAAGTATTTAATGTGTTTACTATTAGAAAAATACGAAAAAACCTTTGTTGATCTACATTAAAAAAAAAAAAAAATTACCTCTTTCCACATTTCATAAAAAATTACCGCACAGATAAGTGAATATTCTATCGTACAAGGAAAGAGAAATGGTGAGGCACGTTGTAATAGAGCACCCATTATATTTGATCTTCGACAGGATATCTCTTCCGTAACGTTATGAGTAGTATTTTCTGGAGACAGCATGGCGTGCTCCAAATGATGTATTTCATGTTTAGTTTCTTCAACTAGCACGTATAGCCATTCGCATAGATTAGTTGCCAACATGTGCATGAAACCGAACCTTTGGATCATCTTGTGGCTTCCCAACTCTATGTCTTTGTTCGTGAGGAATATAAATTGCATTTGTGCTAAAGTTAAAGTCATTCTTAGGGCTGGCGTAATGACTGCCAGTATGGAACGGCATTGGTCTGTCATCTCGAAATATTCCCCAAATTCTAAGCCACTGTACACCATCGAACCTATACCGAACGCTGAAAGGGAAGATTAAGAAAACGAACATTATCAAAGGCAATCATAATTCAACATAAATGAAATTACACAATACACACAAGAAAACATGCACAGTAAATACAAATTGTCATAGAAAAAATTATCATCAAATATTGTTTATTACCGATAGCACCAAGTCTCAAATAAAAGCTTCCGTATCGAGAGATTGTTTCTTTTATTTTTAATTTTTCTGCCGGAGTTGTTCTACCTTTGTCTTCTTTTTCGCCATCTGGACCTAAAATTAAATAAATTAAAATCCCATACAGAACGTAATCGTTGCTCGTTAGAACACACACACACATGAAAGCGTATTTTCCGGTACATTTATAAGAACGGCTTCGAACGTCAGTGGAATAGCAAACTAAAGAATAAATTCTTTTGCAATTGTAGTTATGCAAATAAGATGCGATTTTAATGTTTCATTTTGTTAGGCAAATGTGGTTAATTGCTTAAATACGCCGGTGTCTCATTGTTTTGTTTAAGTTTGCGTTTGTATAGAATATGTACTTACCGTAGTTACTTATGATCATAGTCACCGCCTTCTGTCGCATTATATTTGCGTATTGAAAAACGACAAATAGAACTGATACTGAATACAGGTACAAATAAAATCCCTGAGGACAAAAATGGAATTTATTAAAAATAGTCAAACTTAAGTTACATAATTTTAATATTCGTTATATCGACTATTGACACCAAGGTTTTTTTAAATCCACGTGTAAGAAAGAACATCACAGTTCTACACATTGCTAGTTCTATGTGAATTATTTTGAATGATCTATCTATCTATTTGAATTAATCACACGCTTCATTTAAAGGTGTTCTGACATCTGTTCAGAGAATCTAGACGTCATTATGTCTACGGACACTGGTATAAGTTCTATCGTGTGGTGTGTTTAGAAATTAAAATTTAAGATAAAAGTGAAGTTTTTTTTTTATTGCTTAGATGGGTGGACGACCTCACAGCCCAGCTGGTGTTAAGTGGTTACTAGAGCCCATAGACATCCACAACGTAAATGCCGCCACCCACCTTGAGGTATAAGTTCTAAGGTCTCAGTATGGTTATAACAGCTGCCTCACGCTTCAAGCCGAAACGCATAACTGCTTCACGGCAGAAATAGGCAGGGTGGTGATACCCACCCCTGCCGACTTACAAGAGGTCCTACCACGAGTAACGATATTTATGTCTCATTCTAAACCGGATAGCTGCAAATAGTCAAATAGTATCTAAATCAAATAAACTAGGGGATGTTGAAGATGTACTACATGATACTAAACAGTCGGGTTATCCAGATAGTACCGTTTTTACGACATCTTCGGTAGTAATAGTGTCAGCACATTTGCCCTATTTAACTCGTATGTTCTGTTGTGAGCACAACATGTCAACGACCCCTATGAGTAATAAATAATGCTTTCCTGTATTTTTGCTATAAAATAAGAATATTTTAAATTTTTTTGCGGTTATTTTAATGCACTTCTATTGTTGTTCCAATTAATGATGGGCCTTTATAAATCAAGGTTAGTGACGTCATTCTCGTAGTGATGTCTATGGGCTTTGGTATTTTCATAGTATTGGACTGTCAGCTTCCTAAACTAGGAGAAACCTGTGAACAAAATTTGACTTTCAAGCCAGCAAAGAATCTCTACAATGTATTATGAAATACATATGTAATTGCATGAACAAGTTTCTGACAGTAATATTACCTGATAATATCCGTCTGGCACGCCCTTAGCTATCACTTCAGTGACTGGAAAAGCTAAGCCCAACACAACGAGCAACTTTGCATACAAAGCGGACAACGCTTTGCTTAAAGCTTCACTGAAATTAAATGAGTTAATGATTCATATATTTATTGTAATGATAAATGGTAATGGAGCAATTGAAAAATCATGGACAAATAACATACGGTCACTTGACCCCAAACTAAGATTTTCTGTACTATGCGTATTGGAGATTGATACTCATATATTATATGTATATTTACATATATATAGGTATTTATCATATAAAACAAATCTATTCATTCACATGTATGTATGCTCAAACTCGGAGTCGAAGTCACGTCCCTTAACTTAGCAGTGAGAAGCGCTACCTACTGTGCAATTAGGACAGTCATCATCATCTATCCAACCAACATCAATTGCTTTGCCCTAAAGTTCGCTATAATTATCGGACATGCACAGCCCTACTAGATCCGAGTACGCCAACAGTAATTAATTAACCATACAGTTTTGTTGTCGGCGTGGCCTAAAGGATAAAACGTCCGGTGCATTCGTGTTGAGCGATGCACCGGTGTTTTGAATCCTATAAAAAAAATAGGCGAGGGTACCAAAATTTTTTTTAAGGAATAAAAATCAAACCCGCAAAATTATAATTTGCGTAATTACTGGCGGTAGGATCTCTTGTGAGACCGCGCGGGTAGGTACCACCACCCTGCCTATTTCTGCCGTGAAGCTGTAATGCGTTTCGATTTGAAGGGTGGGGCAGCCGTTGTAACTATACTTGAGACCTTAGAACTTATATCTCAAAGATGGGTGGCGCATTTACGTTGTAGATCTCTATGGGCTTCAGTAACCACTTAGCACCAGGTGGGCTGTGAGCACGTCCACCCGTCTAAACAAAAAATAAATTAAAAGTTAAAAAAAAATAGTTTTTGTTTTATCGCATCGAAACTTGGGAAATGTTTGCCGGTAAGTATATCGATTTAAATTGTTAACAATCTAATCCAAAATAAAAACTTTTTTGGGTCTTTTAATAATATACTGAAGTTTCCCTAATCCATATCTATTCTTAATATTATATATGCGAAAGTGTGTTTATTTGTTTGTTTGTGTGTCCTTCTGTCATGGCGAAATGAACCAACGGATTGATATGATTTTTTTTAAAGTGTTAGTTTTAGGTCAGCTGTGTGACATAGGCTGTTTTTTATCCTAAAAACATCTTATTCCCACGGGAAACTGTTATATTATTTTAGAAAAATTAACACTTTTATCTTGATCAAGCGGACGCAGGCAGGCAACAGCTAGTGACAACATAAATTTCATCCAACTGAATTACATATATCAATTTAAGTAAATGCGAATCTCAGTGGAAGCTTTGTGAGCCTGTTTACAAATAAAAGGAGAGCGTTTCAATAGTGTTGACGCGACTTGGGCGGCTCGCATTGTACCTGACTTGTATTATACAAGCAAACGTTATCCGTGATCAAATTCCCCTCTAAATAGGTCTCTGCTTTTGTCTCATCGTTTGATGGAGTACACTGTAGCACAGACCCTTTCATTATCATATTTTATTTGAAAAGAGAACACAGAAAATCGTTCTTAATTTTATAGAAACTAGAGGTCCCGCAGTAGTCGAAATTCGACTATAATTAATTGGAATTATAAGTTTGTACACTATTATGATTTTATTTTATACTTCTATAATAACAAATTTCGCCAAGACTACACTATAAAAAATATTAACAAAGGCAAACAATATTTAATCTATTCTCAATTTGACAACAGACGCCAAGAACAAAAGTTTGACAATAAATAGTATGCATGCGTGTGTGCGTCAAATAGATGGTATGTAGTAATGTGTAGTGTGTAGTAAGTGTAATGTTTTCTTTATTGATATAATGTATCTTTTATGCAATATTTAGAAAAAAATATTAGCATTGTCCACTTCTTCTCTATATTTTCTATAAGTGTGGAAAATTTCATACTCCTCCGTCCGCGCAATTTTCGTAAAATGGGATACAAAGTTTTTGCTTCACGTACTATTTTATAGAAATTTCGTCTGGTATATCTCATAACAATAATACAAAGTCAGTGAGTTTTAATACGTTTCTGATTGTTTTTCATTTGTTACTTTAGACACTGTTCTCATTTTCCTCCTTACTGCTCTTTAGGAGTAAGCGGCCTTGATTATTTTTCTGAGAATAAATTCGTAGACTTCATTCATTTGAGATGAAAATTGAGTCTGTATTTGTCTGATTCATGTAGCATACTAACTTCATTTATATATTTTTTTAATTTAATCAAATTTGAAATGATATTGACTGGAATTTAATTATTGTGTGTGTGTTTGATATTGCGTAAGTGTTACCAAAATTAGCGATCATTTCTAAAATAGAAATAATCAAATAGAGAAAATGAAAACACGTCGGCTGAAACTAGTTAATTGAAAATTTCATATTCATTTAATTCCACTTAGTATATTTCATTCTTTTTTATGATTGATTCAGATTAGTCTACCATTGATACAATGATGTTTTGAATCTATGAATACTTTAAGCAAAGTCTCCAAACTTCTTGGTTTGATACTTACTGGGTATAATTTTGGTGATTGCTATTATACCCCTTTTTTACTATAATTTTGTAAAAAGAGTATTTTTTGTCTTGATAGAACCCACGGTAGGACAATTATCAAATAAGCGGTCTTTAACTTATCATTTATTGTTAGTCTCATGCAAATCATGAATAAAATAGCACTTAAAAATATTTTATACTTATCTGAATTGGCTTTGAAAAATCAGACGGCGAGATATAAAATTGATTCGTATTTTTATGGCACCCATAATCGCTGATGTGAGAAGACGATTCGTTGAAATGTAGAGTAATTTCATGCCAAAAACTGAACGATAGGTTTACTGATGATAGACTGTGGTTTGCAAAAATTGGAATTCGATAATTAATCATTGATACACGAGATAGTTGTTGTTGTTGTTGAGACTCTACCTACTCGATTTTTTTATTAAAATATCTATTCTCGTTTCAATTAATTGTAATTCATTGATGATTTTACGAAATGTATTCTTAAAATCCATTTAAAATTCCACACTTAGTCCTCGAGTTCGGACCATTAAACAGATATACATACCTTAAAGTATTTAAACTAAAATACAATTGTGTGTAAAATTAATTGAAATTAATAGCGTATTTATAGCCGCTTTAATAATCCCAGCCTCAATACGGTTTGTGGAGTTAGGGTAATTTTCCTTCTGACGTAAATTTCTGTCATTGGGTATTTAAGATTTATTCCGTTTGTGGAAATACCCTGGTGAATGAAGTGTATATTTGAAGTAAATATACGTACTGCCCTAAAATCTCCGCAGCCGATGGTGCTGTTTCATGTATTGTAGAGGCCATGGATGCCCTCGAATGCGGTGTCAATTCAGACAGGAAGCGACGTTGTGTGGCAGCACATAGCGCTAATGCTTGCGATGGTCGTCGGAATGCTGCTATAATTGCGGATGGACGTCTGTCAATTATAATACATGTCATCCATAATGAAGATCTGCTGTCAATAGTACCCTATTGCATAGATTCGTTCTCGATTTCGTCAAGGCGATTAGGGGATTCGAACTTCGATTTACAACCGGCATTGACTGGTAGTAGGGCGTATGTATGTACTAAGGCCCCACGTGTAGCTATCACCATCCTGTCTATTTCTGCATTAAACAGTCGTCCGTTTTGGTTCAAAGGGCGGTACACTCTTAATACAACAGAAGTAAGATTTCCATTTCCCAATGTCGGTGACGGCACTCACGTTGTAGTTGTCTGTGGGTTTTTATTGCCCTTATAGGCAGACGAGCATACGGCCCACCTGATGGTGAGTGGTTACCGTCGCTCATGGGTTTCAGCAATGCCAGGGGCAGAGCCAAGCCGCTGCCTACCGCAAACCCGGTAACCAAATTAGACCACGAGGGCAGTGACCTCATTCGTCTGTTTATGCAAAAAACTATGCATAAAATTAGTTTAGTGTATATTCTGTAGCTCTAGATTTCTTTATACTGTGAAATTTAGATAATAGAAAAAATGTAAATAATTTATGTGCTTTCTATGAACAAATTTGTATTAATCCGACTATCTGTGTAAATAACATTAAAAACAATGTTTATTAGCCTTCGTAGTTTTTTAGCAAAATTTCTCTAGTCTTGTTTTTACCTTGTATTGAGATTGGCCGCTAACTGTTTGGTTTCGATATCCGAGGACATTCTCCTGCTGTTTGGCTGCGAGTGTGAATGCTGGATCAGCGGATCTGCAGGGGTTCCGAGCATCGCTTTAGTACGCTCTCGGAGCCGACCTAGATCTGAGTACGACGATTCATCACTGCAATTTCAAATTAAATAAACATTTTCATATAATTGGCACCATGGTTTTGTTGATCAGACTTATATTCTACAAACGTTCCTTAATCATTTGAAATCTATATATGTAAAAATGAATTGCTTTTCGTTAGTCTCCTTAAAAGTCGAGAACGGCTGGACCAATTTGGCTAATTTTGGGCTTGAATTATTTGTGGAAGTCCAGAGAAAGTTTAAAAGTTATTAAATTTTGAATATACAATTTAAATTAACATTTAAAATAAAAAATTTGTGTTTCCTTTGATGTTTCCCCGGTAGGACGGATTACTTTTGTTTGTTTTAAGTTTATTTTATACAAAAGTTTAGGTCTTTTATATATCGATTGAGGCTCTACGAAGTCTGCCGGGTCAGCTAGTTAATGAATAAATATCATATTTTATCCAAATATGAGAATTCAAGTCGAATACATCATATTTGAGCGACGTAATCGCCACCTTTAAGAAGACTTTTTCTCTTATTTTTAAGAACAGATAACTGAAGTTTGTATACGGTTAGATGGGTTAGCCACATACATGACTTATTGCGTTGTCATTGAATTAACGCCAGACGAAATAATGTTAGAAAACCAAGATTTTATTTGGCATATTAAAATTTACGCACTTTATTGGCACAAAAATAGCGATTTAATGATAGTTTTAATTTAATAAAAAACCTTTATATTACTTTTTTCAGTATTTTGTTATTGATATCTATTTGCTTATCATTCTATTTTATAAGGCGCATCGTCGTAAAACTTTAGGAAATCTTACTCTAGTAGGTTATTTTAACTGTTATAAAATTAAGACTCAAACTAATTCACAACATGAATGAGTACGCATTCGAAGTGTTCTTGACCTAATGGATAAGACGCCCGGTGTATTTAGATGAATTGTGTCGCGGTTCCGATTTGTTTTTGGAACGAAGTTCCTGATGGGACGATGCGGAGGGGTACCCTAACCGGGAAAAAACGTCCGTAACGTAAGATTTTCATTAGTAATGCACACAGTGTACGACTTAACTTTGTAATAGCGTACAAATTAGTAATGCACACAATGTACGACTTAACTTTGTAATAACGTACAAAAATAACATTTTTTTATCATTCATTGACCACGATCTCAGAGCATTTGTTTGCGCAATACACTAACTCTTATGCAAACAACCGTGAATTAAGTGTACCACAATAAGTTTTGCTCCAGTTTTATTTTCTTTATACCTCGAATAGAACTTAAAATTAATACTTTTATAATAAGGAACTTCGTTCCTATCCGGTGTACCACGACACCATACATCTTTTTTAAAAAGCGTTTTGTAACATACCTTGATGACTGATTTCAAAGTCTCATTGAAATAACGTTGTCGTTATTAAAACGTGAACGCGGAACTTCTGACGAGTACGTAGATAATAAGTTTATGGTCTTTTTTTTTTATTTTTTTTATTGCTTAGATGTGTGGACGAGCTCACAGCCCACCTGGTGTTAAGTGGTTACTGGAGCCCATAGACATCTACAACGTAGATGCGCCACACACCTTGAGATATAGTTCTAAGGTCTCAGTATTGTCACAACGGCTGCCCCACCCTTCAAACCGAAACGCATTACTGCTTCACAGCAGAAATAGGCGGGGCGGTGGTACCTACCCGTGCGGACTCACAAGAGGTCCTACCACCAGTAATTACGCAAATTATAATTTTGCGGGTTTGATTTTTATTACACGATGTTATTCCTTCACCGTGGAAGTCAATCGTGAACATTTGTTAAGTACGTATTTCATTAGAAAAATTGGTACCCGCCTGCGGGATTCGAACACCGGTGCATCGCTAGATACGAATGCACCGGACGTCTTATCTTTTAGGCCACGACGACTTCAGCATAAGCTGAATGCTGTCCATTACCTCGAGAAATGAGGTATCGGCATAACCAAATAATCGCTTATTATATTTGGCATTGCTGAAGTCCATGGGCGACGGTAACCACTCACCATCTGTCTGCCTACAAGGGCAATAAAAAAAAATATTATATCACTTCGAGAGCAAAAGAGCGATTTCCAAAACAAACATGCGATACTAAAAATATTGAAAAATACAGATAGATAGCGACAGAAACCGAACGTTTTACACTACGAGACAGTGTATCAAACGTCATAAATACATAATATATACATATGTATTTTCGAAGCTCAACGCGGCTGCACCCAAATCCCTCTTTGTGTATTCCTTTCATACCAGATGCGAGTACTTCCGATTGTCAAATGTTCACAGCGTGGTTAGTTTTGGTGTACGTTATCGATATGTTTTTGATTTTTTTTATTCAATTATAAGACCTTTCAAATACTTTTAGAAATGAACGAATGAAAGAAAACGAGGGATGGTCAACAAAATTGAAATTATTTTATGTTACGTAGGAATATTTTAAACATATTTGATAATAATCTCATGAGAGACATTCTATATAGTGTCTGCGTGCAAAACAAACAAATCTTGTTATTATATATACATATTATTATACCTTTAAACGAGCAATTCTTGTATATATATATATATATAATCTGAATCTCGGTAACGGCTCCAACGATTTTCATAAAATTTACTATACAGGGGATTTCGGGGGCGATAAATCGATCTAGCTACGATTTATTTTCAGAAAATGTTGTTTTATTCGTGTTTTCAATAATCAACTCTTCCCGACATCTATTGGCGAATAATAATACTATTTTTCTTAATTGAGGGCAACTAACCGCTTTAAAGACACAACAAGATGGCGTTATCAATCATCATCTAGTATTAGTTAAATAAAATAAATATTAGTTACTTTATTACTGAACATCCTGTATGTCTAATATTTAAAGGATCGCTTCAACTTCAGCATTATGTTACTTCGACTATAACACTTCCAACTCAAATCTCTAAAATGTGCATCCGTTAGTCGAGAATATCTTTAAGTTTCGTTGAAGTCGTCCTAAATTTACATTGAATCGTATTATTTTTTAAATATTTAATAATATATAAATATATAATATATTTATATTTTACTTATTTATATAACTGATCCAGCAGACTTCGTAGTGCCTTAATCGATAAATAAAAGACACGAACAAAAGGAATCCGTCTGACGGGGGGACATCAAAGGGAAAACAAAATTGTTATTTTTATTTAATTCCGAGCATTTTCATATTTATCTACCTTACATTTTAACCTTCTCTGGACTTCCACAAATAATTCAAGGCCAAAATTAGCCAAATCGGTTCAGCCGTTCTCGAGTTTTAGCGAGACTAACGAACAGCAATTCATTTTTATATATAGAGATAATACTATCTATTGAGGAGTGAGAGGCCATTTGGTTTTAGCTACATTTCGCTAAATACGTGACATTTATCTTTGTAATTAAAGGTGCATTTTATTTGGTATTAGCATCAACAGTTCGATATTTTTAATTGAATTTAAATTAAATTTACTCCATTCAAATAGCTGAAGAAGTTACAAAAATGATATGATCTTTTTCAAAACTTTAAAGGGCTCTCCTCTAAAGTTATAAAAATGTCGCTTAAACCAAATAGCCTTTCACCCCTCGATATGTATTTATTAATGTAGTCAAAGTGCATCTGTACTTTGTGAAATTAGTCTGAATTAAATTATTTAATATCGTTTCAATAAATTACTTTTAGTTTCTGTATTATTAGGGAGTTTTGTGGTACTATTATATATTTTGAAGGTATTCCCTAAATTAATTTTATTATAATATTATTATTCCGAATATTATTTTGATTGATAAAAAAACTGAAGGATGAGTAGATTTATGGACATAGTTTAAAAATCAATGTAGTATTAAAAAAATCTAAAAGCGGTTTAAAAGTCTTTATGGTAAATAATTGATATTTGTATTGCAAGCATTAAAAATTAGCTTCAACAGAACGGTTACGAAGCGCGTCGCTATTGTACGCCCGTGTGAGCTGTCATATCGCAAGCCGTCGCGACGCTTCCATTTCCTATGACTGTGAAAAAATTGCTCGACATTTTACTAAACGGGATTTCTGGTATTACCGTCACACAGAAATCTTTAAAAAATTACATTATTTTGTCAATGAAAAATTAAGAATTTGTGTAATTGCCTCAATTTTAGTTGCCCCATTTAATGATTATTATACGAACAGTTTACATGTGAATTCGGACGCCATAATTGCGAATGTGAGCAATAAGAGTTAAGAATGTTATATCCTAGGGTCAGATTCGCGATATCGCTTTAATCACCAAGCTTGTGACTTTATCGTTGGTTGTCATTACGTTACGCAGCATTTACTGGTGGTAGACGTCTTGCGAGTCCGCACGGGTAGGTACCACCACCCTGCCTATTTCTGCCGTGAAGCAGTAATTCGTTTCAGTTTAACTTACAACTCATGTCTCAAGGTGGGTAGCGGCATTTACGTTGTAGATATCCATGGGCTCCGGTAAACACGTAACAACAGGCGTGCCGTGAGCTCGTTCAGCCACCGATGCAATAAAAACAAATCATTATTGTTAAGCTATTGCATAGATTTTATCGCGGGCTTTGAGCGCGGCGACTGAATCAAGAAATTCCGTAACGAAAATAACCTGACACACCCACTACGCCTACTATGTAATTCGCGTTCAACACATTCACACGTTGCGCTTGTGTAGTCTTTGTGAATAAACGCGTGGCGTGACGTCACACTGCATGCGCATCATAAAAAGTCTGCCCATCTCTCTCTCGCGCGGTCTAGCTTATGAGTGTGAAGGGGACATTTAATGTTTTGCTTTTATTAATGTTTAACCGAGTGCCACACGTTTTTTTTAATTCTCGTAAATGCGCAGATAAAAGCAGCAGCCGAGCTAGTATTGCCGACATCTATGGACAGTGACAGTCACTCGTGGGACCGACTGTCACCGATGGCAATTAACAAAAAGAGAGTAATTGCGACCGTTACCGTCTGAACGCTGTAGTCCACTTTGAAGTGGTCGAGGACTGAATGCCATTGACGCAGCTCTCCTACTTTTAAATAGAAAATATCCTAGAAAATATGATTGTTTCGCGACAACGTTATGTAGGAAATTACACTAGCTGGCGACGTACACGTGGGAGCTCATAAAAACCATCGGTAATATATTTTTAAGTTTCAGACACTTTGTTACACAATGGTATAAAGTTACATCTAAAAAAATATAGGTAATTACGCAAGTGTATATAATTTTTAAGTTTCATACACTTTGTTACATAATAGTGCATAGTTACATTTTAAAAAATATAGGTAATTACGGAAGTGTATATAATTTTTAAGTTTCAGACATTTTGTTACCGAATGGGTACATATTTACATCTAAACAAATCGTACATACTCCAGAATCGAACTACGGAGAAATCACATGTCTACAAAGTATACTGGGCATCTTAGAATGAATATTACAGTATAGACCAATACAAATAGATAAATAATCTAACCCGTGTCTTTTTTCTGCTTAGAAAGGCAGATGATTTCGTAATCTACTCGATGCTAAGCAGGTTTTGGAGGACATGCACAGTATAGACAACACTACATTGTAAATTCCCTCGTCCATATTAACACATTAGGTTGGAGTTTTAATATCAGAATAACGGCCTTTACACCCGAATACGTCATTCATTTGTGTCGGTAATGGGTAGGATAGTACTGATATATACGCGTTGACAACACGTTACATCTAGTTTTTTTTTTTTATTGCTTAGATAGGTGGATGAGCTCACAGCTCATCTGGTGTTAAGTGGTTACTGGAGCCCATAGACATTTACAACGTAAATTCGCCACCCACCTTGAGACATAAGTTCTAAGGTCTCAGTACAGTTACAACGGCTGCCCTGCCCTTCAAACCGAAACGCATTACTGCTTCACGGCAGAAATAGGCAGGGTGGCAACACATATCCGCGCGGACTCACTTCAGCACTAAGGCGATTAAAATAATTTTCTTAATGTAGCATTCAGTAGCAAAGCAACAGTGTTGAATATAGCATTCAATAGCAAAGCAACAGTGTACATTAAAACTCAATATATTTAAAATTAATTATGTTTTTTTGTACATAGAACACACATGTAAATTTTCGACAATAGAATCTGAATTCTCACCTGTCATTATCGTTTTCTTCATGCACCGTGTCCATGTCTGTTATCGTGACGCCGGGATGAGATTCGTTCGCCTCGCACAGTGGGCTGCGATTGGCCGGACTCATCTAAACACAAACATTTTCACAACCTTGTTTCCAATTCATCAATATTAACCATTGTGACGAAATTAAACTTACAAGTGAGACAGTCTCGCTTTTATTAGAAGTAATAAACTAGAACAATGCCTTTTCACACAAAATCGAGCATGAATACAGTGAATGAACACGAAAACATAGCCGACGAATGTTATTCTCATTTCGCACTGCCACTCAGTATGTACTACGCAAAAGACTTTAAAGAACACTTTTTAATGTATATACGTGTCTTTAATTTAGGTTTTTTTTAATTTTATTTCCATCATATCTTATTTGAGTGTCTCGTTATGTTTATAACGCATCCGGAAACATGGATTTTCCTCAAACAAAAGTGAGTACACACCTGTCTATTTTAAAAATCTTGCGTGATCTTTTCCTCGAACGTGTTTTCATTGCCTTAATCTTCCGACCGATAGCGCGAGCCTTACCGAGGCTAAATAGCTTGTAACGTTTAAAAAAATGTAAGTATATTTGTATTTATATCATTATAGCTAATAGACACGCGAGTTTTGCACAGATATATTTTGATATACACGATACACGATCTCCAGATAAGGTTGAATATATGTGACTGCACGTTGAACGCTGCTTAGACGTACATTATGTCGTCATATCGGATAATCCTTTATTGTTTGTACAGTGCTCTGTGATGGCCGCTTTAAACACTTTAAAAAGGTACTTCAGTGTGTCAATCATCGGATTAAAGAACATGTCACAGATCGTGTCACTTCCAGGTGAAACGTCATCACGTTTGCAAATTTTCTTCTCCTAATTGAGAATCTCACTCTTTTTATATAGGAAGAGTCCTACGTTGTTTAATTTTAGTATAAGCAGCGTAAATACACTAAGCAACTACAGTAAGAAATGTTATTATACCAATAGGCCAGTAAAATCTGTAGTTTTTTTTTTATTGTTAGATGGGTGGACGAGCTCACAGCCCACCTGGTGTTAAGTGGTTACTGGAGCCCATAGACATCTACAACGTAAATGCGCCACCCACCTTGAGATATAAGTTCTAAGGTCTCAGTATAGTTACAACGGCTACCCCACCCTTCGAACGAAACGCATTACTGCTTCACGGCGGAAATAGGCGGGGTGGTGGTACCTACCCGTGCGGACTCCAAAGAGGTCCTACCACCAGTGATTACGCAAATTATAATTTTGCGGGTTTAATTTTTATTACACGATGTTATTCCTTCACCGTGGAAGTAAATCGTGAACATTTGTTGAGTACGTATTTCATTAGAAAAATTGGTACCCGCCTGCGGGATTCGGACGTCTTATCCTTTAGGCCACGACAACTTAAATACCTACTTTTCCTTTCAAAAACAGTAAACACATTTTCAACAATGCTGTTAGCGTGGACCTTTATGTTACTTATGACGACGCTTGCAGCTGAAAGTAAGTACTGTACTTTTTGACGAAGCATGTTGCTGATAACGCTATTTCTGTAATCTGACGAAGCATGTTGCGGATAATAACATGTACTTTTAGGTTAGGAATATTGTGTTCTTTTTTTTATAATAAATTTTTAAACTGTTATAAAAATTAATAAAAAAAATTATAGTAGTAATGGTATTTCGACTCTTGACAGACCACTGCCGCTAAACACTAGGTTAGTCGTTAGCTCTTCTGCAATAAATAATTAAATATTTTCAACAAGGACATATTTATATCAAGAAATAGCTCAATACATCACAAGGCTTACAACAATAAATATATTAAATTATAATAATCACGTTCCTCGACATACAAGAACTCATTTTATCGTCGTAAAATAGATATGAGAATATAGAATATGCCATCAAATATTATATGAGTATGTTCAAACAATTGTTTCTTACTTAAAAGATACACAAGGACCAAGATTAAACTGTGAGTTTGTTTGCCTTGTGTCCGTCGGGCGATCCTCTCTAAGGTTGTTAGGTTGTTGAATAAGTTTCTGAATTAAGAGAACTGAAAGTTTTCTCATCTCGAGATTACAGCAAAGTGTTTACTGTTTGGCTGTAAGATGCGGCCGCGGCGCGACACCCGTCCAACCAGACGCGCCCGCTATTGCTTCTGCTTGTGCTCGCTTCTGTCTACTCTATGTCAGCTACTTTTTTTTTTAATTCTTTTTTAACTTTAGCTAATTTAGTGTTCGAATTTTGATTACATGAAAACGTTGTAATCTTAATCTCGAGGAATAGGGTACTGGCTATTTCGGGAATTTGAAATTAATAAAAAAGTTAATGTTATGATGGTAGTGCAAAATGCACAATTGTTTTTTTCTTTTTCGTTTTTAATGTGTGACTTTGTCACAAGAGTGTAGTCGATACTCACAGTAGTTAGAATATGCTTTTAAAATTAAAGTTTGAAATACATAAATTCTCAAGTAATTTAAATTTCAGCAAAATGTGTAGTGGGTAAATTAAGTATGTTTTCTTTATGTAATTTCGAAACATCCCTGTTAAATGGCTTAAAAGATAAATGACAAACTACCTTCAAAATTTCACCTATACCTATAGTGGATATGGTCTATATCACAGTATTTTGATTATATTTATGAGCATTATAAATAATGTAGAGTAACGTTATATTAATGAAGCAAAGAAATTTGTTGATTATTTATATGTGTTGTGTTCTAAAAAAACCTATGTTCAATGACCTACGTTAAATTCTTCCGCGGCAGGACTGAGGAAAGTTTAAGATTTATGACCATGATTTTTATTTTATTTTAAAATAACTAGGGAGAATACGAATGAGATATTTAGTCTAGATATTTTAGGTTATAGCTATTTTAATAAAACATGATTTCACGATTTCCCGTGGTTTTCCGGGACACTTTAAGAAATTCCATTACTCTGAATTCGGCGGATATTTATTCGCAACAAACATCCCTAGCACCTTGAATGTTATGTGTATTTTCATAAAATATTTGCGTGGCTGTACAGCACCTGATGCCTTGTGCCGTCGGTGCACTTTAAACTGGCTGTGATTTACGTAAACAAAAAGCCGCGTGCAAATATTAAAGTAATGGCTCGCGTGATATTTTCGTCGTTTTCAAATGTTTTAGACACGACGCTTAATCCTTGATTCTTGATTTCAGTTCTTCGCACGGCCAAATAATTCTAATTTGTTTCGTCACTTGCAATTTCATAATAAAAAACGGGCCTACAATCTCTCTCTCTCTCTCTCTCTCTCTCTAATGTGGCAGCTCTTCATTTTGTAATATTTGTATTTATATATTTGTTTGTATTATATATTACCAATTTCTTAAGTTTTATTTACACACGAACAAACATTAGCAAAACTTATCCTTGTATTTATTTTTTACATAATATCTGACCCAGGCGACGGAGCAAAGGAGCACAGCAAAGCCGCCGTCGCCCAAAACATGTCTTATCGGATCGCCCAGATCCGCTCTCGGTGTTTGTAGGCTCTTCAGGTACCGGTCATTGTCGGACTCGTCCATTGTGACGAAGAATTTGACGTGCGAACTAGCTCACAGACATAACCGACTGAGATTCTCGCCGGATCTTCTCAGTGGGTCGCAATTCCGAATCGGTCGTAGATTCTGCGAAGCACTGCTATTTCTAGGTCAGGTTTAGCAAGTCCCTCAGGTAGAGCCTGTGAGCTCACCTACCAGCCAGTGTGAAGTTGAAATAGGCCCTCTTAGCCTACCAGCGAATAGGTAGGAATTTTCTTTTAAATGTGTCGATAGTTACGGCGTAGTAAGATATAGATTCGCCAGTTCTAAACATATAAGATTTTATAATCAGACAAGTACAGTATCAGATAAGATCATACCTTCAAAATCTCTTTTCCTTATGTTTTCCGCATACCCTAGTCTTTAAAACTAGTTTCAAGAATTTTATTTTTTAATATTTAAACATAATTTTATAACTTGAATTTGATTATGATTGGTTCACTGTTCTCAATGATTCAAAACATCTTAAATAAAGTCCACGCGACTATCTCTAAAATACGTGAAATACATGCATTTCGTCATACGTTTTTCAATCTATACTTCTATACTAATATTATAAAGAGGAAAGATTTGTTTGTTTGTTTGTTTCGAATAGGCTCCGAAACTACTGGACCGATTTGAAAAATTCTTTTTCCATTAGAAGCCGACATTGTCCCTGATGAACATAGGCTACTTTTTTTATTTTTTATTTTTTTTGGTTTCATGTGTGTTTTAATGTTTCCGAAGCGAAGCGAGGGCGGGTCGCTAGTTCTAAATAATCATAATTGCAACAATCTAGCCTTTTTTGTCGGTGCATTAGTTATTAATTTTGCATTTGAGATTACAATCGATATCGGCCAACATTGAGATATCTATAGGCTTCAGTAATAACTAGACAACTTTTGACGTGACAACGTCTTATAATTCGATGGAGCCGGCTGCACGCACGAAAAAACCTTACTCATGCGGCGTTACCTCGCTCTGAGGCGTATTTTCTTATGACGTTGTCACGTCAGTAAACCAACTTTACAGACAACCGATTTTTTTTCGGGCATGGCCCGTACCTCCCCTCGGTATCCGCGCCTAGGGGATACGCGGGGTAAGTGGTACTTGACGGTCCGCCTTAACCCTTAGGAGAACTATGAGCTGGTTTATTCAACCACAATAAAAAATATACGAGCGTTACATGTTTGCGCAAAGATATTGTTAAATTTTATGTGTCGACTGATCACTTTTCGTTTGTTAGCGCGTTGAGTCGTGAGCGGTATCAATTTGCATAATTTAGTTTTGTTGGACAAACAAATTTCGAATGCTACAATTTCATGTTACTAAAATAAACATAGTTAATCTATACATGTGATTATTTTTGTTTTTTTTTTTCAGTTCACGAACAAAAGATTGAAGAGCAACAGGTAATGCTTCGTTCAATTTTTACGTTAACTAATTAGTATGATCAACTTTTTATATGTAGTTATATATCTGAAATATATTATCTAATACATAACTACATATCATCATCATC